TGAGGACCTTTTAGCTATAAAGCACCCATTTGTAATAAGACCTTGATTTTATTCCCATTTCCTTTAGCTGTATGATATCTGCAACAGCAGGCATTCCTTTCTTCCTTTCTTAGGTAGGATAATATGGTAATAGATGCACCTTTGCATCTATCTCCTTGAACCCACATGCTGTGTGTTTATATTATATCACATCACAATCATACTGCCTCTTTTGTGGGAAACTAAATCTATACTTATAGCTTCCACTTAATGTAGCAAAAAAGCCATGGATTTGGAGTCAGTTTGTTCTTATTTCAATATATAATTCATTAGTTGTATCTTGTACAAAGTACCCTCTTTTACGTATTTGGAAATAAAAAGGGCTCGTCTTTGGATATAAATAAAATAGAAAATCTTCATTAGAGCCTGTCTTTATTAGAGCACATGTTAATTCAAAGTCTGTAGCTTTGAGGATTAGTTAAAATAGAGTTTCCAGTTACTGATTTCTGTTTTTTTGACTGTTTTATATTTTAGGAGCCAAGTTCTTTTCAATAAGTTGAAATACAGGTCTCCTTTCCAACTCCTCTTATCTTACATGCAAATCCCAGAAGGGCAGGGACTTTATCTGTTTTCTTTATGATATCCCTAATTTCTAGAATAGTACCTGGCAAATAATGAGTGCTCAATCAATGTTGCATGAAAGAAGATATTTCAAAGGAATTGAAGTTTTAAGTATATGTGACTGGTAGAATGAAAAGTTGTTGCAAGAAATTGAGGCTCTGAGAGAAAAGACAGTTACTTCAGAGGAAGTTCAGTTGAGTATGAGTGCAAGAGAAAGAGGCCTATAAGATGTAAGAATATGTTATGAGGTCAGATGAGAAGTCATATAGGATGATAGAGCATTAAGGATTATCACAGAAGTAACACAGATTGAGCATGTCTTATTCAAAATGAGTGGGACTAGATTGTTTCCGATTTCAGATTTCTTTGGATTTTGGAATATCTGCATTACATTTACCTGGTTGAGCATCCCAAATTCAAAAATTTGAAAGCTAAATGCTCAAACAAGCATTTTCTTTGACAGTCATATTGACACTTCAAATATTTCAGATTTTGGAACATTTCAGATTTCTGGGTTAGGGATACTCAACCTATAGTAGAACCCCTTTGAGGGAAACCCCTGATTCTGCCACTATTGCCTATCATCTGGGTTCTGATTATGCTTCCCAGTTTATACAGTGTATTCACATAAATCATTGAAAGAGAAATGGCTTTCAGAGTGGATGGACTCTCTGAAAGAAGAGAATGTGTATGGAGAACTTAGGGGTCAAGAACTGAAACTTGCTTCCAGTAAGGGGGTAGGAAGTAGAGCCATCATCATGGGTAAAAGAGAAGTTGTTGTACTGAAAAAATTAAGAGGGTTATTGAAAAAGTGTGATTATGGAAACCAAGGTAATAGGTCAGGATATCAGTGAAGCAGTTGACAATTTAAGGTTTAGAACAAAAATTAAGGACAATGATGAATAATTTAGCTCTTGGAAATTCCTGGTTATATGAGAGAGTGAAACATCCATGTAGAGAAAACGTGACTCTGTAAGAATAAGATCATATTGAAGTGGAGAATGAATATAGAAGAAATAGAGGTAAGAGTTATAAACTGGCTGCTTGAGAATTAACAGTGAAGGAATCTAGAAAAAGCACAAGGCTCCTAGATGGGTTATTAGGGTCACATGAAAGGGATGGATTTTTTTCCCCCAGGTTAACGTTTTCCCTTCCCCATCTTCTGGTTAATTATCTCCTATCCCAGTGCCAGAGTTAACTTTATATGCAAGTAGTTAAAAAAAAATTCATAACTACTAACATAGGTACAGATAAGGGTCTAAAACATACATATCAATTTTATACTCATTATTCCATTTATATACTTATGTAAATTTAGTAAGAGTCTACTTTGAATTTAAACAGATGAATCAATAAAATTAGAATATTCAACTTTATAAATAGTTTTAGCATAAAATATGCATGTATGCTACTGTGTCTAATTGAGAATCTTCTTGAGTAAATATAAAAGAGTTATTTTAATGGTTTTACTTCAGAATAATACACTCTGTGTGTTTGGTTTTATTAATGAGCCTGGCAGATTATACATGTCTCACTCTCTTCTCTATTTGAGCAGGATCTAGAGTTGTTTAATACTAGAGAGAGCAAGATTAATCCTTCCATATCAACTGACATCCTTTCAACTTATATTAAATTTCTTGGTGATAAGAACCTGGACTCTCCTGAGCAAACTAAAAGAGAGAATAGCTGATATATTGGAAATGGGAATAAGAAAGGCTGGATAAATGTTATTGTACAGGACATCTACGGAATCAAATTAACTTTAATAATTTCTTTCTAAATTAAACTTTTAAGAAAATGAAATCTTTTTTCATCAATCATAGTTAAGAGGTATTAATTTTGAATATATTTTAGTGTATGGTTTTAATTTTGGCTAGCCACTATAATTCAATTATAAATACAAGGAAATATGATTGGGAAATTTATTATCAGCAGTTGACATAGGGGAAATAAATATATTTTAATTCTTAAGCAACATTATGACTGTATAAAAAAAAATTACCTTGCCTCCCCTAAATAAATCTTAGAATTACTCTGTGTTCCCTTCTAGTTTTTAAATCCATATATATTCGGAAGATTGAGAAGGGAAAGGGAATTATGTTCTTTATATTTTCACTTAGCTGAAAATATAGCACTCATGGATAGACTTTAAAGGACTGATTTTTCTATCATACATCATGATTTACGTTTCCCATTTCTATTATTAAACATTTAAGTGATTTCCAAATTATTCAAAGTAACACTGCATGTATTTTCATTGTTTCTATAAATTTTTATGTATTTCCTTTAAGATAAACTCTCAGGAGTAGTTTTAGTCAACAGATGTGAATCATATATTAGTTGTTATGAGCTATTATGTAACTTGCCCAAGGTTACACAGCTAGAAAGTGACAGAACTAGAGTTAGAACCTAGCAATCTCGGACCATGTTCTAAACCAATGTACTACACTACTGGCTCAAGAGATCGCCGATCCCATGTCACTGATCTAGATCATAAAAGTTTATTATGCATCTAATTTATTTATCAAAATTATGGCATGATTTTGTTGTGTGTCTGACACTGTGTTAGGGATTCAAGAAAGAACAGAATATAGGCTCTGCCTTAAAAGCATATAAACTAATTGGGGAAAGGGAACAGATAGGTAAGAAAATATAATAAAATGTAATGAGTTATATATTAGGATGCTATATGAAGACAAAGAAAAGAGTGGCAAACTGAACCAGGTAAGGGGAGTTGAGTGTAAAGAGGCTTCTAAGTAGGATTGGGTTTGCTTGAGTGGTCTGAATTAGTTCCTGGGAAACCAAAATAAGCAAGTATTGGAGTGTGCTGCTGGCATCAGAAGCTGTAGGAGGAGCTGTAGAGAAAATAAGCAAACTTTACCGAAACTTGGAACCTGGGCTAAAACGTGAGCCTTGGAAGTTAAATTATGACTGAATAGAGATTGAGGACTCCAGAGAGATTTACCCTCTATGAGATATGTGTTTACATTTGAAGGGAATAAGGAGTGGGTGATCCCTGAGACCATGGAAATATTCCCTAAATTGTAAAACCCAGAGATATGCTAGTCTTAACTTTTCCCTGGGAAAATTTGTTTTTGCTCAGGGATAGATTCTTCACCCAACCCATCACCCTGCCCCACCCTACCCCCTTGTCTCCAGAGGACGGAGGTAACATCCCAGATTGGTATTTTCAGGGTTCCCTGCTGAGTTAATTTCCTGTTGCTGCTGTCACCAATTGCCACAAATTAGTGGCTTAAAACAACACAAATCTTATAGTTCTGGAGTTCAGAAGACTATAATGGTTCCACTGAACTAAACGACAGGGCTACATTCCTTTTGGAAGCTGTAGGTAAAATCCCTTCTCTTGCCTTTTCTAGCTCAACTGTTAATCCTGTGACTCTGTCTCATGAATATTTTAGGAGGTAGGCTCAACTCTTAGATCTGGGTTTGGCAGTAGTCAAAGCAACTCACCTAGACCTATCTTTGATAAACACTCACTGTGAAATTAGTTCTTAGTCTTCTGGATCTAACCACAGCTCCCCTCAGAAAGTATTATACTATGTGCTATGGTCTGAATGGGGCATTGGAGGGTGATTAGATCATGAGGTTGGAGCCCTCAGGAATGGGAGTAGTGCACAGTGACACAGTGGGAGTAGGTGCCCCTCCCAACATGTGAGAGAACACAACCAGAACGCCTCTATGAGGAACGAGCCCTTACCAGACACTGAATCGGCAACTTAATCTTGAACTTAGCAGCGTCCAGAACTGTGAGAAATAAGTGTTTCTTATTTATGGTATTTTTGTAATAGCTCAAGCAGATTAAGACACTATATAAATATATGCCTTATTATTTAAAAGGTTAGCTGATGATAGAGAACATTTTCTCTAGATTTAGTCTCAGGTTTACATATTACTTACTGTATTTAAATTAGTTGCAACTAATATAGTAGTTGTCGTCACTATTAAATAACTATGTATGCAACAAATAGATCAGAGCAATAAAGGAAGAATTAAAAATTAGTGTGGAATACTTAATATACCCATAGACATCTATATAATTGACATTAATCTGTAAATTACCACTTTGTTTTCTTTTCCTGTCCTCTTCACCCCTTTCATTTCTCCTTTTCGTTTTTTCTTCCTTTTCCCTTCCCTTCCCTCCCTCTTTATTAGCAAGTACTATAAAGATATTTACATTTATTTTCTTAGTATTGTTATTCTAGAAGTTTTTTTCAACTATAAGAATTAGCCATTCAAGCTGTTGTAAATCACACCTTCAGTATAAATTGGATTATCAGCTTAGAAGTAGAATTTATCTTCTAAATTTGTTATCTTCAATGTATTTCAAGGTAGGAAAAAAGCAGTTTTCATCCCTTTTTTTTCCTTCTGTTCCATTTTAGGACTTTCCTTTGTAGAGATGGAAATCCAAATAAACGGAATGTGCACAATGAAACATCTATGCATTTGTTGTGTATGGGACCTCAAATTATGATATCTGAAGGAGCCCTTCATCCTCGCTTGGCACGCCCCACAGAAGATGATTTCAGAAGAGCAGATTGTCTGCAGATGATCTTAAGATGGAAAGGAGCAAAACTTGACCAGGGTGAATATGAGAGGGCAGCTATTGATGCTGTTGATAACAAAAAAAACACACCCTTGCACTATGCGGCTGCCTCAGGGATGAAAGCCTGTGTAGAGGTAAAACTTTTTTTTTTAATATTCTACATTGTAAAATTTGTGTGCAGGTAATATGTAATTGTCAGTAATTGTTTTGATTGTCTTAGTAACTTGTCTGGTTGGTTTTTTGTTTTGTTTTGTTTTTTTTTTTTTGTCTTTTGTCTTCTAAAAGTCCTTTTTAAATAAAGGGCCTCTTCTTTTTGTTTTTGAAATGGAATCTACCTCTGTCACCAGGCTGGAGTGCAGTGGCTCGATCTCAGCTCACTGCAACCTCTGCCTTCCAAGTTCAAGCGATTCTCCTGCCTCAGCCTCCTGAATAGCAGGGACTACAGGCATGTGCCACCACACCCAGCTAATTTTTGCATTTTTAGTAGAGAGAGGGTTTCATCATGTTGGCCAGGGTGGTCTTGATCTCTTGACCTTGTTTCTACCTGCCTCAGCCTCCCAAAGTACTGGGATTACAGGCATGAGCCACCACAGGTGGCCAAGGGCCTCTTTTAAATAAAGTTATTTCATTGTTTTAGGGAGAGAGAAAGCCCCACAGGTGAACAGTCACTTTTGTAATAAAGTAGAATTAAGAGCATTTAAAAATTCGTTAATATCTCCTAAGATGTTGGTCATCAATTAAGCACTATCATATTGCAAGTTATAGTAGAGATATATTCTGCTTTTTTGCTGATTTTTTTTGTCGCCAATTTATAAAATTTATACATGTTGAGTATAGCAAATTTTTGGCAAGTGACAGTTATGTAGAATTGATGAGCTCACTAAGCAATGGATAAATACTAATGAATACATTTATTGGAGTCTTTTTAAAATGACTTGGAATTTTAAAACGTGTATTTTTCTGTTTGATTTGTGTTAAAGTGCTCCTAAATACATACTATATTATATCCTAATTTTTCCATGTATATTTCATGTATAAATAGATAACATTATTTATATTTACAAAATATTTAACAACAAATTAGATAAAAATCACTCGTAATATGGGATCTTAACTAAGTTAGGAAATCATTATATACTATTGTCACTACTATACATACAACAAAATAGGTTATTCTTAGCTAGTGATATATCCATCCTTACATATCTCATAGAAGTTCTTTTGCATAGATGTATTTAAGTATGTATGGAAGGCATTTTAGACTGGATTACAGAGTATCTTTATTACTAAAAGTATAAACCTTTATTGGAAAAGCAATTATCCTAATCAGATATATATACCTGAAAATTTTATGTTTCTTTAATGTTGTTCATGTGTACTTTAGATTTATAAATTGATCAGTATACCAAAAATATCAATGTTCATTTTCTTATATTAAAAGATTACCATCACTTATATTATTTCTTTAGTATATCTGAAGTGTCAGTTCTTTCACTTCTAGTATGCTTGTGATCTTTTGTTTACTGCTGATATTTGTGATGCTTGTTAATCTTTTAGAGTGTTTGTCATTTCATTGAGTTTGTGTAACCCTTACCTATTAGTTAGTGATGGTCATTAACTTGAAACTACTTTTCAAGCAATGCTTTGTGTTTTTTTGTTTCTTTTTTGTTTTAAGAGACAAGGTCTCTGTGTTGTCCAGGCTGGTCTCAAACTCCTGGGCTTAAGTGATCCTCCTGCATCGTCTTCCAGAGTAACTAGGACTATAGACACATACATGCCACCATGCGTGGCCACAGTGCTTTCTAACATTGATTCACTGTGGTGGAAGAATGTCCTAGGATTTGGAGGGTAGGGATTATAGCAGAATTCCTGAGGCTTTTTACACAAGCTTCTCTGTACATTGTCCTATGTTTACCTATTGTGGAAGAATCCCTGCTCTAGTGACTCACCATTATTGAATGAGACTACATCATATTTCTCAAATGGACTGGAGTAGAAAGTAGATTTTTCTGCATAGTAGAAATGCTCTTAAAGTATTTTTAAAATACTAAAGCTCTTAAAATATTTTAAATATTTAAATACTCTTAAAATATTTTAAATATTAAATGCTTTAATATCTTGCTTCCAAATTTTCTCTATAAGCATTGCTATTGTTGATTTTGAAGTATATTGACAAGGACATGGTTATTAAATTGTTCAAAAAATTGAGAGTAGTGTTTTTACCAGCATTATATTTTGCTCAGTGCCAGGTTTATACTATTCTATCTGGCCAGCCTGACAATTTGCTTGATATGTATGCATGAGCATGTAAATGTGCATGTGCTTTAACTGTTTGACCTATTGGCATATCACACTACATAAACCACACCATTTGATGACTGTTTTCATTTTCTGTATTCAGAAGAGCTCTTTGACTTCATATTAAATATAAAACATTTCAAAAGGAACCTTATAAATACCTTACATTTATTCTATTTTTTCAACAAATTAGCATATTTTATAAGCTTATCTTGAATTTCTTATTTATACTTGATTATATATACTCTTGTCCAGCCTTCAGCCCTTAATGATTTTTTATTATGTATACTGCTAATTAATCCAGAAGAGTTTCCCAGGGAAGTATATGTTAACTATCTCCAGAAGCCATATTTTGTTTTCTTGTACAAATGCATATAATAAATACAGTTGTGACTTAGTATCCAGGGGGGATTTGTTTCAGGACTCCCTACAGATACCAAAATCCACAGATGCCAAATCCATTATATAAAACGGCACAGTATTTTCATATAACCTACACATATTCTCCTTATACTTTAAATTGTCTCTAGATTATATATAATACTTACCACAATATAAGTGTCATTAGGGAATAATGACAGGAAAAAAAGTGGATGTTTAATACAGACACAACCATCTATATTTGTTTTCCAAATATTTTTTACCTGCTGTTGATTGAATCCACAGATGTGGAATCTAAGGATATAGAAACCACTGATAGAGAGAGCTGACTATACATTGAAATATGTGACCTACTGTATAACTGTACAACTTCATTTGTGGTATGAGTCTGTACTTATTTTTAGGTGGTATCATACTACTTTGATGAACAAGAAAGACTTGTATGTCTCTTAAAAAGTTTACTGTCACGGTTAACTTAAATACTTTTTTTCTAAATGTACTTCTTTACATCATTGCTTTCAGTGTCTGCCTATAAGAATAATAGTTATAACAACTAACATTTGTATAATGCTTTCTAATGTTTATAGTGTTCATTGGTATCAAGCATGATATAAAGGTTTGGGTTGAATGAAAGAGTGTCATCAGATATTTGCTAATGTTTCATAAATTAAGAGATTATAGTATGGTGGAGGGAGCACTGATTTTTAGTCTCGGTCCTTAGAGTGCCTATTTATGGGACTTTGCATGAGTCACTCAGCCACTGTGATAGTTTCCTCTTGGGTGGTTGGAATAGATGATCTCAAATGTATTTCAAAGATTCCTTTTAACAGAAATTCTCTGTTAGCCAGTTATTGTAGTAAAATATATCCCATTTTTAGTGTCTAGCCTTTAATATCAAAGAATATCTTTTTTCCCATGGTTAAAGCCAACTTGCTTTTAACTATGTCTGTGGAAGTATATCTTGTCTAGTTACTGAAAATGTTTTTCTCTTTGATGCCAGTTACTAATAACATTTACAGGAAAATTTAAAAAAAAATAGAAAAGAAAAATGTTTTTCTCTCTGGTATATTTATTTAAGGATAGAGTTGATGAAGTCATCATCGGTATTTAATAATTTAAACAGATAGTTTCCTGTAGCTCATTATTTTGCACCTTTGTAATAAAATATTTATTTTAAAACTTCCCCATCTCCCTGTAATAATTATGTTCTGTAATAAGCTCCCCCTCCCATACACACACACAGAGAACATAAAATTAAAACCCCTTAATTATAGAGTTCCTCTGGGAACCTCTGGGTGTGATGGTATCACACGGTATATAGAGAGTTGCATCGGCTGTGTCTCCGATGCCTAGACTTGACTTCTTGAACTTTTTCATGCTATGTTGCTGCCTGGTTAACTTCTTCATATGGATATCCAACAATCTCTCAAATTCAGCATTTCCAACATTGTACTATCTTCTTTTCTAACTACTGGAGACTTCACTAGTGCTTGATTCTTGACTCTAGATTATATTAATAATGCTACCATTATTGCCTTATCCAGTATGGATGCCTGTACTTACCTCGGATCTCCCTTTTTTTTCTTTAATTGCATCAAACTCATGCTATGTATGGCAGAGTGAGCTCTGTCTCTTTGGACCAGTTCCTTCATTTTTTCTGTGGCCACTTTCTACTACTAAGTGCTTTATGTTGAATCCTCACTTGGGCATATTTTTCAGAACTTCCTTACACAGAAAAATCTGGAGTTTCACAAATTAAGGATCCTAAATTATTTATGAGATAAAAATAATGCAGAGGAGTAGTCTAGAATTGTTTGAAAATCGGAAATGCTTATATGATAAACATTTATTAAGGACAGACTGTAAATAAAGCACCTCAAATTCTAATTTTATTTACTGTTCCAAAAGTTATTCACTTTTTTCTGTGAAAGTCCAGATAGTAAATATTTTAGGCAACTCTGACATTGTACCCTGCAAGCAGCCACAGACAATACATATTCAAAAGAGAATGGCAGTGTTCTAATAAATCTTTATATATTGACATCACCATTTGACTTGCTTATAATTTTCGTATGTCCTGAAATCTTTATTCCTTTCAACCATTTGAAAATGTAAAAACTATTCTTAGTTTGTGGGTTATACAGAAACAGGCAGCAGGCATGATTTGGCGTAAGATGACTCCATACTTGAGAAGCTTATTTTAAATATGTAAAATAGCATTATCAATATGTAACAGGTCCTATAAGCTTCAGTTATATAGAAAGGACTTAAAAAGCACTATGTAATGGATACTCAGTACACAAAAATAAAGCTCCATTAAAACATAAGTCCGACAAGAATTTAATAAATAATATACTTTTCTTAGTTGCTCAGAGTTTTGGTTTTTTGCTTGAGAACAGGAGTGGACTTTAGAGAGGGATGGTGGGTTAGATCTATTAGCATGGTCCAGTAAAACATCCAGTGATATTTTCTCCTTTGGTAGACTTCCCCAGAGCAAGCCTAGTCATTAGGCCTCATTACGTTTCCATTCGTGCTTAACTGTAATAGTGATTCAGTAAATGGTGGATGTGATGGGAGTTGTTTTTGATAGTGCTTTACTCTTTGTGAAAGGCATTTTTTGTTTAAATGAGTGTTATCTTACAAATTTCCTATTCACCCTGCCCTACTTTCTTATTCAGAGTTTTAAGTGTAGCTGCTTCACGGCAGATCAAATAGAGGTCATTATAAAACCAAAGGTGGTAAGTCACACATTTTCTTTTATAGCTACAGGGCCTTGTTGACACTTTGGCAGCTATCAGAGCATTTTACACTTCATTGAAAAGTCATAAAAACCATTCACAGGTCAGACTGAATAATATTACCTAATTATATTGTGTCTCTAGCACCTAGAGTTTTAGAACTGTGTAAAGAATACAGGAATTATATTCCCAGCTCAGTAGCTGAGTAACTTTACCTTTCTGGGCTTCTGTTTTCTAATTTTTAATCAAGATAGTTATGATCTCATTATTGTCTCTTAAATATTATGCTGAGACCTCTATTAACTATGTAGGCAATGACTGCTACAGGTATTGAAGGGAAGGAGAAATTATTTTAATTTTACATATCCTGGAAGATTTTATGGGTACTAGTAAGATTAGAGTGGGTAATATTTCAGTTTAAGTATTTGGAGGAGGCTCTTCAAAATGTGGCTCTCAGACCTGCATCATCTGACAACTTGTTATAATTAACAAATTATTAGGCCAACCAGACTTTCACATTCTTAACTTATATCTCTGGGAATAGATTCCAGCAATGTTTTAGCAAATTCTCCTGGGGATTATTTACATTGCAGAGTTTGAGAAGCTCTGTTCTAGGTCTCAGACATAGGCGTATTGAAATATTTTGTGGAGGAGTAATAAAGCAGATTACTTTAAAGGAAGATAGAGGATGTACCAAGTAAGTACTAAAGAAAGTACTTTAGTACCAAGAAAGTACTAAAGGCCAAGGTTAAGAACTTGGGGTTTCTTTTAGAGAAAATTGAGCCATTGATTTTTTGGCCGAGCGCTTACGCCTGTAATCGCAGCACTGTGGTTGGCCGGGGTGGAAGCATTGCTCAATCCCAAAAGTTTAAGATCAGCCTGGGCAACATAGTGAGACCCCATTTCTACTAAAAATCAAAAAATTAGCCAGTAATGGTGGTCCACGCCTGTAGTCCCAGCTACTCGGGAGGCTGAGGTGGAAGGATTACTTGAGTCCTGGAGGTCGAGACTGCAGTGAGCCATGGTCATGTTACTGTACTTTAGTCTGGGGTGACAAAGCAAGATCCTGTCTCCAAAAAAAAAAGAAAAAGATTTTTTTATTAGAGAAGTGATAGATATTATGAAAGCAAATGTAATGAGATTAGCCTGATGATTGTAATGTAGAATACATTTGAATGGGGTGCTTCTAAAGCAGCATTTCTTAAAGCCTTGCTACTCAAAAGAATTGTCCTCAGACTGGCACTGACATCAATCACCTGGGAACTTGTTGGAAATGCAGAATCTCAGCTCCATCCAAGAACAACCAAATTTGAATCTAGTTTAACAAAATCTCAAAGGGATTCTTATTTAAAACTTGAGAACCCTGGCTTCCAGCATAATTTGTGGGGGGCCTATATTGGAATCACCTTTGAAAAGTATGCATACTTCTTACAGTCCCCTCTCCAAATTCACCTAATAGGACTATCAGACTACCCTGAAAACATTTGTGCTAGAGCAGTAGCTCTAAGCGTGGCTACACAGAAACTTCAGAACAATAAAATTTAAATTTGTGAGAGGGGACCCCAGACGTTGGTAAGTTGAGAAGCAATGTATTAGAAAGAGTGATAGGAGTTAGAAGATTAATGCACTAATTCTGGTGTGAACTGACAAAGCATCTGGGTTTGTGTGGTAGTATTAGAGATAGAAAGAATGAGGCAGATGCCAGGGGACATTGTGAAGAACTGTTAGCCTTTGGTGACTAGATCAGTTGTTATAAGAAAGCAAGGGAAAGAAAGGTTTAAAAAAAAAAGATGGAGGCCCTATAATGTTACATACTGACATTAGTGAGTTCTCTTTAGACAATAAAATTTTCTCTCTTTGATTTGTCCACATTATCTATACCTGCTATTACCTCTATAGAGTAAAATTAATTAACTTTATTTTTAAATAAGATGGGCATAGTTTTGAACCTGGGTGACTTTGAAGCCTGCTAACAATTAACAGACATTTGGAAAAGTGAGATGAAATGGAGGAATTGGTTGAAAGGAAGGGAGAGTATTTTGAGTTTTCATTTAGAAGGCTGGGTGTTACATCTTAGCTGATCCACATGAAATGATAGGCAGGCTGCTGACAATTATGACTAAAGTGTTAGGGAGTAAAAAATATCGACACTCATTTAGAATTTAGAATTGAGTGTTATCTACATAGAGTTGACATTCTAAAAGCAAGATAATGTATAGATGAGAGATGCAAAGAAAATAGGTTATAGGTAAAATAATAGAATTAAAGTCAAAGCATCAATTTAAAGAATGCCTGTGTTTAAAGAGATGAGAGCAAAAAGTGGTGCCTATAGGGGAACACAGAAAATAGTGAAATAAAAGAACCAAGATGATACAATGTCAAAGAGGCAAGAGAAGAATTTCAAGGAGAGGAGCTGATCCATCATGTGATATGCTGCAGAAAGGTAAAAGAATTGGGGGGACTGAGAAAGACTGATGGATTTGAGAGTTAAGAGGTATTAAGGACTTTTTGCAATACCGTTTCAGTAAAATACTCCAGGTAGAAGTCAGATTGCTGGGCATAATTGAGTCATTTGCTGTGGAAATTGAGAGACAGTTGGTATCAATCACTAATTTGAGAAACGTGAAGGCCAAGAAAGAGAAAGTTTTTTAGGAAAGTAACTAGAAGGATAGCAAGATTAAGTTATAGTCCTAAGTAAGTCAACTGAGAGTCACCAGCCATTTAGAGGGCGATCAAAGGGATGGGGTAGGATTTGTCTTGAATAGTAGGGGTTACCTCTCTTAAAACCCCTACCCCTCTTCGTCTCGAATTGTGAATGGAAGGAAAGGCAGAATAGAAGAACGGATGTGTTGAGATCATGATAATTTGGTTTCTTTTAAGATAGAACATTTTATGTGCCACCAAGATAGGCTTAAAACTATATTTAAGTAAAATATTCAGTCCTCCTATTAAGTCCTTCTTAGCTAATTTGAAACTGGGAAAGCCGACACTTAGTTGGGATGCTTTGGTTGAAGCATTTAAAAAGTACTCTTCAGAACCAAACATAACTTTCTATTTTGTCAAAGTAAAACACTTAACTTTATTCCACAACATTTTAGCAGTTATTTCTACTTAACACATCTTTTACTTGCTGTTTTACTTTACTTGTTTTTACAACTTAAAAACCCACCTTAGTTCTAAGGCATACCACTTGGCTAGAGCAAGAAGCTAAAGTCAAATCCTGTGGGCTTATAAAGTTAGCCCATGCCTTCCAGATCTGGCATTGGTATAAACCCCTTGTTTTGCAAGGACTCTTAGGGCTGTAGGAGAACCGTGAGGATTCCAGTTCTAAAAAACTTTATAGGAAGGTTGTGTATTGAGGAAGGAAAGAAGATAAAATTATTGGAAGAAAGCACAAAGAAGCTACCATTTTGATTAATTCATGTGAAATGAAAATCTGTAAAAAGTATTAACATTTAGGTAATAAATAAGAGCCTGGGAAGAACTTCAAGATGGACCCAGGATGCATTTAACTTCTGCGATATATATGATTAGCTTACCTACTTACAAGTCAGTGTAGTGTCCAGTCATGGTTAAAAACCTCATCCAACTTGTGTCTGAAGCCCAGTTCTACTGCTTACTAACTGGGTAACTTTAGAAAAGCTACTTAACTATTCTGAGATATAATAATACCCCTGTCATATGGGTTGTTAATATTAAATGAGAGCGTGTGCTTTAAAGTGTTTAGAAAATGGTAAATAGTGATCATTACTATATTATTATGAGTATGACTGAATCCTATAAAAGAATCCTGTGAATGTCAGGCTGTCCATTAGAGTTGTCCTAGATACGGCTATCCTGGCATTCATGTCTTTCTTAATGGCTTTGTAGACGTAATGGGTAAATTTGAACCTACATCCCTCAGTAACAACATATTTAACTTCTGCAAAGTTAGCAGAAACCTCATTATTAAATAAGTCCAGTCACTATTCCATGTATTGTATTTGTAAAGGTGGGATTTCTTTGGGTCAAAGAGAGATGGATAGACTTATCTTCCCAATGTGGCTATCAGTAGCTATTCCCATTACTTATTTTGAAGAATATTGAAAACAGCTTTACCTCAGTACTTGCTCATCCTAGTTTCATTTCAGTGTTTCACTGGATAATGAATGAAACTTTTGTCTGCCATGTCAGGACATCCAGACAGTAGTTAAAATAACAGTATCAGCAGTGTCCTTGTTTAAGAAAGATTTATAGAAATTATAAGAAATTTAACATTTTAAAGTACTGAATGACTGTAAAATTTTTCTATCTTTAAACAAAATGTTATCTTTTGGACTAAGCAAAATGCTTAAGAATTTCAGAAGTTTAAAAAATTGATTTTGGAGTTGTTTATTATTTTTATTATTTTTAACTAGAGGAACTCATTACTGAAAAACAAGAATTACTAATCTTAAAATAAGAAGCCACTGGTATCTAAATTCTTTTTTGTCATTTCAAATACATACTGTACATACTGTTACATTTTTGTTGTGTTAACTTTATATTTTTAATGTTTTAAAAATAGGTAGCATGAAATAACTTATTTGAAACTGTGGTTGCAAGTTTTTGAAAAAAACTTTTTTAGCTTTTAGTAAAACATGGAGGAGACTTGTTTGCTGAGAATGAAAATAAAGATACTCCTTGTGATTGTGCTGAAAAGCAACACCACAAAGATTTGGCCCTCAATCTGGAATCTCAAATGGTATTCTCACGGGATCCTGAGGCTGAAGAAATAGAAGCTGAATATGCTGCATTAGACAAACGAGAGGTCAGTTTTTTTTCTCAGTAAAAAAATTACATGTAATTTTAGATTTTATGTTGTTTTATATTTTTTCTTCTTTAAAACTCAGTTTGTATATTCTTCTTTACAGTATTCTAAATATCCTGTCATCTCCATAGCCATAAAGTATGAAAATACATCTAGGCTAGCCACCATGGCTCAGGCCTGCGATTCCAGTGCTTTGGGAGGCCAAGGCACTAGAGTTCTGAGACCAGCCTGGGCAATAGAGCAAGAATCTATTTCTACAAAAAAATATAAAAATTTGCTGGGAATGGTAGCCCACACTCATATTCTAGCTACTCTGGAGGCTAAGGCAAGAGGACTGCTTGAGCCCAAGAGTTCAAGGCTACCATGAGCTATGATCATGCCACGGCACTCCAGCCTGGTGACAAAGTGAGACCCTGTTTCTAACTTTAAAAATAAATAAATAATGACATCTAGGAAATCTAGAGCTATGGGTCTTTTGTCTATCATATATGAGTGTGTTTACTTACAGATAAATAAGGTGCTGATGTGTGATATGAATCCCATTCACTCTTACTACTACAAGACTGAAATCCTCCTGTTCATCAGTCTCACCTTCTCTTCTGGGTTGATCTCATCAACAGACTTGCTTTGGTAGATCTCATCTTACAAATAAAAACAAAAAAAAAATAGCAGCCATTGACTCAACTCTTCCCTAGCCCTGTCTCTCTTCCCCTTTAGTTGTGGCCCCATATCTCTTATCTTCTTAGGAAGAGAACCATTTCCTCACCTTACATTCACTCTTTAGCCCACTGCAGTATGCCTTTCTTCCCCTCTACTCTGATAGAACTGCCCCACATCATGGAGTGACATGTTGCCAAATCTAGTGGATATGTTTCTGCCTTCATCTTACATAAATTCCTCAGCGGTGCTTGATGCAATTGACTAGTTCCTTTTTTTTTTTTTTTTTTTTGAGATGGAGTTTCGCTCTTGTTACCCAGACTGGAGTGCAATGGCATGATCTTGGCTCACCGCAATTCTCCTGCCTCAGCCTCCCAAGTAGCTGGGACTACAGGCGTGCGCCACCATGCCCAGCTAATTTTTGTATTTTTAGTAGAGATGGGGTTTCACCATGTTGACCAGGATGGTCTTGATCTCTTGACCTCGTGATCCACCCGCCTCAGCCTCCCAAAGTGCTGGGATTACAGGCGTGAGCCACCACGCCCGGCGACCAGTTCCTTTTTAATGAAACACTTTTCTCTTGGCTTTGGGGACAACATTCTCTTCTGGTTTTCCTTTATGTCTTCCTGGTCTCAGTAAGTATTACCTCTATCCACTGATTTGCTCAAGCATAAATGTGGGAAGCATTCTTGATTCCTCACATTTTCTGAATCATCACATCCCAACAATTGGGAAATCCTATCAATTTTACCTCCAAAAATACAACCTAAATTCATTTGCTCTTCCCAACCTGTACTCCTACCTCTCTAGGCCCTTGCCACCTTCACTTCTTATCTGAGCTGCTATAATAGTTTCCTTACTGGTCTTCTTCCTTCTATTCTTGTCTCTTTGTAATCCATATTGTACACAGGATTCAGAATGACATTTTGAAAGTTATACATATCATTAACATCATTTAATGATTTTCATTGTACTTAGAATAAAATCCAAACTGCTTGCTCGGTCATGAGCCCTTATGTGATCTGACCACTACCTGCCTTTCCAGCATTATCTCAGACCTTTTATCCCCAGCGCACCTTGCTCTGTTGTAATACCTAGACTACATCAAGGCATTTGCAGTTGTTCTTTTCTAGATCTAAAATCTCCCAGTTATTTTTGCCATTCTTGCTAAAATAGGTCTCCTCTCTTCCCATTATTCTTTACTATATGCCCTTTTTACTTTAATTTTTAAATTCTTTTATTATTTTGATTGAAAAAAATATTTTTTCAATATATAATTTTCTTTATATATTTCGGAGTACAGTGTTGTGTTTTGATATGTATATACAATGTGGATTGATTAAATCAAGCTAATTAACATATCCATCCCTAAGTCACCTATCATTTTTTATGAGGAGACACTTGAAATGTACTCTTTTTTTTTTTTTTTGAGACGGAGTTTTCGCTCTTGTTACCCAGGCTGGAGTGCAATGGCACGATCTCGGCTCACCGCAACCTCCACCTCCTGGGTTCAGGCAATTCTCCTGTCTTAGCCTCCTGAGTAGCTGGGATTACAGGCACGTGCCACCATGCCCAGCTAATTTTTTGTATTTTTAGTAGAGACGGGGTTTCACCATGTTGACCAGGATGGTCTCTATCTCTTGACCTCGTGATCCACCCGCCTCGGCCTCCCGAGGCTTGAGCCCACTGCGCCCGGCCCCAAAATGTACTCTTATTTTGAAATACGCAATACATTATTATTGGCTATAGTCACCACTGTGTAATAGATTGCAAAACCTATTCTTCCTATCTTATCAGAAACTTTATACCCCCTGTTTATTTTTCATAGGACCTATCACATGCTATAATTATTTTGTTTATGTATTCGTTTACTTGTTTATTGCTTTTCTCTCCTATTAGATGGTCAACTCCATGAAGGCTAGAGCCATATCTGCCTATTCAACAGACTGTTTTCAATGTTTGAAACACTGCTTGCCCAAAGTAGGCATCCATAGATATTTCTTAAAGAAATTAGAACACAGTAATTTTTTTTCTCCCCAAAGGATTCTGATTCCTCAGTATTTAGCGCTAACTTGATTCTTAAAGGTATTATGTAACTATTGATTTGCATTTACAAAAATAATGATATAATCATGTTAAGTACACACAGAAAAAGAGAGGACCTATGCCCTAACCATTTTGCTGGCCCTTCACGTAGTTAGTTATTCTACATGGGAACCTTGAGCGAAAATTGTGGTCCCGTCCCCACCTTTTTTTAGTGAGGAAGATAAACCAGAAAATAACTGAATAATTTGCTGGGATCAAAGTAAGCTGAACTTCATCCATGTGACTTCAGGTCCAAGCAACTTCTGTTTGCCATATTGCCTCCTTTTTGACAATCCATTATCTTGAGTAAAACAGAAATCGTTACTATAATAACTAGTATGATCATTTAGTCAGAGGACATTTGAGCAATAATAGTGCAGAAATAATATTGATGTAATCAAACTGAAAGACATTTAGTTTTTTTCCCCAACATATCATCTTATTTTAATGTATAATTGAATCAGAAAATAATAGTAGGCATTATCAGTAGATTTAAGATCTAAATGTACTTAATATAACTAATATTATGTTAAAAGTTACAGAACAGTTTGATACTTATTATATAGGAAAAAACTATATAAGAAGAATATTGAAGTATATTAAAATGATCATTATGATTATAGGTAATCTTTACTATTATTATTGTCTATTGCATTTTCTGACATTTGAAATGAATATTTATTGCTATAAATGTAAAATAATTTCTTCATACTGACTGCACTCCTGAGTGGTAAGTTTCTTGTGTTTACTATCAGACTTAAGCAAACATATATATATATATATATATTGAATTTTTAATGCAAAAGTAAGATTATGTCATATTGAATTCTATATTTTTTTCGACTTAATATATCATGAACATCTCTCCTAAGCCAGAACATATAATCTACATATTTTAAACATTTACCTATTGATAAACACTGAATTTATATATTTTTACCTTTAAAAAAAGGCTACAGTGAATATTTTTCTGAGATACAACTTTCTTTATCCTGTTGTGCCATTATTGTAGTTGAAAATATGGATTCTAGAGTCAGAGTGGCTAGGTTCATATGTTTGCCTGATGATTGTACTATGTGACCTTGAGCAGATTACTTAAACTCTCTGCCTCAGTCTCTTCTTTTTTTTTTTTTTGAGACGAAGTCTTGCTCTGTTGCCCAGGCTGGAGTGCAGTAGCTTGATCTCCGCTCACTACAACCTCTGCCTCCTGGGTTCAAGCCATTCTCCTGCCTCAGCCACCTGAGTAGCTGGGATTACAGGCCCATGCCACCACGCCCGACTAATTTTTGTATTTTTAGTAGAGATAGGGTTTTCCCATATTGGTCAGGCTGGTCTCAAACTCCTGACCTCGTGATCCGCCCACCTCGGTCTCCCAAAATGTAGGGATTACAGACGTCAACTACCTTGCCTGGCCCTCAGTCTCTTCTTAAAATGAAGTTAACAGTCCCAATCTCATAACACTACAGTCCCTGTAGTGATCCTTAATGAGTTAATATATGCTTTCTTTAAAACTTATTTTTGTATCTTTTACTTTGACCCTGGTTAACTTTTGGGCTATTTTGCCTATGCTAGTGATTTTATATGGCCTGCTGTATGATTGTATTAAGTCATATATTTAGATACTTTAAAAAATTTATGTTCTCAGGTGAAATGTGTATTTCAGCTGAGTTTTAATTCAGTTAATGATGTGGACAGTGTATAATATATTTTTATAACTTCTTAATACATCTTAATTTAGTCTTTTCTTCCACATTATTAATTATAAATGGGTAAAATTCACTTCTTAATCCCATCATTCAACAAAACTGAGTGACCACTCTGCTAGACATTGTTTTAGATGCTTGGAGGAACAAAGATAAGTTCCTGCACTCTAGGTGTTTAGGTTCCAATAGGGGGAGAGAAACACAGAAATAAGTTTAAAAGTAAATTAACATGTAATTTTGGAGAGTGGGAACCGCTATAAAGAGATTTCTTAAATGAGGTATTTAAGTGATGGCTGGGAAGAGTGTGTTCACTTTATTTAAATATCAAAGAGAGACTGGAAAAATTAGCGGGTATTAGACCTAAGCTGGGGTCAGATCCTGTAGGAGTAGGACTGTGTGACTACATCTGAGTATATGAAGGGAAAAGTGGGCAATATGCTGCTATGAAAGCCCATCTGAAGAATCCTCCTTCCCTTCCCTGCTCTTTGTCTGTAACTTAAAAAGGCTCAAAATTCTTTTTCTGACAAGAAACTCATGCTGGACATTGCTGGCTACATTAGTTAGCAGGTTTAACTTACTCTGCTCTGCAGGAGCTGATGGCTTCCTGTTATATCAGAGTACATACAGCACAGGGTGGCCTAGGTCTGGATGCCCAGGCAAGAACTGCTGAATAAAGAGAGAGGAGGCCAGGTATGGTGGCTCACACCTATAATCTCAGCACTTTGGGAGGCCAAGGTGGGCAGATCACCTGAGGGCAGGAGTTTGAGACCAGCCTGGCCAACATGGTGAAACCCTGTTTCTACTAAAAATACAAAAATTAGCTGGGCGTGGTGGTGCATGCCTGTAATCCCAGCTACTCAGGAGGCTGAGGCAGGAGAATCACTTGAACCCGGGAGGTGGAGGTTGCAGTGAGCCAAGATTGCACCATTGCACTCCAGCCTGGATGACAAGAGAGAGATTTCATCCTAAAAAGAAGAAAAGGAAAAAAGAGAGAGAGAGAGAGAGAGAGAGAGAGAGAGAGAGAGAGAGAGAGAGAGAGAGAGAGAGAACTGAAATGAAGGGAAGAGTCAAAGAATACTAAAGACTTTCCTGGCTATTTTTTTTTTCCGCTCTCCTTCTAAACTAAGCGCATAGATAAGCTAATGAGAGATTACTATTAAGGGGAATTAGAAATATCCTTTCTCTCTGAGCATCTAAACATCTTTTAAATTTTTTTTCTTTATTTTTTCTTTATTTCTTTAAAAGCCTACAGCACCCAGTATTCCCTGGCAGTCTCCCATTCAAGTACTAACCAGGCCTGACCCTGCTTAGCTTCCAAGATCAGATGAGATCAGGCACGTTCAGGGTGGTATGGCCGTAGACATCTTTTAAATTTTTAACAGTTGCAGATACTTTTGGGTAAATAAGTGTCTGTTCTTTTCTCTTTTTTTTTTAACAGTGAACCTGTTTTACCGATATAATCAGGATTGCAAAGGGGAGGGGAGGCTATTTTCCTTGTGGAAAAAAGTAAAAACAAATACTTTCATAACTCCTTTATGTGACAGTCTTCCTGAAATAATTTTTGAAGAGAACTATCATTTTATAATAATATCAAAGCAGTGCAGTTTGTATGATAGGCTGTTTCACAATTTTTCAGTGGTCTTGTGGTAGCAGTAGAATGCACTGATGCAAAAGAGGTAATTTTATTCACATTTCTTTTTAATTTAGTTTTCTTTTTCTTTGTGTCAGTACTGACTGCTTTGAAGGTTATTTCTGGTTTGTTTAGTCTGAAAATAGAAGCAGTTTATCTTTGCAACAGGAAGGAGAAAGGCACCTTCATTTTAATCTGTCTTGCAGAAGAGTGAAGTAGTGCCCACTTGGGACTGAGCAATGTATTGAAATGCTTCACATGACCTAATTACAGTTATGTTGTGAAGATTCAGTGTGGATATGTTATATGTTCATGAAGGCAGTGTGTCTCTGTCCTTTAAGAATTATTTTTCTTCCACTGTTACCTATTGAAATTTAAAGCTGCATGCATTTTTAAAAACTGGATCTATACAGATTGTTTCATATTATCTCTTCTTTCTTAATTTACCTAAAATTAAATCTTCAGATATATTATCTCAGAATTGCAAGCAAAGCTAATTTTCCCCTGTAAGTTACTTGCACTGTCATTCTCAAGATAGCACTAATCTGGAGAATCATTAAATTCACCGTTTTCTCTTTCCCTATTTGGATCAATGTAAATGAAGTCAAATGATGGCTAACCTGAAAAAGCACATTTAGGATATAAGACCAGGAAATGTAAAATTGCCACCATTGGGAATATCAAGAAATAGTCACTGTCATTGCTGAGGCAAGGAGAGGTACCTGGAATCCCAAGTCTGGATTTGGAATACATTTTCTAGAAGCGATGTATGACTTCTGTGCTAGAATGAGTAGTAATGATTTAACCATTAAAGAGTTTATTAGGTTTTTGCAGGGGAACTCATGTCTCATAAATTAGCTTAAAAGCAAACTGTATATGATAGTTTGGGGCTTTTCTAAGTATAATTTGGATTAAATTGCAGTGCTTCTTTCTCTCTTATTTAATAGTATTCCTATATAGAAAAGTTTAGGTTAACTTTCCTTAAAAAAAAATAAAAGAGAGAGATGAGGTCTTGTTATGTTGCTCAGGCTAGACTGAAGTGGCTATTCACTGGCATGTTTGTAGCACACTGCAGCATCAAACTCCTGGGCTCAAGTGATCCTCCTGCTTCTCAGCCTCCCTAGTAGCTGAGATTATGGGCATTTGCCAAGTTCTGCTCCATTTCTTTTACGTTGATAGAATACCCAAATTGTCCTACATGAACGTAATATATTCATACCCAGTTGATTTGCAGAAAGAATAGACTGGACAATAATACTCAGAATTTTAATAATGATCAATTATTGCTCAATGGTAGGATTATAGATTTTTATTTCTAATACTTTCCATATAATCCAAAATTTTAAAACTGTAAGATAAGATGGTCTTGCCATGATACTATGATATTTTATTTTTAGAATGATAAGGTACCTGAGTCCCAGTATCTGCTTTATAACTTGTGAAAGGCAGTTTGAAGTCCATGATTATGGAGCATTTAAAAAGCCTTTTAAACTTTAATAACCAAATTTAAATTGGAAGATTAAATAAATGATAATCATACACAGTCATCCCTCAGTATCAGAGGGGGTTGGTTTCAGGACCCTCGTGGATACCAAAATCCACAGATACTCAAGTCCCTTATATAAAATGGGGTACTATTTGCATTTATCCTGTATACTTTAAATTATCTCTAGGTTAGTTATAATAACTAAAACAATGTAAATAATATGCAATCACATTTATCCTATATACTTTAAATTATCTCTAGGTTAATTATAATAACTAATACAGTGTAAATAATATGCACATCCTCCCATATACTTTAAATTATCTCTAGGTTAGTTATAATAACGAATACAATGTAAATAATATGCAGTTGGTTGTTATACTGTGTTATTTAAGGAATAAAGAAAAAAAGAGAAAAGTCTGTGCATGTTTAGTATAGACACATTTTTTTTTACCCCAAATGTTTTCGATCCTCAGTTGTTCTAGTCCATGAAATTCCGAACCATGAATACATAGGACTGACTATATATTGTTTATAGGCATTTTGATACTTCCTATGAATATAATGCCATTTAACTTCTTTTTTTCTTTTCAAAGCCATATGAAGGATTAAGGCCTCAGGATCTTCGTAGATTGAAAGATATGCTTATTGTGGAAACTGCAGACATGCTTCAGGCTCCTCTGTTTACTGCTGAAGCTTTACTTCGAGCTCATGGTAATGAAAGAAATATCTTGTGCTTCTGCTAGCATGGGTAACTTTTGAAACTTCTGAGGTTTTAAAAGGGCTATTTTTATATTTTAGTACAGAACAATTGGTTTGTTAAACAAGCCTAAGTTGTGTTTTGTGCAGTTGTTACTGCAGTACTCAGTTTTTCATAACATCTTGTATTTTGAAAATATATAAATATTTTATATTTATAAATACAGATATCTTGTATTTATGCTGTAAACTAGCATATATCAAAGAGGAAAACTTGGAAGATTCTTTTTAGAGATTGAACTACTAAAGCAAATTATAGATTGTCTCATTTTAGAACTATGACTGGTTTTATTGAGATTGAGCATTGAAATTTATAATCCTAGTCCTGGTTTTGACAGTAATTTTTGCTAAAGTCATTCAAGTATAAAATTATGGTAGTTTAATTAATACCTAAGAATTGTGCTATTAGTATTGTCAGTTTTATTTTATGTAGTAGCTATTTCTCTCCATGAAGTGCACAAAGTGAAGTTAAAGGGTCACCTTGGAACTATATTGTCCCTTTTAAGGTTTTCTTGTTTTTTGCTTTGTTTTGTTTGTTTTTAGACCTAACTAACTTTGTATAGGGAAATTTTTCTAAATGCTCAGTTTGTTTTATGTTCTTTATATTTCTTATGACAGGCATTCTGGGAGTTCTCACATGTTGGGTTGGATCCTCTTATTGCCCACATGATATTTGACATTTTGGGTGGTTTCAGACAGAATTATTTTCTGGTTTAAAAATATTCTTAAAAAAATACAAGGTAAATTCTGAATTTAAAAAATAAAAACTAAAAATACATTTAAAAAGAAAAATCAATGGCTCTTTTATTCCAGTCATTTTGAGGCTCAGCTGGCTATTTTAACTGTAAATCTTTATCATCTATACTAAAATAGAATTCCACCTTCCAAAATTTTTATATAATCTTTTGATCAGAAGAAAATTTAAAACTCCCTTTTTTTATCATTCATTGATCACCACTATTAATAATTTGGTATATAACCCTCCAGAATCACTACATGAAAAAAATATATATTTTTATTTTTTATATTATTGTATTATTTTATGTATCATAAAATAATATATAAATAATACATAAATAAAAATAATTCATACTTTTATTTCTTATATTTTTTATGTATTATAAAATAATACATAATACATAATTTTATTTCTTATTTTATGTACCATAAAATGATACATAAATAATACATAATTTTATTTCTTATATTTTAGAAATTCTAATAGTTATAATACATATATTTTATAAACTACTCTATATATATATATATATATATATATATATATATATTTTTTTTTTTTTTTTTTTTTTTTTTTTGAGACAGAATCTTGCTTGTTGCCCAGGATGAGTGCAGTGGTGTGATCTTGGCTCACTACAACCTCTGCTTCCCATGTTCAAGCAATTCTCATGCCTCAGCCTCCTGAGTAGCTGGTATTACAGGTGCACACCACCACGCCCAGCTAATTTTTGTATTTTTCGTAGAGACAGGGTTTCCCCATGTTGCCTAGGCTGGTCTTGAACTCCCAATCTCAGGTGATCCACCTGCTTCACCCTTCCAAAGTGCTGGGATTACAGGCATGAGCCACCACACCTGGCCTACCTTCAATATTGATGTTTCCCACAGTTCTACAATTGGCATTCTTTTCCCACCTTATATACCTGTAGCTCTGAAATTTTAATGTAAATAAGAATTGACTGGGAAACTAAATATAGATTCCTGGGAATAACCCCAGAGAATCTGAGTCGTTAGATCTAGTGTAAGGCCTAAAAATATGTGTTGTGAACAAACCTACCAAGTGGTTGTCTACAATCTGACTTTAATCAAGTATTCTGCTGTATTTCTAAAAGCCTATTTATTATTTCTCTGAATCTATGAATGATCACAGCTGGTCTTATCATTTCTCCCACTGTGTTGATTAGTGGGCAGCAATATTCACCTAATTTTCCTAGCCAGAAACTTGAAAGTCATATTTTAGTCCTATGTCTCTATTATATTTGGCCACAGTCCCATTATGTCTCTTACTAAATATCTTTCATCCTCTTCTCACCCTCCCTAGCTCTTTTAATTCCCACTGCCACTGACTTAAGGCTTTCATTACTTTTCATAATTGAAGTGCCTAGTCTCCAGTTTTACCATTCTTTTTCACCCAACTCATTTCTCATATTTCCATTATTGTGTTCTTTTAAAATGCAGACCTGAGCATGTCATTCCCCTGCTGAAAACCCTTCACTGGCTTGCTACAGACTTAAAATCATCCCAGATTTTTAATAGACTTTATAACACATAAAGTTCTTTATCTGGACTGTCAGTCTTCCCAATTCTTTGCCTTTCCCACTCCAACTTATCCTTAGAAATCATTTCTTCTAGGAAACCTTTTCTGAGTATGTCTTCCAGATTCTCATGGATCTATTCCCATTTTATCCCATGCATATATGTGTCGTACACTTAGAACAGAGTATTGTAATCTCTTTATTTGCTTTTTTTCTTTTATATTAACCTTGAAGCTCCTTGAAATGGCAGCTTTTAATTTTTTTTGTTTCCATAATACCTAATATATATTAATCCCTCAGAAAATATTTTTGGAATGAATAGATAATACATCAGAAATGTTATTTTTATATTTTTTGAAAATCAGCCTTTTTGTTACAAAATTATGTTTTTATTGCCATGTTTATAGACATCAAAGTAAATTCTATAGAAACAATTTTAGACCTGAGTAAAAAACTTAAATTTAGAAATTCTGGATAGTTTATAAAAACAAAAACAATAATCATAATGTAAAAAACTTATACAGAAACACAAAATACTTTAAGTTGTGTTTCATTAGGGTAAGGTTCACAGCACCAGAAGATATACTCTGTCCTTTGCTTGAGGTTTTTAAATGCAAGGTATGCATTTAAATATAATGTAGAGCTGGCAGAAAAGTAGAATCTGTTCATCAGCAAGGAGCTATTGCATCATAGTTGTACTGTTAGGGTAGGCTGCTGCTGAAACAAAAATGTAGGATTAAACACAGTAAACGTTTCTTAATCATGTAATAGTCCAAAGCATTTTCATTTAGATTAGGTAGGATGTGGACTCTGGTCAGGGACTCTGACTGACTGAGACATTGCCATCTTAAACAGCATAACTTCTTTTTTGTGAGGTAGTCTAACTCTGTCACCCAGTACCGAGTACAGTGATGCGATCTTGGCTCACTGCAACCTCCGCCTCCTGGATTTGAGCGATTCTCTCTCTTGCCTCAGTCTCCTGAGTAGCTGGGACTACAGGCCCACACCACCACACCTGGCTAATTTTTGTATTTTTAGTAGAGATAGGGTTTCACCATGTTGGCCAACTGGTCTGGAACTCCTGACTTCAAGTGATCTGCCCACATTGGCCTCCCAAAGTGTTGGGATTACGGGCGTGAGCCACCCCACCTGGCCAACAACATCACTTCTAAGGTTGTCCTGGGGGCTGTCTAGGCCCACTAGGTATAGCCAACTAGTTAGAGAAAAGAACATGAAGGAACAATTGTAGGAAGTTTTAGGAGCCACTCCTACAGGTAGCATATGTCACTTCTGCACATATTCCATTCATCAACCTCACTGTCACGTGAACATCCTAACTGCAAACAAACAAACAAAATGCTTCTACACTATAGCGTTTTTGTGTACAGATAGCCGTCTTTGCCAAAGGTATCTACATTCAACCAAATCGTATGTGCCAAATCATATGTGTCTTAACTCTTAAGCTATAGTATCATATAGAATCTAACTTTACCTGTAATTTCACCATAATTAAAAGAAACATTTTATCTCTATTTTTTTACACATTGTATTATTAAATATTATTAAATGATCAACTCCATTTTTACTCTATTGATATTTCCCTAAATTCTTTTATAATAAGATGAAATCCAACTGAATTTTCCTACTTGGCACTGATAAACTACTAAAGCATTGTTCTATATTTCATTCCCCTATTAGGGCATAAAATAGAGGCTAATTCAGGTTTTCTTCTCTATTGTTTAGATCATATCAGTGACATTCGATAAGAAAATAAGATTTACAGAGATGAATGATGCTTGTGAGTTAAATAGATAGTGCACAGGACTACAGTTTACTATAATTCCTCTTAAAGCCAGGACAGGCTGTGTTTTAGAGCTATTAAACTGAACCATTAGGAAGATTTATAGATTATATCCTTGGTAACATTCATTCAGTTTTATACAGGAAAATAGATTTGAGAATTACACTATTCTTGTCAAATTTAATCCCACAGTAATGAAGTTGATCTAGATTAAGCAGATGGCAGAAATATTAGCAGTATTTACTAAATAGTAATTGAATTTTAAGGACTGTGTTAGGAATACAAAGGTCGTTCTCTGAGTATATCCCCAGTAATAAAAGTAACTTATGTAATTGAATAATACCTAATGAGAAAATGAATATAATTTACAAAATATGCAACTGAGGCTAATTTGCTTGTGCTTAGAATAAATTTATATTAAAGCATTATTTTTAACTCCTTTGGAGGTTCATCATCTTCTAGGCAATTAAACATTGGTGTTCCCACATCTCGTCTCATTTTATTCTTTTCCTGGGAAATGTTACCTTCTTCCAAGACTTTTCTAAGTATACATTTCTCTGCCCTGTACTAGACCTCTCTTATGAACTACATACTTCACTGCTGTATATAATTGCCTATGTAAAAGCCTCTCCAGTCTGTCTCAAAACCACCTTAAATTCATCATGTTTAAAACTAAGATGATGTCCTTGCAACTGTACCTGGTTCTCTGGTCTTCCCTAACTCCATAAATGGCAGCACCAGCCAACCAACTGGGTATTCAAGGCAGAAACCTGAACACCAACTTTGACATTTCCTCTCCCATCCTGTCATCACTTAATTGTCAGCTTCCTCTCCTAAATCTTAAACTTCTTCCTTTTTCTTCATTTCCACTAGCTGCCATCATCTCTCAATTATACTACAGAAGTAAGAAAGTCAGAATAATCTTTTCAAATCTAATCACAACAACCTATTTTTCCTATCTCTAGTCCTGATTTTTCATTGACTGCCTATCACTCCTAAACTGAAAATGGAAGTGTTTATTATTTTTTTTTTAATTCTGCATGACTGAGCCCCTGCCTGTTTCTCTGGCCTTATCTCATACAGTGCTTCTCATCTAGTCCCATGCTCCAGCTACATTGACCTTTTTAATTTCACAAGAGTGCTACCCTCCCTCCTGCTACAGGCCTATGAACATGCTGTATTCTTTCTAGAATGTCTTTCCCTCCCCCTTTCATCCGGTTAACTTGCACTCATCTTTAGGTGTCCACTCCATGCCATTTTCCTAGGGATACCCTCTCTGATCTCCCTGACTCCAGTTTTCTACCTCTTTATGGAGTTCTGTAAGTGGTGATTTTTTGTTGTTATGTGTTTACTAATGTCTTTCTTCTTACTAGACTGTAAGTTCCATGGAGACAGGAAAGGAATTATATCTGGTTTTTCCTATCATTGTGTCCCCACTGCCTGACATAGTGGATGGGACATAAAAGGTATTCAATAAATATTTGCTAAGGAGTCTGATGTGATAGAGTTAAGAAAATTTTTCTGAAAAATATTTGTGATAGAAAAGACTAAAATTTAGCATATTTAATGTCTGTCTGTATTATATTAGTTGTCTTTACCTTTATTAAAAAGTAGCTTATGAAAATTTTTGAAAAATAATTATACTATCCTAAGAAAGTTATTTTTACTTTGTATGCCTCACATTTTTTATATGTGACACATTTTAACACAGTAACCAATTTATGTTTATTAAAAGTCTTCTCATAACATCCTAAACATTTTTCAACAGTTATTATAATGAACACTTTTAATGACTATATATAAGAAAATTGGTTGGATGTGCTAAGCTAAAGCAAATTTGGGAGATGACACTTATTCTTGCATTCATTTGTGATTACTTTATTCCAAGGATAAATTTTTTAAGAGGTAATAGTATTTAATGCTGTTATTATTGAATTCCTTCTGTGTTGAAGACCCTACACTAAATGTATTACAAATAGTGACTTACGAGAGAATCAAAGTGGGTATAATTACCCTGTATTTTACTGGGTTAAGTAAGTAACATCTGGAATTTGAATTCAAGACTGGCTGATTCCAAAGGATGATCTTTATACTATGCCCCATTGCTAACATTTTGAAAGGCAGCAATGAGAAAATTTGAGGAACTGTATGGGGCATGTATTCCAGATGTAGTATACTGAGACAAATTCTAAAAAATTATCTTACAAAGAATTGTCTCCTGATTTCGGTATGAAGAAATATTTTTGAAAATAATTTTCAAATAGTAAAATAAATTAAGAGAAGAAAAAAGTAAAAGAAATAAACATGAACTTTTTTATAGTTGTCATTTTCAAACTAAAAATGGCTCTCATGATTTTGATATGACTCTAAAAGTAATAAATATATTATCTATGTGAATGAAAATCCAGTAGGACACAGAGAAGTTAATATTGTTTGTAACAACAGTAGGCTTAATCTACATATGATATTTTATAATATGCTTTTTAAAATTAATGCATGATATAAAGCTTTTCATATCGTTAACTATATACATAATCTTCTCATTATATAAACATACCATACTCTATTGCGATTTGCACCTTTTTTTGCTGTTGTAAACAGTGCTGTGATTAGCATCCTTCAAACATGCCTTGTGTGTCTATCCATTACTTTACTTAGGATAAATTTTTAGCAATAAAATTACAAGTTTGAACAATATGCTCTTAATTAAAACTGTACATTTCTAAAGTGAAATCTAGTATATTTTCATGTTTTCTGGACATTTGTATTTCTTTTTGTGATTTGTCATTTATATCCTTTTTACTTTTTTTTTTTTTCTGTTAAGGCCAAAAATGAGTATGTTGTATGTTATCATTCATTTAAAAGTATTTTTTAAATTTCTCTTTTTCCATTGTCCCATCTGTTTCTTAGAGTGATGCAGTCTAATTTTCAATTATTTTGATTGTTCTAGATGTCTGATTGTTTCACTTCAGTTTTACTAGTTAAGATTTCAGTCTTTTGAAATTTGTTGAAGCATGTTTAAGCTTATAGTCTGTCTTGAGGACTATACCATGTGCATTTGACAGGAATGTATTGTGAAGTTGTTCATCATAGTCTATAAATGTTAATTAGGGTCAATGGTGTCCTTTAAATTGTTAGCATCTTTACTAATAAAAATTAAAGACTAGTTCTATCAGTTGAGAAGAGGATGTTAAAATTTTTATTTATGAATGTGGATTTGTATCTAGCTCCTCCTTAATGCTGTAAATTTGCTTAATCTGTTTTGAAGCTCTGGTATTAGGCTCATATGCATTTATGGTTATGTCTTTCTGACTCTTTTCTCATGATGAAATATCCCTTATCTTTTATTATTTTTTCTTTATGTGATATTAATGTAGCACTTCAGCTTTTTTATCCTATGTGCATATCTTGTAAATTGCATATGGTTGAGTTTTTTCTTTATCCATTCTAATAACCTCTACCTTTTTATTGGACTGTTTAGTCCATTTACATTTAATGTAATTATGTGGTTGGATTTAGATCGTCCATTTCACTATTTGTTTCTTTTTTATGTTTGTCTCTTATTTTTTATTCTCTGTTCCTCCTTCTCTGCTGTCTTTTGAATTAGTTGAATAATCAGGATTTGATTTTTATTATCTGTTGGGTTTTTAGTTTATTCTTTGCATTTTATTCTTTAACATGCTGCTTTCTGGACAGTTGTATACATTCTTCTCATTTTATAGTGGAAATTAGTATAGTACTACTTCACATAAAATGTAAGAATCTTAAGAACTATATATGGGTTCATTGCCCCATCCCTTTTGCTATCATTATTATAGATGTAGTCATAAATATCACAATGCAGTGTCATAATTTTTGCTTTAAACAGCTATATGTATTTTAAATAAACGAATCCGTCTCTTTTTTATTCTTCAGATTGGATCATTTCTTTCTCCAAGTTCACCAAATTTTCCCTCTGATCTCTTTTTCATCTCTTCTAAACTGCTGTTAAGCCAACAGTGTAAAAAAATTTTTCAGAACTGTTTTTCAGTTCTAGAATTTACACTTGGTTCTTTTTTATAGCTTTTATTTATTTACTTAGTTTTCCTGGCTTTTTGTTCTTTACAAACTATTTTTCTTTATGTTCTTGATCATAAAGTTTTTTAAATCCATGGTGATTACTAATTCCAACATATGGATTACCTCAAGGATGGTGTCCACTATTGCATTTTCTGACATTTTTCAGTTTTTCCACATGTCTAGTAATTTGAAATTGGTATCTTAGACATTTAGAATATATTGCTTTGGCATTATAGTAGGCTTCAGTTTGATATTTGGAGTCTACATCCAGAATCTGTGCTTCTTGTCACTCTCTATTTTCTAGGATATTCTCCCTTGTGTCTGAATGCTCTGGTCCTCCTGAATCTAATCTCAGGTTCTTAAGCTAGTAAAAATCCAAGATTCTGTCCTTTTGTCAAATGTCGTCTGCCCACAGAGAAAAACTTGTAGAAATAGAAACTTATATAGTGCTTTTTCATTTTGTCAGACATTAACTCCTCTCCAATTTCTGCCTAGTGTCCTCAAATAGTTGTGATTTATATTTTGTCCAATATCTATAGTTATTATCTGTAGGAGAGTTGGTCTGGTAGTAGCTACTTTAATATTACCAGAAGTGGAACTCTGTTAATTATATTCAGAGTATCCCTTATGGTTTTCTTAAGATTACCAGGAGGGTTATCCTATCGTTTGTAAATAATGGTTATCATACCCGAACCTTTCCCTATCTTTTATCTGGTTTAATTACATTGGCTAGTACTCCTATGTAACATTATTAGTAATGCTTATTATTTTCTTGGCTTAAGTGGAAATTCATTCATTCAGTCCCAATTTGGTCTTTACTGTGTACTAAGCAGTAAACTTTGAAAACTCCAAATGGAGAAGTTGTCTAGATCTCAGATTCGTTTGAGCAGGAAATAAATTCTTGTAATGCATCAGTGAATAGATAATTGAAATTCTTTTTAAATTAAGAATTAGGCTATTGGTTTGAAAGAGATTGTGTTTATTATGTTAAAACAGCATATTTTTATTACTATTTAAGAGCTATCTTTTTTAAAATTCAGGAGTAATTTTTCAGGTTGTCTTCCTTTTTCCAGATCTTTTTCAAAAATGATAATACTGATTTTCTCCTTTGATACATAGGTATTGCACATTTCTTTCCTAATGTTCAACTGTTCTTATATTCCAGGAATAAGGCATATTTGGGCTTGGGATATATGTTTTGTGTATTTGGTTTTCTATTCATAATATTAATAATATTTTATGTAGACAGTAAATGGTGTCTTAACTCACATCAACTTAGCTTTCAGGATTCTCTTTATCAAACAGACTGACCACTCCTGCTAGGGGGCTCCTTTTCAGAATTCCCATGCACTTAGGTTGAATGCATACCAATTAACAAACCTGATTATTTCAGTTGTATACCTTCTTGTAATTACATAATATAATGGAATAGTACTGATAAAACATGAGTAAATAGTTATTTATTGAAATCTCGCTCCTTCCGAGCCTCTCCCTTGGCCGCCCCGCGGGAGAGAGGCAGAGATGGCAGATGAGATCGCCAAGGCTCTGGTCGCTCGGCCTGGTGGCGACACGATCTTCGGGAAGATCATCCGCAAGGAAATCCCAGCCAAAATCATTTTTGAGGATGACCAGTGCCTTGCTTTCCACGACATTTCTCCTCAAGCACCAACACATTTTCTGGTGATACCCAAGAAACATATATCCCAGATTTCTGCAGCAGAAGATGATGATGAAAGTCTTCTTGGACACTTAATGATTGTTGGCAAGAAATGTGCTGCAGATCTGGGCCTGAATAAGGGTTACCGAATGGTAGTGAATGAAGGTTCAGATGGTGGACAGTCTGTCTATCACGTTCATCTCCATGTTCTTGGAGGTCGGCAGATGCATTGGCCTCCTGGTTAAGCATGTTTTGGGGATAATCTTCCCTTCTCTAGGCAATGATTAAGTTAGGCAAGTTCCAGTATATTAAGTGGCACACTTATTTTTGCCTGTGTATGGAGAGATTCAATAAATAATTTTCAAACCAGAAAAAAAAAAAAAAAAAAAAAGAAATCTCATTTGGAGGCTTTAGAAAATCTTGATAAAGGCAAGTTCGTTTTAAAATTGCTCTGACATTATGTGTGAGTGAAATAACTGAAGAAAAAGGGGAGGTCATAAAAATCTAGGCCTTTATATTCATATTGCTATCTGAATGTGTTTTAAATCTTAATCTAAGGAAATAACAGTGAAAAATGGACAATGTTTTGTGGGTATAGTTTAGGCAAGAAATAGGAAATAGAAGGAGAACAATAAGTCAAAGAAAAGTGCTTGGCCCTACATAAAAAAGATTAGTAAGACTGGGTATAGTGGCTTAGATCTGTAATTTTAGCACTTTGAGAGCCAAGACGGGAAGATCACCTGTGCTTAGGAGTTCAAGACACACTTGGGCAACATAGTGAGACCTTATCTCTACAAAAATTAAAAAAAAAAAAAAAAAGAAGCCAGGCATGGTGGCACACAGCTAAGTCCCAGCTTCTCAGAAGGTTCAGGTAGGATGATCACTTGAACCCAGAAGTCCAAGGCTGCAGTGAGCCGTGATCACACCACTGCACTCTAGGCTGGGTGACAGAGCTAGACCTTGCCTCAAAAATAAAAAACAGTAAGTTAATACATATGTTTTATTAAATGTTTGAGGTATGTGTATATAGTTGTTTTTATAATTCTGAGTTTTATGATTTTGCATTTTACATATCCCAACTATTTGTGCTGATAATGTCAAGGTTTGAAGGTTGAGTTTTGGCATTTTAGGTTTTTATAATTGCTTTTAAAAAATATCTAGGGGCTGGGTGCGGTGGCTTGCACCTGTAATCTCAGCACTTTACGAGGCTGAGGTACATGGATCACCTAAGGTCAGGAGTTCGAGACCAGCCTGGCCAACGTGGTGGAACCCCCATCTCTACTAGAAATACAAAACATTAGCCAGGCAGGGTGGCAGGCACCTTTAATCCCAGTTACTTGGGCGGGTAAGGCAGGAGAATCGCTTGAACCCAGGGGGCAGAGATTGTAGTAAGCCAACATGACACCATTGCACTCCAGCTTGGGCAACAAGCGTGAAACTCCATCTCAAACTAAAACAAAACCTAGAAATCTTTCTTTTTTCTTTATGCTTATGCAAGGACATAAGAATTAATTTCTATCTGAAATTTTTTTTTTTTAATTTATCATTCTCATTGCCTGGGCAATGGAAACTCCATTTCAAAAAAAAAAACAAAACCTAGGAATCTTTCTTTTTTCTTTATGCATATGCAAGGACATAAGAATTCATTTCTACTTGAAAAATTTTTTTAATTTGTTTATGAAACTATATGAACCCTATACTTTTTAAGGAAATCATGACTGTATTCTTCAGTTTCTTCCATTGTTATTAGTCTGCTTAGAATTTCTACCTTTTCATGAGTTCTTCACCTTAATCATTTACAATTTCCTGGAATATTATCTACTTCACTAATAATATTGGCATATGGTTTTATATTTATTTATTCATTAAACAGATTTCTATTGCATATACACTTTGAACTAGGCTCTAGGCTGAGTAATGGCAATAAAATTAATTGCAATATAGGTCAAGCTCTGCCCATAAGTAAGTTTACAGTTTGAAAGACATTGCATTTTGTTAGAGTTCTTTTAATTTTCTCTCTACATATAGCTGTATCTTATTTTCAGTTTCAATATGTATTTGCTGAGTTTTCCCAATTGCCTTAGTTTTTTTTTTTTTTTGATTCTTAGATTTTTGTCTTTCTTTTTTTCTGCAGTTTATAGGTTGTCTATCATTTTTTTCTATCAATGGTTCCTGACATATAATTTCTGCCTTACCTTTATCACATTCTTTCATTTTTCTGGGGTTTGATTGGTTGTAGGGTTTTGGTTTTGGTTTTTGCTTTTTAATGTGAGGGCTCAATTACATGTATTATCTTTATTAGAAAATTCTAGTTCTTTGGTGTTTTCTTTACTTTCCCTTTGAAGTATTTCTCCTCCCTTGGTCTTAAAGAACATTAATTTGTGTCTCAAATGGAACCATAGAACCATTCTCTTTATTTGGCCACTGAATTTTTTTTTTTTAATTATGGCTTCTTTTTGTGCAAGGAAATCTTTTATGCTAATCCTGAGTCTCTGTAATGCAGCTGTCTCTTTGCAGCTGTGTCTGAACTCTGAGCCCAACCTTGGGTCTAAATAAGAGGACTCAGCCTGCCTATTTAGCTCTTCCTCAGTTTCCTTACAGTCACAGAGATCAGGTGCGCTCATTCAGTTCCAGTGAAAGGAGTTAGCCTTCCCAGAAGTGAGAACACACTATAAGCCACTGCAATTCAGTCAGTATGGCACTTGTTCAAATGTAGACAAATAGGCCATTGAAACAGAATAGTAAATATACTTTACAGTATTTCGGAATTTAATTTATCTTAAGATGACATTATAGATCAGTGGGGAAAGGATATATAATTTATTAAATGATCCTAATATGACTGGCCAGTCAAATGAATTAAATTAAATTGGAAGACCAAGAAATAAAAAAGGATGAGGTATATAAAGTAAATTCATCAATTTTAGGAGAAGGTCTAGGAGACTTACATGTAAATCTAAAGACGGAAGAAAACCTCTGAGTTTCTAAGACAAGAAAACAAGCTAAAGAAGAAATATCTATATTAAAGTATATTGGATTTTTAACATTTTGTTGTAAATATACCATAAACAAAGTGAGGAAACATAATTTTGATTTGGAAACAATATTAGCTAATATTTATTATATACAAAAACCTTCTTTAAATTGATAAGAAATTGGTAAATATCCCAGTAGCAAAATGGCGAAAAGATATGGATAGGTAATTCATGGAAGAGCACATCCAAATGGCCAAGAAACACATCAAAAGGTGTTTGAATTCATCAGTTGTCAAGAAAATGCAAATTAAAATAACAATGAACTATCCGTTTATAAGTGTTTAAAAGAACTAACATTCGTTGCTGTAGAAGAAATTGGTAAGGTTCCTCATTGCTGACAGAAGTAAAACTTGTTATAACCCACCAGGCGTGGTGGCTCACAACTCAGGAGGCTAAGGCAGGCAGATCACTTGAGGTTAGGGGTTCAAGACCAGCCTGGGCAACATGGTGAAACCCTGTCTCTACTAAAAAACAAAATACAAAACTTCGCTGGGAGTGGTGGTGCATGCCTGTAATCTCAGCTACTTGGGAGGGTGAGGCATGAGAATCTCTCAAACCTGGGAGGCGGAGGCTGCAGTGAGCTCAGATCATTCCATTGCACTCCAGCCCGGGTGACAGATGAGACCCTGTGTCAAAAAAAAAAAAATTGTTATAACCCTTTTGGAAAGCCATCTAGCATTATCTTTTAAAAACATAATGGGTCTTAGACTCAGCCTTATTCCAGGGAATTTATACCAAGGAAATATCAATATAAACATGAATATATACATGACTATAACTGCACTGATGTATACTGCAGCCTCATTGTTGTGGCAAAGAAATAACTGTAAACAAAGTAGGGGATGTTTGACTAAATCATGATACACAAATCGTTTCATGCAGTAGGTTAATACGCAGTCATTAAAAAGAGGGAACTAATGTTAAACTAGTTTACTTGGAGAGATTTTCAGGTTAAGTGGGAAAAAGGAGATAAAGTTTACATAATATTCTACTTATCTAAAATAATCACCAGAAAACCTTTGTATATACAGATAGTCCCTGACTTAGGATGGTTTGACTTACGATTTTTTATTTTACTGATAATGGTGCTAAATCAGTATGCATTCAGATCAATACTACTTTTGAAATGCTAGGCAACAGCTTTGAGCCATAGCTCCTAGTCAACTACACATTTTCAACTTAGGATACTTTTAGTTTACAATGGGTTTGTAAGACCATAACCCCATCATCAGTCAAGGAGCATCTGTATTTTTATATGCATTTGTTTATGTTTCTTACCTGGAAATATACTCCTCTATTTTCATTGCATATTGAAGTCATACTTATCTTGTTAAACTGCCAAGTACATTGGCTTAATATGGTTGGAAAAAAAAACCTTGTGTAGAAAATTTCCAGTTATTTGTATTTGAGCTATAAAATTATATAGAATGTGCTTACAGTGAATAATTTACCCTTTAATCTTCTCAGAAACAGTGTGTGATCATGTAAAGATCACAAGCTTTGGAATCACAGAAATTGGTTCCAAATCTCTGTGTGAGCTTGGGCAAGTTATATAACTTCCTTCAGTCTTGATTTCTTCACCTAAATAATAATTGAATAGTCTGCTGGGGTCATTAAATGAAATAATGTGTGTAAAACACCTAGCAAAGTAATTGAATGCATTAGCTTGTTGTTTTTAAAGGGTTAGGTTTTTATGGCTCTAGACATTATAATATGTTTTACTTGGCAATTTTTAAAATGTTAACAGTAGGAAGATAATCTTTTTTGGTTAAGCCAGGTTCAAGATCACTTAATATAGAATTTATACCTAATTCACTAAAACTTTGTTTATAACTCTAGTTTCTTCTGCTTTCAAGCTGTTTATTAAATGATTTTTAGGCTATTGGCATTTTGACATATGTATAGTGAACTATAATCATTTTACAACTTGATGCCAGTGAAGACAATTACAAAATTATATTTTTTGAAAGAGTAAAGAAGCTAAATTAAACCTATCCCAGTGAAAATGTAGTGAATTCCAAGAGTGATGTGTGAGTGACCTGTTTTTATTTGTTAGTAGAAAGTCCTGGAAATTTTGACCGTACTGCTAGATCTTGATATGGTTGTAAGCCACAATCAAGTAAATTTGGTGTAAAAACATTAATAACAAGAACATACCTAGACATTCATTTACAGTTATTACTTTTATATAATACGTTTTTCTTTATGACCTACATTTTGAAATTTATTCTCATTTTTTGTTATTATATAGCTTTTAAAACATTACCAAATTTTCTGGTTTTTGAGAGCTGTGCATTCCATTTTTCTTTAAGACTGGGACAGGGAGAAATTACTTGAAGCTTGGATGTCCAACCCAGAGAACTGCTGCCAACGATCAGGTGTTCAAATGCCAACTCCACCACCAAGTGGGTATAATGCCTGGGACACGCTCCCATCCCCAAGAACTCCAAGGACTACACGCTCTTCTGTCACTTCCCCAGATGAAATCAGCTTATCTCCTGGGGATTTAGACACCAGTTTGGTATGATTTGGTATTCACTTTACTTCTCATAGCTTTATTTTTAGTCTTTTAGCATTCACATAATTTAATATTGTTCCGTGGAATGTCTTATTGTATTCTTGTAATTGAATCTTAAATCTTTCTTGAAAGGTTCCGTTATTTTCTTGCTTCAGTCAATTTTTATTATTACAGAATATTTTTGTGATCTCTGAATTATAGATTGAAAAAAAGTTTTCTTCCTCATTTCAAAAAACTTAAAACAGTTTAGGGAAACCATCTATTTTATTTTCCCTTAAAACTTCAATTGCTTAAAGATTTAAATACAGGCCTGGTATGGTGGCTCATGCCTGTAATCCTAGTACTTTGGGAGGCTGAGGTGGGTGGATTGCCTGAACTCAGGAGTTCAAGACCAGCCTTGACAACATGGTGAAACCCCGTCTCTACTAAAATACAAAAAATGAGCTGGGCATGGCAGCATGCACCTGTAGTCCCAGCTACTCGAGAGGCAGAGGCAGGAGAGCTGCTTGAACCCGGGAGACAGAGGTTGCAGTGAGCCAAAGTCACACCACTGCACTCCAACCTGGGTGACAGAGCGAGACTCCGTCTCCAAAAAAAATGAAAAAATTTTTAAAAAAGATTTAAATACAACCTATTAGCCAGGCACAGTGGTGTGCACCTGTAATCCCAGCTACTTAAGAGGCTGAACTGGGAAGATCAGTTGAACCCAGGAATTTGAGACCACCTTAGGCAATATAGCAAGACCCCATCTCACAATACATACACACACATATATATATCATGTTGAAATATAAAAAGTTAAGTTTGTGATAAGTACTGTAAACCAAAAATACAAAAACATTTTTTATGTCTTAAAAGCTAACTTTTAAACACTTACAATATATTGATAGTTATATATTTGTTTCAGTAAAGCTTCTGGAGTTTGTTATCTAGATGCATTTCCAAAATAAGTGTTTTGTTATTTTAAGAAACAGTACTGCCATTGTCAGCATTTTTAATTGGCATATCATTGGTGTGCTGTTATAGGAGATTTTTATATTTCTTGAATGACTCAGCCACTCAAAATATGTGATAAATATCAAAGTCCTTCTCATTTTATCTGTGCCTTTTTGAAAAACAAAATCCTGTAATTTGCATATGTAATATGATAAAGTTTGCTTCTAGAGAGCTATTATTTAGAAGATATTAAGTAGGCGTAAAAGTGATTGCAGTTTTTGCTATTAAAATGGCATAGTTTTAATGCATAGTTATTTTTTTGTTTCTTTGGGTTTTCTTGAGATGGAGTTTTGCTCTTGTTGCCCAGGCTGGAGTGCAATGGCACAATCTTGGCTCACTGCAACCTCCACCTCCTGGGTTCAAGTGATTCTCCTGCCTCAGCCTCCCAAGTAGCTGGAATAACAGGCATGCGACACCATACCCAGCTTATTTTTATATTTTTAGTAGAAACAGAGTTTCACCATGTGGGTCAGGCTGGTCTTGGATTCCTGACCTCAAGTGATCCACCCGCCTTAGCCTCCCAAAGTGCTGAGATTATAGACATGAGCCACTGCGCCCAGCCTAATATGTAGTTTTATAGCAGGGTTCTCTCCCTGGAAAGTCTGGATATCTTGAGTTGCCGAATTAAAAATACAGTTACTCTGCTTTTGTAGATTTTGAAGGGTAAATGTAGCGTGAAGGACATGATACTGAAGTGGTTATTTTGTAATATACAATTTGATGTTGACCCAAATGATTTGTTTCTTGTACTTCCTTTTCCAAATGCACAGTTGCTGATCATTTCATAAATTTGGAATTTAAGGGTTTGATTTTTGCATTAAAGCATTTAAATCCTATTATTATTTATAGTGAGGTCATCATGGTATTTGTTACTCAATTAAAGGCACAGTAACTGTCCTTAAAACTTTGAAAGAGTTAACTTTTGAAAACTTTTAATTACTGTAATAGTATTTTTGCCTTTTAAAACAGTGAACAAGGCCAAGCGCAGTGCCTCACACCTGTAGTCCCAACACTTTGGGAGGCCGAGGCAGGTGGATCACAAAGTCAAGAGTTTGAGACCAGCCTGACCAACATGGTGAAACCCCGTCTTTACTAAAAATACAAAAATTAGCCACGTGTAGTGACGCACACCTGTAATGCCAGCTACTCAGGAGAGGCAAGAGAATTGCTTGAACCTGAAAGGCGGAGGTTGCAGTGAGCCAAGATCGTATCACTGCACTCCAGCCTGGCCCACAGAGCGAGACTCCGTCTCCAAAAAAAAAAAGTGAACAAAATGAATGTATTGTTTTCTTTCAAAAGTATAGCTCTGTTTAAATCATTGTTGTTCTTCATCTCCAGTGTGACATTTGTATGTGCAGTATCTCTGTATTTGAAGATCCCGTGGATATGCCCTGTGGACATGACTTTTGTAGAGGATGTTGGGAGTCGTGAGTATATGAGCACCTTAGCATTTCTTACTGCATGATAGCACTCTGATTTGTTAGTAAAATTGTTTGCTTTCAGTATATAATGTTACAAATTGTTTCTATTGACTTCTGAGTTACACAGAAATGAATTTAGACTTTAGCTAGTAAGGAAAAATCTTTTTGTTTTTATTTTTACGTCTTCTCCAGCTATTTTAATTAATGCTATTTAGCTTAACATAAGATACCTTTAGAAACAAAGCAGGTATATAAATAATGTTTTTTTAGTATTTTAATTTATATGACATCTAATGGTAATTTCAAACAAGAATATATTTGTCTTATATCCCAGGAATTTTAAGCATTTGTTTTTGTGCTGTCTCTGAATTTTCTGTGACAAGCAAAATGCCTTGACAATCTGTAAGATTATGCATGTTTCAAATTCCTTTTTAGTGAATGCAAAGTTAAATGTTTCTGCTAGACATAGTTGGGTATATTTTACAAATGGAAAATTTGTTTTGCTTCTTACCCTTCCCATTACCTTTTAAGATTTATACTTTTTCACCATCCATTAACTTTGCTCTTACATTACACTTTTCGAGAGAAGTTTCTAAACAAAGATTGATATAATTAGCAATGTAATATCATGTTTATCTCTGGAGACACACAAAGCTATTGTTTGATGACCTAAGTGAAGTATGTAATTGGTACTTAAGGAAATCTTAGAAATCAGAAGTTTTCAACCTTTTTTTTTTTTTTTTTTTTTAATGGAATACCAGTTAGCAAGTATAGGGAGCTGGGGAATACTATGTGGGTGAGAGAGCAAGAACCTGAGCGGACTTTCTAAGTTTTCTTTTTAAACAGCTTTGTTGAGGTACAGTTGATATATGTAAAGCCACACATTTAAAATAAATACTTTGATAAGCTTTGATATCTGTATACAACCTCGAAACCATCACCACAACCCCTAGAATCTCTCATTCCCAAGTTTCCTCATTTCCCATTGAATCCCTGCTACTCTTCTCTTTCTGCCTCCTTTTTTATCACCCCCAATTTGTAGGCAACCACTGAGCTGTCATTCTGGTTTAATTTTTTTTTTTTTTTTTTTTTTTGAGACAGGGTCTCACTCTGACACCCAGGCTGGAGTGCAGTGGTGCTATCTTGGTTCATTGCAACCTCTTCCTTTTCAGGTTCAACTGATTCTCATGCCTCTGTCTTCCGAGTAAGCTGGGACTATAGGCGTATACCACCATGCCCTGCTAATTTTTGTATTTGTAGTAGAGATGGATCTTGCCATGTTGGTCAAGCTGGTCTCAAACTCCTGACTTCAAGTGATCCGCCCACCTGAGCCCCCGAAAGTGTCTGGTTTGATTTTAAGTACATTTCTTTAGCTGTTTTCCAAATTGGAGTAAGAGGCAAGATTTCATTTGGAGGGGGGAAAAAACTACTGCTTTTTAAAAGTCAGAATAAATAAGAATATCTGGTTGTTCTTTTTAAGACAGACTAGTATCTACTCAGAGTCTACTTAGATAGGATCAGATCAGTACAGGTGTTACAGGTAAAGTAATTGACAAGGGTCAGAACTCACAATCCAAAGCTATCCTTAATCCAGTTGTAGAGGCAGAAAATACTTCCTAGGTACAGTACTTTATTTATCTTACAATTATTAACTGTACTGAATTAGGAAGTATTACCTGAGCTCTACCAAGTTAGCTGTTGGTCTTGGTGTGTATGTGAAAACTGAATCCTTCAAGGATTTTCTTGAATTTTTTTGAGCTTCCTTGACTTTCTTCACCTCACTTGTATCACAGGAGCTATCTCTCAAACTCTTTACAAACTAGGCATAAGAACTTTATGGTAATATTTAAATTTGAAAGATCTAATTATTGATTTCCGTAGTACCTTCCAGCCTACCTAGGATTCTCTTTTCCACCCCTTCCAATTTTGTCAAATCAGGCACCAATAAAACAAGTTCCATGTTGGGTGAGTCATATGTTGATGAAATCTTTTTTTTTTTTTTTTTTTTTTCGAGATGGAGTTTTGCTCTTGTTGCCCAGGCTGGAGTGTAGTGACGCAGTCTCAGCTCACTGCAACCTCCGCATCCTGGACTCAAGCAATTTTCCTGCCTCAGCCTCCTGAGTAGCTGGGATTATAGGTGCCTGCCACCAAGCCCAGATAATTTTTTGTATTTTTAGTAGAGACAGGGTTTCACTATGTTGTCCAGGCTGGTCTTGAACTCCTGATCTCAGGCAATTTGCCTGCCTCAGCCTCCCAAAGTGCTAGGATTACAGGCGTGAGCCACCTTGCCCAGCCAATGAAATCATTTTTAAATTATCACAGTTTTTTTCTAGGAATATAGAAAAAGAAACTCCTGTCTAAAACCAAGTAATAGTTTTTAAAGGTCCTCAGATAGTTTGAAAGCCCCTCAGTGTATCTTACTCTTCCTAACCTTTTTATCAGTACAGCTAGCTGCTTTAGTGCAGGTTTGTCTAACCTACGGCCCACGGGCCGCATGTGGCCCCAAGACAACTTTAAATGTGGACCAACACAAATTCATAAACTTTCTTAAAACGTTATGAGATTTTTTTTTTTGCAGTTTTTGTTTTCAGCTCATCAGCTGTCATTATTGTTAGTCTATTTTTTTGTGTAGCCCAAGACAGTTTTTCTTCCAGTGTGACCCAGGAAAGCCAAAACATTGGATACTCCTGATTTAAAGTATGGATGCCAAGGGATAAAATAAAAGGGAATAGCCAGGCATAGTGGCACATGATTGTAGTCCTAGCTACTTGGGCAGCTGAGGTAGAAGTATCACTTGAGCCCAGGAGTTAAAGACTACAGTGAGCTGTGATCACACCACTGTACTCCAGCCTGGGCAGTAGAGCAAGACCCTGTTGATCAGTTGATCAATCAGTCAATAGATTAGATAGAAATTATTTTCTAGCCAGAATAGAATTTCTTTGCTAATATTGAGGATAAAAGCTCAGGTTCTGGATAAGCAGGCCACTGGGTTGTGAATTCCAACTCTGCTATTAGTTGTTGATTTAGGTAGGTGGTAGTCTGCCTGTGCCTCAGTTTCCTAATCTATAAAGTGGTGGTAATAGTAAGTACTTCATAGGATTATCTTAGGTTTTTAAAGTTTCCTACTATATGTAAAGTGCTTAAAACAGTATCTTGCATATAGCAATCACTCAATAAATATTACTTATCATCTTCCTAAGTGTTGTAATAAGCAGAGAGAGCCTACCTATGTTATCATCTGTGAATCTTACCTGAAAGATAAAAATATAGGAAAAATTTGCCCCAGATTTATCTCCTTTACTGACACTCATCAACTCCATGTTCTGCTCATAAATTTTTGTTAAATTGTATCTTGATGAGAAATAATGACATGGCTAAAAGAACTGATCCTATCTTCAATGATGTCTTCTCAGTTCTGTCATTTAATTCCCCAGAGATGATTAAATCTGCTCTGATATATTTAAAATACATAAAATTCAAGACATCCACATGTAGTAAATATGTCTAAACAAACTCTGAACTTTAACAAGGGCCTATAAGCATTATAATAAATGATATCCAACTTCCCAGGAAATCTCTTCATAGCTAAAAAGAAGGGAATCGTGTTGTGTGAAAAAGGAACTCTACAGTTAACAGTTTTCTAACTTTTAGTCTTAAGACTTCTTGATAGTCTTAAAAGTTGTTGAGGATTCCGAAGAGCTTTTGTTTATATTAGATGCACTTATAGTCCTAGCTACTCAGGAGGCAGAGGTGGAAGGATTGTTTGACCCCAGGAGGTTGATGCTGCAGTGAGTCGAGATCATGCCACTGCAGTCCAACCTGGGTAACAGGATGAGACCCTGTCTCAAAAATACATGTATATAAAATCCATTAGCCTATTTTGCATTTTGAATAGATCTTTTACCCATGCATCATTGTGTCAGGTCATTCATTGATCATTTGGAAAATATTGGTCCCCTGAGTTATGCAGATCTTCCAACTTTGACATATTTCCTTATGCATAAATATAGTGAAAAATCAGGACATATTTCCTTACGCATAAATATAGTGAAAAATTACATTAGTTAATCTCATTACTAATCCCATCAGAAAAGGCTTTAAGTATTGGGAATGATGAAGATAAAAGTTTTTCAAAGCTCTAATTTTTATTCGAAGGCTTGAATTTTATCATTGCCAACAAATGTTGTCATTTTTTTCCTTGAAGTGACAGGCTCATTTCATTCATTTTCAAAAAAAAATGTGTCTGCTGTAATCATTGTTTATAGTCATTTTTTCCAGTAAAAATAGTATTTAATGAAAAAGCAGCTATGCCTGCCTGCAACGTCAACAGTCTCCTGAGAGCTTTGCTTTGAGACAGCCATCATGTTTGGGTATACAGCAGCATTTCATTATGCTTACTTCCCATTTCTTTGCACGGAATACCCAAAAGATGTCTATTGACGTGTCATTGTTTAATAAAATTAATAATTCTTACAATGCTATCAAGGACTTTTTTTTTTTTTTTTTTTGAGACAGTCTCGCTCTTTCACCCAGGCTGGAGTGCAGTGGCGAGATCTTGGCTCACCATAACCTCTGCCTCCCAGGTTCAAGCAATTCTCGTGCCTCAGCCTCCTAAGTAGCTGGGATTACAGGCACACACCACCATGCCTGGCTAATTTTTGTAGAGCCAGAGTTTCACCATGTTGGCCAAGCTGTTCTTGAACTCCTCACCTCAGGTGAGCTACCCTCCTCAGCCTCCCAAAGTGCTGGGATTACAGGCCTGAGCCACTGCACCTGGCGAAGGACATTTTTTTTTTTTGAGATGGAGTTTCACTCTTGTTACCCAGGCTGGAGTGCAGTGGCGCGATCTCAGCTCACCACAACCTCTGCATCCTGGGTTCAAGCAATTCTCCTGCCTCAGCATCCTGAGTAGCTTGGACTACAGGCACGCGCCACCATGCCCAGCTAATTTTTGTATTTTTAGTAGAGACGGGGTTTCACCTTGTTGACCAGGATGGTCTCGATCTCTTGACCTCGTGATCCACCCGCCTTGGCCTCCCAAAGTGCTGGGATTATAGGTGTGAGCCACTGCGCCAGGCCTAGGACATTCTTAAATGAAACTTTTATTAAAAACTGCCAGTGTAGGGCAGGGAAGAATACAAAGACAGTTTTATTGCCACTGCTCTGACTTGTTCTGAGGCACCAACAGTTTTAACCAAAAAAAAAAACAGAGTCTTAGTGCCATTATGAAAATAGTTTTGACCTCATAAAACCCCCTGAAAGGTGTCAGGCACCCCCACAATTTCACAGATTATATTTTGAGAACTGCAGCCATACAGCATTTCCCGAGTGCTTCATCCATCCTTACTTCTGCCAAAATATTTTTTTCCCTAACATTCAGAGTTATACAAATAATTGGCTGACTGGAAACTGAGGTGCCTAATGCCCTTCTATTGCGATATATCAGAGTTTTGTGGAGACAGTGCTGTTTTTAAATCATATTGGAAATAGAGGGGAAGATTTAAAACGTGTTGAATTTAAAATGTCTGTGGAACATTAAAATGAAAATATCCTGGGTTAGACATGGCGGCTCACACCTGTAAGCCCATCACTTTGGGAGGCCTAAGTGGTAAGATTGCTTGAGCCTAAGAGTTCAAGATCAGTCTAAGCAACATAGCAAGACCCCAATCCTACAGAAAAATTAAAATTAATTAGCCAGGTATGGTGGCACATGCCTTTAGGTCCACCTACTTGGAAGGCTGAGGTGGAAGGATCACTTGAGCCCAGAGGTTCAAGGCTTTAAATTTCAGTCATTAGCATATAGTTTAGAGGTGTTTAGATAACCTAGGGAGATCATATGAAATGGGAAGGGAAGAATTTTCAGGTGAAAATCCAAGAAGCAATATACCCTTTTTTTTTGAGATGGAGTCTCACTCTGTCACTAGGCTGAGGTGTGCAGTGGTGTAGTTTCGGCTCACTGCAACCTCCACTTCCAGGTTCAAGCAATTCTGCCTCAGCCTCCCAAATAGCTGGGATCACAGGCACCCTCCACCACACCTAGCTAATTTTTGTATTTTTAGTAGAGACCGAGTTTCACCATGTTGCCCAGGCTGGTCTTGAGCTCCTGACCTCAGGTAATCCATCTGCCTTAGCCTCCCCAAAGTGCTGGGATTACAAGCGTGAGCCACCACGCCCTGCCACAGTATGCCTAATATACCTTATGTATCACTGTTTAGCAGAGGAGTGAAAAAATGAATAAGGAGCTACCAGAGATAGGAAGAATGCCAAGGGGAAAAAAATTAATTCCTAGAAGCCAGAGAGAATTTGAAAGAAGGAAATGTTCACAGTGTCTCATGCTCTACAAATCAAGGAAGATAGAAACTGTGAGGTCTTTAATAAATTGGGCTAATAGGTAGGCATTGTGGCCCAATGAAGAGGTGATAGAAGCCTGATGCTACAGATTGAGAAGTGAATGGAGTGGATGAGGAAGAAATAACAGATCATCATAAACTATTTTATCAAGAAACTTTGATGTGACAGAAAAAGAAAATGAAAATAAAGAGTCATGTGGTTAGAAAGGGTTTTTAGAATGGGAAAAACTTGAGCATGTTTATTGTGCCCAAGGTAAGAGCCATTAGAAAATGAAAGAAAGAAAGATAGGTTAATGGATAGTGCAAGTCCCAGAGTTGGCCAGAGGATTTGAGGATTAGCTTGGGGGTAAAAGAGGAAGCGCTCCCTTTCACTGAAGTGAGTGGAAAGAAAGGAAAGATTGCTAAAGATACTGCTGGGTTTGAGGTGTGGTAGACAGCACTTGGAGTAAGAGGATTGCCTGATGGGGACTGTGTTTTCTATGAAGTGCTCAGACAAGGATATGAAAGAGAAGACAGAGCAGAGGGAACAGGCCTGCTAAGGTCTCAATAAGGTTGCTTTTTTTTTTTTTTTTTTTTTGTAATGCAATGGAATTAAGAGAATGAGAGAACTAAAGAAAAAAAGATACTATAGATACTATAGTTGGAATAATCAAACTGTTGATGGTGAAGCCTAAGCAGTTGTGATTTAATGGCCTGGTTTCCATTTATTTTCTCTAGATTTAAGTGTTAAATTCAATATACATAATCTGTACTTCAAATTTTTGTTTCTTGCTTTTCTAAGGGCAATATTACATAATAATAATAATAGTAATCCTTGCTAAAATGTATGAATTCTTACTCTATGCCATGCACCATGTAGATTGTTCACATATATAATCTGTATAACAACCCTGGGAAGTTCACATCATTATCTCCATTTTACATATGATGAAACTGAGGCTTAGAGCAGTTAAATAAATTGCTTAAGTTTATATGCCTTGTTGGTGGCAGATCTGGAATTTTCTTTTTTTTTTTTTTGAGACGGAGTTTCGCTCTTGTTACCCAGGCTGGAGTGCAATGGCGTGATCTCGGCTCACCGCAACCTCCGCCTCCTGGGTTCAGGCAATTCTCCTGCCTCAGCCTCCTGAGTAGCTGGGATTACAGGCACGCGCCACCATGCCCAGCTAATTTTTTGTATTTTTAGTAGAGACGGGGGTTCACCATGTTGACCAGGATGGTCTCGATCTCTTGACCTCGTGATGCACCCGCTTCGGCCTCCCAAAGTGCTGGGATTACAGGCGTGAGCCACCGAGATCTGGAATTTTCTAATTCAAAACCCTCTGTTTAGCTGGCATGGTAGTACGTGCCTGTAATCCCAGCTACTCACTCAGGAGGCTGAGGTGGGAGGATCACTTAAGCCCAGGAATTTGAGACCAATCTGGGCAACAGAGAGAGAGAGAGAGAGAGAGAGAGAGAGACCCCACCTAAAAGAAAAAAAGGAAGAAAGGAAAAAAAAGAACCCTGCTTTTAATCTAACCTTGGGCTAGATTCCTGCTTGCTTTCTTTACAGGGCAGTTTTCCTTACTACTCAAGTATACCTAAGTAGGACATAAAACTTATTTTAATATTAATCTAAATGAAATATAAAGAGAAAACCTATAAACCTATTTTTCAAAAAACTATGCTATATTCTAATGCCACCCCAAAATATCTTGAATTATCTATGGCTAATTTTTATACCATTGCCCCCTTTTCTTTAAAGCTGTAGCATATTGAGAATTGAATATGACCTGAGCCACTCATTTCTGAATTTTTAATTTTAAATAAAAATACTTTTTCAGATTGTTTTAGATTTTTAGAAATGACAAAGCAAAATAGAAACATTAAAAAAAATATACAAGTGTATGTATATATGTGTATGCCTATATATTGATGTAGAAAATGAATGACTTAACAGATAATATGCATTACAGTTGCTATTTCACATGTTTGTTGGTATTATTTTAATTATACTCTGACAGAAAATTCAGCATAAAGAAAAATTGACCAAGTACAGTGGCTCATGCTTATAATTCCAGAGCTTTGGGAGGCAAGGCAGGAGAATCATTTGAGACCAGGAATTCGAAACCAGCCTGAACAACCTAGCAAGACCCCATCTCTACCAAAAATTTAAAAATTAGCATTGCATAGCAGCATGCAGCTGTAGGCCTGGCTACTCAGAAGACTGAGGTGGGAGGATTGCTTGAGCCAAAGAGTTTGAGGCTACAGTCGTCTGTGATCATGTCACTGTACTCCAATCTGGGTGATAGAATGAGACCCTGTCTCTAAAAATAAAGGAAAGAAAAAGGAAAATTCTTAAAATGTATGCACAGCTTAATATCCTTGCTCCTTTGCTGTCCATTGATCATTTTAATAGGTTTTTGAATCTGAAAATTCAAGAAGGTGAAGCTCACAATATTTTTTGCCCTGCATATGATTGCTTCCAACTTGTGCCTGTGGATATCATAGAAAGTGTAGTTTCAAAGGAGATGGACAAACGATACCTACAGTTTGATATTAAGGTAAGTATACTGCCAATTTTCTGTCCAACATTTATAACATATTATTTATTTAATTCTTGTTTTATTTTCGAAAACAAAATAATGGGCTCTAATTTTTGTTAGAAACACTGTCAGAAAAGTTACATAAAGTAATGGTGACAAAGTTTTAAGCTAAAGTGTTATTTTATAACAATAATAGGAAAGGGGGAAGGAGTACTGGTAATTTAGGAAATTGAAAATAAAACTATTTCTCAGAACTGTTTATTAATTTGCCTGTTGCACTTTTATAACTGATTGATCAAGATAATGTTCAAATTAGATTGTACCTACTTTAAGCTTTCCGAAAGACATTATCTTTTATGTCCCTAAATAAAATATTTGCAAATAAAGATTCTCAACTTGGAAGTTTATTATTATTTTTATTCCAAGAAATAGGTTTATATAATGAATTGTAATTTTTTTTCTGTCTTTTTTTTTTCAGAAGTCTTAAGTGTAGGCAAGTTATTTTGTGTGTATGATTTAAAAGTTACATTTTAACTGCTTTATACAGTTAAACTGAGTCTAAACCCTAATTTTTTCTTTTTTTTTTTTTTTTTTTGGAGGTAGAGGCTTACTCTGTCGCCCAGGCTGAAGTGCAATGGTATGGCCTCAGCTCACTGCAACCTCTACCTCCCAGATTCAAGTGATTCTCGTGCCTTAGCCTTCTGAGTAGCTGGGATTATGGGTGCCTACCACCACTCTTAGCTAATTTTTGTATTGTTAGTAGAGACAGGGTTTCACCATGCTGGCCAGGCTGTGTCGAACTCCTGACCTCAGGTGGATCCGCCTGCCTCAGCCTCCCAAAGTGCTGGGTTTACAGGCATGTGCCACTGTGCCCATTCCCCTCTTCATTAACATAGAAAGTATCATAATATTGATTATTATGTATTATTTGGGTACCATTCAGCAATTTATTGTTCTAATACAGCTATGTGCAAGTTTCTGCTTAACAATTATATTCATCAGAAAAGTGACACATTGTATGAGAAAACTTTTTTTTTTTTTTTGAGATGGAATCTTGCTCTGTTGTTTAGGCTAGAGTGCAATGGTGCGATCTCGGCTCACTGCAACCTCCACCACCCAGGTTCAAGCGAGTCTTCTTCCTCAGCCTCCCGAGTAGCTGGAATTACAGGCGCCCACCACCTCGCCCAGCTAATTTTTTTATTTTTAGTAGAGATGGTGTTTCACCATGTTGACCAGGCTTGTCTCTAACTCCTGACCTCGTGATCCATCCACCTCAGCCTCCCAAAATGCTGGGATTACAGGCATGAGCCACCACACCCGGCCAAGAAAACATTTTTAAATTATATATTTTCTGTGTAAACAGTTACATTTTTACTTTATCGTCATTTACCTGGTTTTTAGATTAAAGAAAACATAAAATTTTTAAATCATATTGTTACTAAGTTAATTGCCACTTTCTCCTTAATAATTTTTTCAGTTCTTTGCAGTCCTGTTTACCTTTCTTGAGACTGACAACTCTTTGCAATTTCACTCTTTTTCTTTCTCTGCTTTAAAGTACATTATGGTAGAGGTACACTCTATTAGAATATAGCATTAAAATATTTTTTTGTGTCTTTTGTTATTGCTGTTTAAACAGGCTTTTGTTGAAAATAATCCTGCCATTAAATGGTGTCCTACTCCAGGCTGTGACAGAGCAGTCAGACTAACAAAACAAGGGTCAAATACATCTGGATCTGATACACTCAGCTTCCCATTGCTGAGAGCTCCTGCTGTTGATTGTGGAAAAGGACACCTCTTCTGTTGGTTAGTATAAGAATCAGCCTAATTACTTTCCTAATAATTGTTAAAGAGACTTTGCCCCTTGAGTCAGGCCTTTAAATGGTAGTGTACTTGATAATAGTCTTCTTAATTTGATAAATGTGTAATAAGTAGTAATGATTCATACTTTTTGTGTGCTTAGTGTGTGTCAGGCACTACACCAGCTATTTTTCATGTATTCAATTCTCCCAACAATGCTGAGGTGAGTTGTTGTTACTATGCCCATTTTACAGATAAGGAAACTCGGGCACAGAGAAGTTCCCCAGGGTTATACAGCTAGAAATTGGCAGAAATGGGATCAGAACCTGTCTGTTTGATTTTAAACCCCATGTACCTAAACTATAATACCAAATTGCTGACCATAGATTAGAAAATGTTTAGAGTTTAACCTTTCATTAAAAATACAAGTCTAGCAGTGAATCTTCACCAGGAGCTCCCAAAATTACTGAGGTTACTTTTCCAAAATTTTATCCTGGGCCCTAACAAGTAAGATTTTGATTTAGTAGGTTTTTTAGTGGGTTTCTAAAAAAAGAAAATTTAAAGTATCCCAGGTGATTCTAATGCACAGTTCTAGTCAAGAATCAATGACTGCAGGCTTGCTGTGTCTTGTTTTCTTTAGTTTCTAGTGCCTGATAGTACTCAATAAGTACAAACTGATGATAAATCAGTATTGAAAAGGATAAGTAACTCTGAATACTCTTGACTTTATATGTATTAGCCATCAGCACTCTACTTATTGATAGTAGATTCAGTTAACTGTTTTGTTTTAATTAAATGATAAAAACAACAGTATTTATTCTGCTTTTTGCTCATTGTCAAAATTACCAGATATGCATGGATACACTTTAGGTGAATATAAAACTCTAGTCTTCACTTTTATACTTGACAGAAACCAGAAACTAATTTTATCACTGTTACATAGTAGGAAGTTATAGTTATGGTACCATCCCTACCCTGGGACAGAGTCTTGCTCTGTCACCCAGTCTGGAGTGCAGTGGTACGATCTAGGCTCACTGCAACCTCAGCCTCCCAGGTAAGCAGTTCTCCTGCCTCAACCTCCCAAGTAGCTGGAACTACGTACAGGCACATGCCACAATACCTGGCTAATTTTTTGTATTTTTAGTAGAGACTGGGTGTCACCGTGTTAGCTGGATAGTCTCAATCTCCTGACCTCGTAATCTGCCCTCCTCAGCCTCCCGGAGTCCTGGGATTACAGAAGTGAGCCACAGCACCTGGCCACTCTGGTCTACTTCTTACCTTCACCATCATCATTAGTTAAAAGTATTTATTGAACTGCAAACCCCTTACTCTAAGTCAGGGGTCAGCAAACTATTGTCTACACTTATTATTTAAAATAACATTTTATTTGAACACAGCCACACCATTTCATGTCACTTTATTATGTATTGTCTGTGCCTGCTTTTGGGCTATGACAGCAGAATTGAGTAGCTGAGACAAAGACTGCATAGCCTGCAAAACTCAAGATATTTACTATCTGGCCCTTTACAGAAAAATTTTCCTGACCCCTCCACTATGGTGATTAATGAAAGGAAAACCATGCTAACTGCTTTCATGGCTAAATCAAACTAAGCAAGCAAAAGGGCAACAAAATACAGAACAGTAGGTTATATCTATATGCTTTCAGGTGATTTTTTAAAACACTTAAAAGGCAGGAATCGGCAAAAATGGGATTAGAACCCAACCTTCTATTAAGGTCTTAGATTTTTATTATTCAATGGTTTGGTTTCTAACTCACCTCATTAACCCACCATGAGAGATAAGGCTTGAAATGAGAAGTAAAGTTAATGCATATGAGCTGAATTGGTAGCAAATTAATGGTATTTAGATGAATATGAACCTACTTTACTGTAAAGCAAGTATATAAAAGTAATAAAGGAGCTTTCTCTTCTGAGCCAGTGTGGTTTCCAGAGATAATTAAACTCTAGGGTCCTAAGGCAGCACCCATTGTATGCATCCTGTGCATCTAAAATGGTACTAATTATATAGCATCCTTGGGGAAAATGAGAAAAATTGTCATATATTGTAAATTATTTTCTGAGTTCTGTGGTTCAGATGAGGAATCCTGGTTGAGAAAGGCTGATTTAGAGGATTAGTTAGAGAAACGACAAAGAAGGAAAACAAATTAGGAAAATGTCTAAAAGATAAAATAAAAAGATTAGTTTTTGCTGAGATCAGATAAAAATTAAGTTTTGAAGGGAAAAGAAAAAAATTTGATGGCATTGTCTTCTTAAGCACTGTGGTTTTTGTGATCTAGCTTTTACCAGTTTTCACTGTAGTTTAGCTTTTAATTTCTTGTGTTCTTCCCCATTCTCTTTGTATGCTGCAAGTAATAATAAGTTTAGTTTGACTGAAGATAAGAAAAGGTAATGGAAAAACCTACCAATATAGGTCAGACTCTAAAAACTATGTGTATATATATATCTATAAACATAGATGATGCTCTAAACTATAAATTTCTAGAATAACATTTGGAGAAATACATCAGCATACTTTTTTTCATGCCCCAAAATATCAGGCTGTTTATACTCAAGACCCACTGGAGACTATATACTAAGATTACATGCCCTACTTTGAATTTTTTCCCAGTTCAAGGGATCTGTGAATGGCCACATGGACTAAGGTCATACTTGGTAATTATTTACTCTTCTCCTATTCATAAGGATAGTAGAGAACCTAACAAAATCATCACTTTTTGGACATAGCACCAGAGAGGAAGAGAAGAAGGTGACTTAAATGAAATAAAAATAAGTTTTAGTGAAGGACAAACTCAGATGAATCCTTTGCCTTTTGGTTTTCTTAAGTTATAGGATGGATTTTTTGCATTGCCTGCTTCTCCTCTCTAGGCATTAATTTACAGTTCCTGTTTTTTGCATTCTTAGCTTTGTACCCTTATTCATATAGTATAAGAGCTTTGACTGTAATTTTAAAATCTAAGTAGAAATTGTCATATGCTTTGCGTTGCCCTTATCTCTTATTTCAATGAGAAGCAAAATCTGTTCATGCAAAAAGAAGCTTTGCAAAAGAGATCTTCACAAATTAAGATGCTGGTTTTACTTCTTTCCTTCTTCAAAAGCTCAGAAATAATTTTCTAAATATGACTATAAAAAACAACAATAATAATTTCTAGTTTCTGAGATCTATATATGACAGAAGCAGTTGAGCCAGACCCAAGAGATATCTGCATGGATATAACTAAATATATTCATTTTTGGAAGACAAGTAGTATTAATAGGCATTCCCCTTCCCACTACAAGATACCCTTATCTATCTGTTCACCAAGTTTCTAGCCCTCTGTAACTGAAGTTAGCATGCTTTCTCCCCTAGCCTTTATAAATACACTTTGTGTGATCTGGACAAAATTATCTCCAGACAATATTCAAAACCTGGATGGACTCTGACTTGAACCAATGACTTTTCCTCTGTTTTTTTCTTTTTAATTAAGTAAAATAGGCTACTGTGTAACTTCTCTCCCTTCTGAACTGACACAAAGTCTCTCTTCTCTGAGACAATTCTTCACAGGTTTTTTTTTTAAATCAGAAATACATCTTGGCCACCAAGCCAAGATGGTATGGTGGCCATTTCTTTCCTCTCTTTTTACTCTGGTACCTTTTAAGCAATGGTGTCCATTGGAAACTGAGAAGCTTACTTGGAATTTCTCTTCTAAACCCATAGACAGTCAAGCATATTTTATTCACTGAAATCGATTGGCAGGAAATATTCTAAATAATAATATGGTAGAGTTTGAATATATCACCTAGCAATTGAGCATTTATTTACTGAAACTATGCAAAGTCTTTAAAAGGAACAAATTTAAGTCCCTGATATGAAGGCTAGAATCATAGTGGTGTACAACTTGAGAAACCACAGTATCGGATTTCTAGTCCACTTAAAAAGTTTCCAATGGATCAGAGTACAATGTGCAGACTTGTCAAGTATTGGAGAAAAGTCTGAAAGTGAGTATCTTTTTTCTCCAGCACTCACAATAAGGATTTTGATCAATACCTACTCCTTTATTAGGATCATGGGTCTTATTTGAGTTAAAGCAATAGTTGCATGTATCATCTCCCTCTCCATAGACCTCACAGGCCAAGAGACTCTCCAGGAGCCCTCTGGACAAGATAGATGAAGTAGTCTGTATTTGCGGACCTAATAATTGTGTCTCATCTTTTCTTACAAAGTCAGTTTTATGCTCTTAAATTAACAGCTCTAGTTTTGGAAAAAAAGATTTTTCTAGATTGGTAGTATCTAGCTATTTAAGTATCAGACTTCTGCCAACTAGCAAAACATTCTCCAGCTCTTCACAGGCCCAGAAATAAAAACATGATGCTGCTTATTTGGCAGTTCAGTCGTAAGATCTTGTTTAAATATCATGTGTACTATCTGCAGAGTAGCACATCTGCATAAATGAGTACTGCTTGAGGGTTCAATTTATGAAATTTCAACAGAGTACAGAGTGATAATAATCTGAGAGATACAGAACCTGCCTGTGAGACAGCTCTACCACTAACTAGTTGTGTGGCTTGGTGATAAACATCCTCTCCTAAAATAATATGATAAAATAAAGCCTTCCTATCTGATGCAGTCAACATAGAGTGCAGGTTCTGGAACCAAACTATTTAGCCTCAAATGTTAGCTTATCTACTCTTTACTTGTATGCCCTTTGGTAGGTTACTGAACCTCCCTGTGCATCAGGATAAATAGTACAAGTTTCAAAGAGTTGTTAAGAGAATTAAATGAGTATTTAGAACATTGCTTGGTATACTAAAAAATGTTAGCTAACGGAGAGAATCATAAAAATGAGAATTTCTACTTAATTCACTCAGAATTTTTTGTTAATTAAAAGTTCTAAAATGGCATTGAACTGAAATTGCCAACTTCTGAATAGGAATTTCTTCCCTCAAGTAATGAATTTTAAAACTTTAGTGGAAGATGTTTCATTTTCCAGAGCCCTTTAGAACCACTGTATAGTCATGCCAGCAGTTGTGCATACTGGCACATTTTCTTTTTTCTTTCTTTTTTGTTTTTGAGGCGGAGTTTCTATCTTGTTGCCCAGGCTGGAGTGCAATGGCGCGATCTCGGCTGACCACAACTTCTGCCTCCCAGGTTCAAGCAATTCTCCTGCTTTAGCCTCCCAAGTAGCTAGGATTACAGGCATGTGCCATACCATGCCTGACTAATTTTGTATTTTTCTTCATGTTGGTCAGGCTGGTCTTGAACTCCCAACCTCAGATGGTCTGCCTGCCTCAGCCTCCCAAAGTGCTGGGATTGCAGGCATGAGCTACCACACCCGGCACATACTGACGGGCACATTTTCAAGGAGAGAGCCATTCCTTGATATTTGATGTTAACTATCCAATTATATTTGAACTAGGTTGAGGACTTTAAATCAGGCAGCTATTTTTTTTCTTTATAAACTTTTACCAGGGTACTTTTTTCTCTGAATAAACCCACCCTATTGGTGTCTCTGGCTGCAACTCAGTAGGCTGTGTCCTGAGATTCCCCTCCTCATACTTTTGTTTTACTGACATTTTGAAATATGGTTTCAACAATAGACACCAGGACCTTTAGAATACGTCAACAGTCATTGGTTAAAATTTTCTTCAGGAATTTAGGCCAGGCACAATGGCTCACGCCCGTAATCCTAGCACTTTGCAGGGCCAAGATGGGCAGATCCCTTGAGCCCACGAGTTTGAGACCACCTGGCAACATGGCGAAACCCTGTCTCTACAGAATATACAAAAATTAGCTGGGCATGGTGGTGCACACCTATCGTCCTGGCTACTTGGGAGGCTGAGGCAGTAGGATAGCTTGAGCTCAGGAAGTGGAAGCTGCAGGGAGCCAAAATCACATGCCACTGCACTCCAGCCTTGGTGCCAGAGCAAGACTCTCTAAAAAGAAAAAAAAAAAACTTTCTTCAGGAAGTTAGTATTCTAGCATCTTCACTACTTTTCTCAGAACCTCTCTTTCCTACATTGATCATCTAGGTTGTCCATTACCTATTATGTTTAGTGGCATTGTTATTACTATACTTTGGAGAATTCTGAGTTTATTTTTCCAGATGCCTTAATTTTTAAAGATATTTTATAATATTAAATAGCAACCTCAACCTCTAATTCACAGTCCATGCTGTAGCTTCTTTTTATTTATAAGCTGCTTCTTTTTATATCCTTTCTTAGTATTGCATTGGAAACTAGTAGAAACTGCCAACCAGTTACAACACCCTGAAGTGGTCCTACTGATTGGGCTTGCAACCAAGGAAGCGGCAAGTCTGGGTACTCCTGTGAGGTTTTGAAAAAGAAAACCTTCTGTTGCTATCTAATACAACACAGCCTTGGAGAGCCAACACACTGATAAGCAATTATGGCCTTTTGAAGAAGTGCCTTTTTTTTCCCAGACTTTATGAAAACATGGGCTTCGTTCCCCCATGATTTTTTTTTTCCAGAACATTTTCAAAAAATGTTCTGACAGCAAAACCAGTATTTACTAGTGTTGATTCTGCTAAGAAAAGAATATTGAATATGCTGTTTAATCTCTAGGGGTGAAAAGTCTCCAGAGGAAAAAAATCTTAATAGAAATAATTTATTTCATTGATTGTATTTGTTTGTTTTAGTTACTGCAGATATATAAGGGCTTTTTGTGCTTTAATACTTTTTTCTAGCTTTATTGAGATGCAAATAACAAGCTTTTTTGAAAAATGAGTCATGAGAAATGTAGATTCTCTATTCCCACATGTGTTTGCAGGCACCATATGGAAACACTGTTCCTAGATCTGTGGCATATTTCTTACTTTAATGTCTGCTAGCATGTGTGCCAAATTAAAATTAACCATTATCACAGATACCCCTTACATTTCTGGAAAGTAGAGTTGATGTTAATATTCACTTTTTTTAAGAGATGAGGTCTTGCTGTGTTGCCCAGGCTGGAGTGCCATGGCTATTCACAGAGTGATAATAGCACACAACACCCTGGAACTCCTGCTCTGTTGATTCTTCTGCCTCAGGCTCCCAAGTAGCCACTGTGCCCAGCTCACTTCCATTTTTTAATCAACTCAATATTTTTTGAGTATCTGTTAAGTTACCACTACGTTGCTAGGAACTCTGTAAAACCACAGTTATGGAAAGGATTTCTCAAATGCCAGATTAGATTTGGTAAGTTAGGAGTGTAAGAAAACTAAATTACCCTTTCAGGGAAGTTGGTGCATTTTTTTTTCTACCATTTAACCACTTTTAATTGTTTAATTCAGTGACATTAATTGCATTCACAGTGCAGCTATAACCTCTCATAACCACTTTTCATTTTCAGAACTTTTTCATAATCCCAAACAGAAACTCTGTAACTCTCAAGCAGTTAACGCCCCATCCTCTCCTCCCCCAAGCTGGTAACAACCACTCTACTTTCTTTCTCTATGAATTAGTTCATTCTAGATATTTAATATAAGTAGAATTCTAGAATATTTGTACTTTTGTGTCTAGCCTCACTTAACAAATTTTTTTTAGCAAAATATTTTTAAGGCTCATTCATAGTGTAGCATGTATCCAAATATTATTCCTTTTTATGGCTGAATATTGTGTATACGTGTGTATGTGTGTATGTGTATACTCCACAATTTGTTTATCCATTCATCTGTTGATAGACACTTGGGTCATTTCCCCCTTTTAGCTGTTATGAATAATTCTGTGAATATTGGTGTACAAGTTTGAATCCTTGCTTTCAATTCTTTCATACCTTAGAATGAAATTCCTAAATCATATGATAATTCTATGTTTAACTTTATGAGGAGTCACCAAACTATTTTTCACAGCAACTACATCAGCATTTACATTTCTATCAGTAGTGCACAAGGGTTCCAATCTTTGCACATCCATACCAACACCTTCTTTTTTTAATAATCACCGTCCTAAAGAATATGAAGTAGAAACAATACATTCTTAATTACCTCTTAGTTTGTAAGACTACATAAGTCAGTTGGTGTGTCTTCTTAACACACTTAACCTTTTATTATTTTCCTTCCTTGAGATGGAGTCTTGCTCTGTCACCTAGGCTGGACTGCAGTGGCACAATCTCAGTTCACTGCAGCCTCCATCTCCCAGACTCAAGTGATCCTCTTACCTCAGCCTCCTGAGTAGCTGGGACTACAGGCGTAAGCCACCACTCCCTGCCCAAGCTTAACCTTTGTAAATAAAATCTTTTAAAACAGCACTGATGGTGATATCACTTCCATATTGGGTTGTTTTCTCCTCCAAATAATATCACTGACTGGAATAATTACCTTTGTTCTATACAATAATTAAAATTGCAGTTTTGAATTAAAATGGTAGTCTACAAAGGCTTTAGGCTTGTTTTAGTGTTTGACTTCTTATATAACTATGGAAAGAATATAAAATAGAGTCAAATGATAAATTGATGTTACTAATTATTTAAATCAAAATTTGCCAAATTCTCATAAAAGTAAATTGAGTTACCCCAGCTGTTACCTGGAGATTGAGAGGTAAAAGTGACTACAATAATTTGACTTAAAACAGTGTTTTTCAAACTTATAAAATGAAGAACATTCATGTGGTAATTTTTATAAAATATAGATTCTAATCTAATCTCATGAAGCCTGTTCTTCTGCATGTCTAAAAAGCTGCTCAGTAATGGCCAGGAATACACCTTCGAGTAACAATAATTTAAAATATTAATGAGGATAAAACATAATTGATTAAATGTTTTAAAGCTCTGAAGACTTGCAAATCTACGTTATAAATATAAATCTATTTAAAAACTTTTGAAATATGTAAATGAATACTGATTTTTATTAAAAAACTGGTCTAATGGTATTAAGCCTTGGAATCTCATTTTCAGTTCGTCTGTTGAAATACTCCATCTCTCATTAGTCACTGTGCCTTAGTTTTTTCAACTTTAAAATTGGAAGAACACTTTCTACATTTTTTTTTTTTTTTGAGATGCAGTTTTGCTCTTGTTGCCCAGGCTGGAGTGCAATGGTGCAATCTCAGCATACTGCAGCCTCCACCTCCGAGGTTCAAGCAATTCTCCTGCCTCAGCCTCCTGAGTAGCTGCGATTACAGGCATGTGCCACCACACCCAACTAATTTTTTGTATTTTTAGTAGAGACAGGGTTTCACCATCTTGGCCAGGCTGGTCTCAAACTCCTGACCTCAGGTGATCCACCCGCCTTGGCCTCCCACAGTGCTGGAATTACAGGCATGAGCCACCACACCCAGCCTCTACATATTTTTTTTTTACCTTGATGTTGATGAAGAATATTTTAAAATTGTCTTTTCTATGTTCTTTTTTTCTTTAGGGAGTGCCTTGGTGAAGCACATGAGCCTTGTGACTGCCAAACATGGAAGAATTGGTTGCAAAAAATAACCGAAATGAAACCAGAAGAACGTAAGAGGAATTTTAGATAGCTTTGCTACATATTTCCTTATAGCTTTCAAAAGAAAATGTGGTCATATCCTTTTTAGTCTTCATTTAAGAGGTTTCCAAATTTGTTAATGCAAGCGTTCTCCTGTTTCACTTCACCCCTTTGACTAACGTCCTTTTGGAAGTAGTAGAGTTTTGGCAAGGAGGAATCATGGACAAGTTCCATGTCTCTATCAGACTTACTTTCCAGCCAAAGACAAACAGGGTAAATAGGGGTCACAGCTAAGCCTCCTTCTACAGCCCTTTTCTTTTATCCTAGGGTGAGCCAATCAGTTGTTCTGTACTATGTGGGAAGTAGTATATGATCTGTAGTTTGAGTGAGTTTCCCATATCCCTGAAAGCTTCCAATGAAGGATACAGCACGTTAATTTTTTTTTACTCTTGTGTAGTTCTTTAGATTTATTGATGTTAAATACCTTATAGATAAATGTTGTCACTGAGACGTCTATAAATACATTCTCTCTGTTAATCGTCAGAGAAATGATATGAGGTTGATGTTGGTAATCCTGTTTTACAGAGGAAGCTAATGCTTAGATTGGGTTAAATGACACAGGGCATGCACCTTGTAAACAGAATGGGTTTGAATCTCTGAGGGGACTCCTTTTTAAACCCTTCCTAATAGCAGTTCCTGTGTTTAACAGATAAATCTGTCTGCTTTGCAATAATTTCCCATCTTCTCAAATGTTTTATAACAACTGTTTTCTCTCAAAAAATATAAACAAAAATTAATTTAGTTCTGGTCTTTTTTAAAAAAAGATTTAGGGGCCGGGCGCGGTGGCTCAAGCCTGTAATACCAGCACTTTGGGAGGGTGGATCACAAGGTCAAGAGATCGAGACCTTTCTGGTCAACATGGTGAAACCTCGTCTCTACTAAAAATACAAAAAATTAGCTGGGCATGGTGGCGCGTGCCTGTAATCCCAGCTACTCAGGAGGCTGAGGCAGGAGAATTGCCTGAACCCAGGAGGCGGAGGTTGCAGTGAGCCGAGATCGCACCATTGCACTCCAGCCTGGGTAACGAGCGAAACTCTGTCTCAAAAAAATAAATAAATAAATAAAAAAGATTTAGCTAATGGTGTTAGCTTGAGATGTTGCAAGTCAAGATCAAGAATTAACTCAATAAGTCTACACTTATGAGTAAAGCACATAATAAAGATAATGCCAGACTTCAGGGTATGCAGAGGCTAGAGGGAAGCAGTCAGACATTACAGTATCATATGATAACTGTTATAGTTGAGTAAAGATGAGAGTCCAGAAACAAAAACAACAAACTCAAGTTCATAGGAGAAAGGGTATCAAAGAATCACCTTGAAGGCAGTGAGCTATGAACTGGATTTTAGCATTTCTGTCTTGTGGTAGGTAATTACTGTCAGCAACTGAACTAGCATTGAGAGAGATTGCCCAGCAGCCATGATACTTTACAGGCTTGTATTACATCAGGGAACTTACCACTGCCTGAGGACTGGTCCTCAGCATTTTAGATCTACAAGGTTCGCTTTGTCCACTGACTCAGGATTATTATGACCCTTGGAGAAGAGACTACCATATAAACCAGAATGCCCAGTTATTAGTTGATAATGAGGGTGATCCCTTTCACTTGTTGAGAAGGCTTATGTCCATTATCAAGAGCAAAGAGAAGTGGATTATCTTAGAATATTTTATAGTGAAGCCTGATTAAACATTCTTGTCCTGTTCATGCACCATTCAGTCAACATTTTTTTTAAGCTGGGTACAATGGTTCACACCTGTAATCCCAGCACTTTGGAAGGCTAAGGCAGGTGGCTCACTTGAGGTCAGGAATTCAAGACCATCTTGGCCAACATGGTGAAACCCTATTTCTACTAAAAATACACGGATTAGTCCAGCATGATGGTATGCACCTAGAGAGGCTGAGGCAGGAGGATCACTTGAGCCCAGAAGGTGGAGGTTGCATTGAGCCGAATCACACCACTGCACTCCAGCCTGGGTGAGAGAGTGAGACTCCATCTCAACAACAACAGAAATTTTTTTTCTTAGTACTTGTTATGTGCTAAGCACTTCCCAAAACAAAAATACCTGTGTAAGGCCAGGCACAGTGGCCCACACCTATAATCCCAGCACTTTGGGAGTGCAAAGTGGGCAGATCACCTGAGGTCAGGAGTTTGAGAACAGCCTGACCAACATGGTGAAACCCCATGTCTACTAAAACTACAAAAATTAGCGAGGCATGGTGGTAAGCACCTGTAATCCCACCTGCTCGGGAGGCTGGGGCAGGAAAATCACTTAAACCCAGGAGGCGGTTGCTGCAGTGAACCCACACTCGAGCCTGAGTGCCAGAGTGAGACTCTGTCTAAAAAAACAAATACCTGTATAGATTGTGCTTGTTTCCCAGATTCATTGTCCTAGCCATTGCTCGTCATACCCACCATTTCTCCTATTCTCCTGATATGTATGGGTGTTGTATGTTTGTGTTCCATAAATAGATTCATACCATTACCCTGCAGCACCTTTAGATGTGACGAAACAATTGGAATTTACTTTTTTCCTTGCATCTGGCAGCTAGAAATATTTATATTTCTATTATGAATGGCTTGCTATTGCCCACCTACCTACATTTCTTTATATATTTCTTTAGAACTTAAGGTTAAGTTCCATGGGAGAAACTTGCAAGAGATGAGGCTAGAAAGATAGGTGTTGCCAGATTGTGAGCATTATTGCCAAGTTGTTTTGAATTTATCCTCCTAACAGAATAAGCCATAGAGTGTATTATTTAAGTAGGGAAGTGGCAGCATCAGAAAAGTTATTTTTATCAAGATAAATGATGAGAGTGAAGGGTGAATTGAAGAAAAGTAGACTAAAGGTAGGAAGGTGAATTTTTTATTTGAGTCAGAGGGTAAATTATGCAATTAGTAAAACAGGAAACTCAAATAAACAAGTAACTTTGGTGTAGGGGGGGAATAATAAGTTTTAGTGTGAACATTCTGAACTTGAAGTACTTACCCAACATGTATGGGGATGTCCAATGGAATTTTACAAGTGTTTGTCTGAAACTCAGAAAAGATGCTAAGAATCTTAGGAATAAATTATTCATTTTAAATGTTATATTCATTATTTAATTAACTTTTATTGAGTGCTGTTGTATGTTAGAATACAGAAATAAGATGCCCTCGATGCTCTTGAAGTTTACATTTTAGAGAGGCAACTATATACAAAACTAAGGAAAAACGTGTTATGAATGTGAGAGAACATTGTTCATGTATGTGATAACTTGTAGGAGAGGGGAAGGATGAAGAAGGAAGAGGTCAGTTATCTATGGGAGAGGGTTAGGAAACACTTTTATAAAAGAATTGATGTTTAAGCTGCATGTCGAAAGCTGACAGATGTTCTTCACATGAACCAGAATAGGAAAGACATTCCAGGAATAGGGTGAAGTAGTAATGTGAAGTAGTGTGGCATATGCAAGAACTGCAAATAATTCATACAAACAGTGCGGTGGTACGTGGAGAGATGAGACTGTGCAGACAGGAGTCCAAATCAAGTGTTTGGCACAAAGAGGTGGTTATGCACAATGCTAGGAAATCTGACCTTATCCTGACACTGAAAAGGAGTTTTAAGTAGGAGAGTGGTGAATGAAGAAGCTTACTGACAAAGATCACTCAGGCCAGAAGTATGGATGATAAAATGGAGACTATTGAGAAACTGGGTAAGAATGCTAGTTTTGAGACAACTTCAGAATGATCAGATGAGAGGATCAGAGGGCTTAAGATGGGTAATTCAGGTGGGAGGAGGTATATGCAGGAGAGCTTTAAGATATATTAAATAATCTTATTAAGTAGTAAACCTTTTGTGCTTACTAGTTGCCTAAAAGAGTTAATGTACCCTAAGAAGTAATTAGTCTAGCATATTATTCTATTCAATTCTTGAGTAGAAAATGCCCATCGATGTTTGAAATATAAAGCAAGTAGTTTTCTTTTATTTTCCTCCAAACCCCCACCCCAGTCTCCAAGGCGAGTTAGCATCTCCTCAGCTATCTAGATCCTGGGTCCTGGGAACTCAAGGTGAATACTGATCTTGTGGGCACTAAGTGACACACTGGCCCTCTCAAAGTGCTACTATCCTGTGGCATCAAATGACTTTGTGCATCACTTTCCCAGTCTTTTGTTACCAAATCTGATCCATTACCCTGAAAGAACTGTTCTTCTTTCAAGGTTTCAACTGTAAGAACAAATCATCACTCACTAGGTAACTGCTGATCATTCACTCAAGCAGTCTCAAACTATGGATATGATCTTTTAGGTTTATATAGTTCACCTTTTTTTTTTCTTCCCACAATTCCTCAGGTTTATTATAATCTTCTATTTTACCTGTGGTCTAATTAGAGTAATTAATCTCCCTACTTGTCCTTAATTCACAAATTACCCCAATTTTACAGAGGGAGATACCAAGGCTAAGAGAAACAAAAGTGTTCTGTCACATAGCACACCAGATCCATGTCACATCTGGTATCAGAACATGGAAAGAGTCTTTAAAGCAAGTATTTTTAAGTTGATGGCTATTTTTAGTTATTTCTTACCATATTAAAAAATGGATAAATCATTCTATACCCACAGATAATTTTTGCTAGGGAAGGAGAAGGAGAATGGCCTGGCTAGTGAGAACAGATTATGGGTGGGACTGTGAAAAAATGTCCTTGGACATAATAATGATCCTGATACTAAGAGGAGGAAAGAAATAGAAAAGCTAGAAAATGGTTTATACATGGTTACTTCTGATGGCCAGAGATAGGGAGATCACAAATTTAAAAACTGGAGATCACCCTTGAAGATCCCAAATGGCGTTTCGATTTGGAAAGATGGAAGAATGTTTGAAAACATGATAGGAGCCAAAATACTAAAGACATCTGAGATTTGTTCTACCAGAGAAGGAATCAAGCCAAGAAAGTCCCAGCAGTTGTTAAGAAAAGCCTAGGAGTTTTCTCACTCTACTGATCCATGTCTTCCACACTGAAAGATGGTGACTAGTAATGGCCACTTAGGTTTATGAAACTTAGGGTGAGGATTAAAGTAAACAGTAATTGGCCAACTATAATACTAAAGTAGAACACCATCATTAAATATGCAAAAATGATATTTCAAAAGGAAAAGTATGATTAGGTACTGTTTTAAGTTTATGTGTTACTTTGGATTATAGCATTTTTACTTTGCATTTTATGCAAAAAAAAAAAGGTGTAAGCATGTTTAACCAAATTCATAGCTGAATTATGAGACTCAGGGTGAGAAAACCTAATTAATGAGAAAGAAGTATTAGAAAATATACTGAAATCAATTCAAAGAATTTCTTTTTTTTTTTTTTTTGAGACAGAGTTTTGCTCTTGTTGCCCAAGTTTGAGTGTAATGGCACCATCTCAGCTCACCACAACCTCCACCTCCTGCCTCAGCCTCCTGAGTAGCTGGGATTAAAGGAATGTGCCACCATGCCTGGCTTATTTTGTATTTTTAGTAGAGTATTTTAGGTTTCTTCATGTTGGCCTGGCTGTTCTCAAACTCCCGACCTCAGGTGATCCACCCACCTTGGCCTCCCAAAGTGCTGGAATTAGAAGCGTGAGCCACCGCACCTGGCCTAGAATTAATTTCATAAAAAGATTTAAATAGTGTTTAAGTGTTGAAATTGCCTCTATTCTGTCTAATTAGAGCAAGAAGCAGGAATGGTTATATTTTCTATGAAATGATGGTTAATTTATAAATTTTTCAGACCAATATTTTTCATAGGACCTACTCAGTAAACGGAATTCAAATTGTGTATTTAAAAATTCAGTCTTTGACTAGGTGCAGTGGTTCACACCTGTAATCCCAGCACTTTGGGAGGCCAAGGCAAGAGGATCGCTTGAGGATTAGAGTTCAAGACCAGCCTGGGCAACACAGTGAGATCCTGTCTCTCCAAAAAATTAAAAACTTAGCCAGGCATAGTGGCACATGCCTGTAGTCCTAGCTACTTGGGGAAGCTGAGGCAGGAGTATCTGTTGACCCCAGAAGTTGAGGGCTACAGTGAGCTGTGATTGCACCACTGCATTCCAATCTGAATAATTGAGTGAGTTCCTATTTCTAAAAAAAATAAAAAATAAAATTTTAACCTTTAAAAGCAACTGTTTTCACATGCATACATGTTGATTCTGTTAATAGATATTAGATTTTGTGATACTCTAATTCTTTATTATGAAGTTAATACGTTTTGCAAAGAAACCTAAGCACACTAGATTATTAAGAAAGAAGATCAAGATATAAAAGAGATGTGACTGAAGTGAAGGGAAGAGTTTGAAAGTCAGTAGAGATGAAAAAATCTCACCAGATAGATTGAAGGGAGATGTAGTGTTGTTGGGGTTAAAAACAGGATGTATGAGCTAGATGAGGTGGCTCATTCTTGTAATCCCAGCACTTTGAGAGGCCAACGCAAGCAGATCACTTCAGGACAGGAGTTTGAGACCAGCCTGGTCAACATGGTGAAACTTCATCTCTACTAAAAATAAAAAAATTTAAAAAAAAAAATTAGCCAGGTGTGGTGGCAGGCATCTGTAGTCCCAACTACTTGGGAGGGTGAGGGACAAGAATCACTTGAACCCAGGAGGCAGAGGTTGCAGTGAGCTGAGATCACGCTACTGTACTCCATCCTGGGCAAAGTGAGAGTCTGTCTCAAAAAAAAAGGATATTTAAGGAACAGATATATGGAATAAGCATGTTCAGAGAATTGGAAATAAAGGTATTTTTTCCAGCATGAGTTTTTATTATAGTTGTAGTTGGTTGTTCCCTGAATGTGATTTGCTTCATGCAGTTCACTAAAATGCAGTTAGGAAATCACATTCTCCCCAAGGGTGGAAGAAAAAACTGTTATGTTGCAGGCCACACTGCTGCTTTGTTTTAATGGCTTTGTGCTTTATTTATTATAACAATGGACAATAAGGGTCATAAGAATATGTTAGTGCCTCTGAACTAACAATAGTGTTGATGCTGAAGGAAGAAGAAAGGCCACGCTTTTAACAAAAATTAGATGTTTTAAATATAAAGTATACTTAAATGATTAGGTTTTATAGCAGTATTCTTTGTAAGTGGAATTGCCTCCACAGCTTGACCTTATTAGCCCTAAGTAGTTTCTTCCAAAACTACTGTCACCCACCAAATTATCTGAGAATATTTCCCACCAACACCTTAATCAAACCGTCTTCTACCAAGTATGTTTACAACTGGAGTAAAGTCTGATCAGTTCATTACTGCTGTTTCACTTGCTATGTGGAGTTTAAAACCAGTGCTTTTACAGTCCAACAGTAGCTGCTGTTCTATTGTTAATATAAACTTAAGTAGGTAAGCACTTGGGGTTCCTTGCAGCAAGAGAGGTTCCTGCACTGCTAGGCTCCATCAGAAGACTGCTTCTAGTGCTCAGCCCTTCCAATCCATACACAGAGCCACTTTCCAGGGATCAGTGAGTCCAGACCTTTGTCTCCCTTCCCTCCCCAGGGGCTTATATCTAGGGATTGGGCAATTTTTCTTTTTGAACTTCGAAACTCAGAGTCTGATTTCTCCCCTGCTTTGGACAGTAGAGCCAACCATTTACTCCACCACCCTTCTGAAAGTGTCTGCATGTAAACAAAGCTTTGATTAGATGGGCCACTTTCAGTGATTCTAAAATGATTTTCTGGCATCTCTTTGAGTAAAGAAAATGTAAGGCTTCTCAGTGCACTTAGGGCTAAAAAAGAAAATAAAATTTAACCAACTTGAGTGCTGACATTCTTGGCAGGAAAAAATTTTAAATTATACATCTAGTACTCTCCAGCCCCTAACTCTGTCCATAGAGGGGAGAGGGAAGTTTATAAAATGTAAAATTTGGAATCTTTAAAAACCATGACATTCCTTAAGATTGTAGATCTCAAATTATATTAAAGTAAGTTGAGTTTAAGAAAACGAAGAGTATAAGTTTGATTAGGGATGGAGGGTGAGAGGAACTTGCCAGAGGGGACATATCATAATGGGCTTTATATTCTTCGCAAAAACAATTGGATTTTATCTTGTAGTCAGTAGGGAGCAAATTAAAAAATTTCAAGCAGTTGTATATTCTAAAAAGATCACTGTGGGATGGGTGGCTGGCAGGGGCAGGGGATGGGAGGATGAAGAAAAGTTGGTTAATGGGTACAAACAGTTAGATAGAAGACAATATTATATTTCAAAGTAACTAGAAGAGAGGACTTGAAATGATACCAACACATAGAAATTATAATTATTCAGTGTGATGGGTACTTCAGATATCCTGACTTGATTATTACAGATTCTATGCATGTAGCAAGCAGTCATATCTACTTCATAAATATGTAAAATATCTTGTGTCAATAAAAGAAAAACACCTCTGTCTCAAAAAAAAAAAAAAGAAAAACACATAGATTTAAAAAAAAAATCACTGTGCAAGCAGTGTAGTTGAAGGTGGACGCGTGAAAGAACTGAGGAGATAGGTTGGTTTTCTATGCTTTAGTTGTGTAGGCAAGAGATATGAAGGACCCTAGCTTAAAGCAGTAAGAACTGGGAATGGAGAGGAACCAAATATGATAAAGAGGGTGGAATAAATAGGATGCTATGAGTGAGGGAACAAGGATGATGTCAAAGATCATACTCTTCCTAAATTGACTCTGGCCAGATAATTGTATCATTTGCCAGGATGGGGAATAAAGAAATGAGCAGGTTTGGGGGGAATAATAAGCTTAGTTTTAGACATGTCACTGAATTAATTTTAAGATTATCCAGAATAATCATGGATAAAAAAAGATGTTGATATTTTTTGCTTTTCACTATGGCAAAGAGTTTCTGATAATTATATTTGCATCTTGCCTGTTAAATAAATTATTGTCTAAAGTAACTGTTCTTTCTGTAATTTCCTTTGGCGCAATCGTTATTTTAAATGGAATAACAATATTGCTTTTTTCTTTTTCTTTTTTTTAACCTTTTTTGTATATGTTGTTTTTGGTCACAGTTTATTTGGGCACAAGTTTATGGAGAAATCTCCCTTAAACCAGGTTTCATGAATATTTCTTTGGAATAGAGTTTCTTATCTTATAATTAGGCTATTCAAAATGAAGCGGTTTAAAAATATTGCCACAGACCCTGATCAGAAAATAAATATTTTATTAAAATTGAGAAACAGCCTGCAAATAAAAGTCTGGAGGGTTGTTTTCCCCTAGAAGTTGTACACTAAATCATTTATTTTTGTGTTTGTGCTTAATATCCCAAAGTTGTGGGAGTTAGTGAAGCCTACGAGGATGCCGCCAATTGTCTCTGGTTATTAACTAACTCCAAGCCTTGTGCCAACTGTAAGTCTCCAATACAGAAGAATGAAGGCTGCAATCACATGCAGTGTGCTAAGGTATGACGTTAAAGAGGATTTTGCATGCTTTGCATTTGGAATCTTAATTTAGTTTGATTGTCAATCCACAGGATAAATTATTTGAGGGGGCCTGGTGCAGTGGCTCTTGCCTGTAATCCTAGCACTTCAGGAGGTTGAGGCAGGAGGATCGCTTGAGGCCAGGGGTTCACGACCAGCCTGGGCAAAATACCAAAACCCATCTCTATAAAAACAAAAACAATAAAAAGGTAAGGGTAAGGAATCTATGGTATTCAACCAGAAGATTAGAAATTCATGAATCCTCCCTTGCTAGTCACCTTCCCCAGTGAGAATCTTGAGAGAGGTGTGTGTGTGTGTGTGTGTGTGTGTGTGTGTGTGTATTTGATATATATATATATATATATATCAACAAAGTGCTGCCTTATATAGAACTCTTGCAAAGCTGGTTTTGGAGCATACGGCTTAGACTCAAGGCCCAAACTAGGCCCAAATCCAGTCCATATACTGTCTCCATACAGTTGGTTCACTGTATCAATGGGTTTCATATTGTTGGGTTTGCATTCATGGATCAAAAATACTTAGGGGAAAAAAATGCATCTGTATTGAACATGTACAGATTTTTTTTCTTGTCATTCTCTAAACAATGCAGTATAACAACTATTTGTATAGCATATATGTTGTAAGATATTATAAGTAATCTAGAAATTATTTAAAATATACCAGAGGATGTGCATAGGTTAGTATGCAAATAATATACCATTTTATATCGGGTAATTGATAATTGTCAGATTTTGGTGTTTGCAGGTCTTGGAACCAATTCTTTGTGGATACTAGGGAACACCTATAGGTAGATGTCTGTATAATACAAGAACCCAAAGCAGTGTCCCGACTTTAGGTCTGCTAATAAAACCACCAATTAAACAAGTAACTCCTTATTATATAGAAAATGAAAATGCCAACAAAGATTCACTTGGCTGAAAAATACTTAATATAAATGATTAATGTTAGAGGTCTAAATGCTAGATGGAATAAATACCCTCTTTACTTAGTTGTGCAGGAAGAAACAGCAGTGTGTATAAAACGAATATGCTGATGTGTTATTAATAACATTTTATTAATCCATAGCTACCTACATTTATGAACATATTTTTATTCAAAATTACATTGATATTCTGGGTTTTTTTTTTGCTTTATCATTGGAAATGTCATCTATGTATAAAATGATTATTTAAAGTTGTTGAGAAGAAAATGTAATTTTTTTTCTAATTTAGGACATGAAGGAAACAAATGGTTAAGATTCCAGTAAAACATAATATTATCTTCTAGGTATTAATTGATTTTTAACCTTGAAACTTAATGATTATTACTATACTTGCAAAAGAATGGCAGTTACAAAATAATTTTTGTAAGTCTATAGTGCTGTAAAATTAACATAAATGAATTGGCTTAGTGAGGCAGTAATTAATGATTCTCTAAGACGCAGAAAGAAAAATCTAGGGCAGTGTTATGAGCAAAATATTCAGAAGTGCTGTTTATTCAGCTAAGGATCCAGCCAAAATTATTTTATCTCTTTGTGATCTTATCTCCAATGTCCATATCTTTTTTTATTCCTCTTATAGACCACAGAGATGTATAAAGAACTATAGAATGACCATAAAAATTTGTAATTGGCTGCTGAGACAGACTCCAATATTATCTTTATTTCCTGCGTAGCACCTACTGGTAGTAAATACTTGATAAATACATACTGCATTCCTGAATGTTTTCATGAATTAATCGGGCTGATAATATTAGGTAATCCAACCTAAATAGACTTTGTTTAAGCTTCTGTTGCATTAAAAAGAAATATTTACTTATGTACTCTGTAAATGTAGTTGTTGTATTTATTATGCCATCTGAAGTGTTTGCATTGAACAATAAAACCCGAAAAGTAGTATCCTTATTATGACACGGAAGACTTATGTAGAAAATATAACATTACTGCAGCAAAATCATATGTACTATTTTTTAAGTGTGTAGGTGAAACAACATGTCATGTGTAATGGACTCCATCCTCTGACATAATTGTTAAATCATAGCACACTTTTATTAATACCTCAGCTTTGATAATGTATGATTTAGTAGGCAGTTTTTACTTTTGAAATCAAGTGTGTTTTTAAATAATGAGAAATTTCATTCCCTAAAAATGAGCTTGTTTATTTTTAAAACACTTTGTAAAATTTCCCTAATTTAGATAATTTAAATTATTGCATTCTTAAATATTTTAAATCACTTATAGTATCTGATTCTGTGTAACTGTATGCTACAACTTAAAAAAAAGGGTTTTTTTCATTATAAACTGTAGAATAGTTAAATACCGTAATTGCTAAGGTATATCTGATCACTGTATAATCAAACTCTATACTAAAACTAAAAATTAACATTGATTATAAAAGAAAAACCTTTGAACTTGACAGCGAGGTAGAATATGGCAAAAAATAAAAATAAAAACCTTAACATTAGAGAAAATAGAAAATAGTACAAATAATATTCTCTGATCATAAGGGAATAAAATAGAAAGTAAGGCCAGGCATGGTGGCTCACACCTGTAATCCCAGCACTTTGGGAGGCTGAAGCAGGTGGATCACCTAAGGTCAGGAGTTTGAGACCAGCTTAGCTGACATGGTAAAACCCCATCTCTACTAAAAGTACAAATATTAGCTGGGCATGTTGGCAAGTGTCTGTTATCCCAGCTACTGGGGAGGCTGAGGCAGGAGAATCGCTTGAACCTGGAAGGCTATAGAACTTTCAAAATTAGAATCAGTTCTCTCAAACCCTGCCACTGCTTTATCAGTTGTTTATGTAATATTCTAGCTTTGTTGTCATTTCAACAATGTTTACAAAGTCTTCACCAGGAGCAGATTCTAGCTCAAGAAACTACTTTCTTTGCTTACCCATAAGAAACAAGTGAGCAGAGATTGTGCCATTGCACTCCTGCGTGAGCCATAAGAGTGAAACTGTGTATCAAAAAAAAAAAAAAAAGTAAAGTTACAAGATGTCTTTTGGAAATTTTAAATATCAACTCCTCAGTAAGAAAGGAAATAAAAATGGACATTCAAGAATTTTTAAAACAAGGGTAATGAAAATACTACTTATCAGAACCTGAGGGCCATAGATAAAGCAATGCTGAGAAATATGCATCACATTATTTACTTAAACTAATACAGAATAATGAATGAGTTAAGAGTATGACTCAACTTTTTTTTTTCTTTTTTTTTTTTGAGATGGAGTCTCGCTTTGTAGCCCAGGTTAGAGTACAGTGGCTCAATCTTGGCTCACTGCAACCTCCACCTCCCAAGTAGCTGGGATTACAGGCATTAGCCACCATGCACAGCTAATATATATATATATATATATATATATATATCTTTTTTAATATTTTAGTAGAGACGGGGTTTCACCCTATTGGCCAGTCTTGTCTTGAACTCCTGGCCTTATGATCTCCCTCTTGCCTCGGCCTCCCAAAGTGCTGGGATTATAAGTGTGAGCCATTGCTCCCAGACTACTCAAAAATTTAGAAAAAAAATAAACTGAAGAAAACCAGGAGGAAGGTTCTGGGTTTTTTTTAAGACAGAAATTAGTGACTTTATAACTGAAAATACAATTAATAAATCCAAAAGGTGATTTTCTTAACAAAAAATAAACCACTAAGCAAGAAAAAAATGAAGGTGAGGCAGTTCAAAGACACAAGATAAAGAATAAGGGAAACACAGGCATAACTCAGAGATACTGTGGTCCAATTCTAGATCACTTCAATAAAGCAAATATCACAGTCAAATAAATCACATATTTTTATGTCCCACCTCATACAAATTTTAACTGTAAACTCATACTGTCTGTTAAGTGTACAATAGCGTAACATATTTTTATTTTAAAATACTTTATTACTGAAAAATGCTAACTATTATCTGAGCCTTCAGTGAGTCGTAATCTTTTTTGCTGGTGGAGAGTCTTGCCTCAGTGTTGATGCTGCTAACTGAACAAAGTGGTGCTTGCTGAAGGTTGAGTTGGCTGTGGCAATTTCTTAAAATAAGACAATGAAGTTTGCTGCATTGGTTGACTGCTTTTCACAATATATTTCTGTATAGCATGTGATACTGTATTACAGAATTTGACCTCCAACAGAACTTTCAAAATTAGAGTCCGTTCTCTCAAACCCTACCACTGCTTCATCAGCCATTTTTGTAATATTCTACTCTTTGTTGTCATTTCAGCAATGTTTACAAAGTCTTCAGGAGCAGATTCTATCTCAAGAAAACAATTTCTTTGCTTATCCATAGGAAACAACTTTTCCCCAATTCAAGTTTTATTATGAGATTGTAGCAATTCAGTCACATCTTCAGGCTGCACTTGAAGTTCTTTTGCTGTTTCTACCACACTGCAGTTAATTTTTTCCACTGAAGTTTTGAACTCCTCAAAGTCATCCATGAGGGTGGGAATCAACCTTTTCCAAACTCCTGTTCATTTTGATATTTTTACCCCCTTCCATGAATCACAAATGTTCTTAATGGCATCTAGAATGGTGAATCCTTTCCAGAAGAGTTTCCATTTACTCTGCCTAGACCTTTCAGAGGAATCACCATCTGTGACAGTTTTAGCCTTACAAAATATTCTTAAATAATAAGACTTGAAATTCAAAATTACTGCTTAATTCATTGGCTGCAGAATGGATGTTGTGTTAGCAGACATTAAAACAACATTCATTTCCTTGTACATCTCTATCAGAGCTCTTGGATGACCATGTGCATTGTCATTGAGCAGTAATATTTTAGAAGGAATCTTTTTTTCTAAGTAATAGCTCTCAACAGTGGGCTTACAATATTCAATAAACCATGCTGTAAACAGATGTGCTGCCATCCAGGCTTTGTTCTTCCATTTAGAGAGCATAGGCAAAGTAGATTTAGTGTAATTCTTAAGGGCCCTACAATTTTGAGAATGGTAAATAAGTATTGGCTTCAATTTAAAGTCACCAGCTGTATTAGCCCGTAACAAAAGTGTCAGCCTGTTCTTTGAAGCTTTGGAGCCAGACATTGACTTCTCGCTAGCTGTAAAAATCCCAGATGACACTGTGTCCCAATAGAAAGTTGTTTCATCTATTTTGGAAATCTGTTGTTTAATGTAGCCACTTTCATCAATGATCTTAGCTAGATCTTCTGGATAATTTATCACAGCTTCTATATCAGCACTTTCTGCTTCACCTTGCACTTTTATGTTATGGAAATAGCTTCTTTCCTTGAACCTCATGAACCAATGTCTGGAGGTTCCTTATGTCTCTCTGTCTTCATAGAAATGAAAAGAGATAGGACCTTGTTCTGGATTAGTATTTGGCTTAAGGGAATGTCGTGGCTCATTTGATCTTCCATCTAGACCACTCGGATTTTCAACTTATCGACAATCAGCCTGTTTCATTTTCTTTTTTTTTCTTTTCTTTTTTTTTTTTTTTGAGATGGAGTTTCGCTCTTGTTACTCAGGCTGGAGTGCAATGGCGCGATCTTGGCTCACCGCAACCTCCGCCTCCTGGGTTCAGGCAATTCTCCTGCCTCAGCCTCCTGAGTAGCTAGGACTACAGGCACACACCACCATGCCCAGCTAATTTTTTGTATTTTTAGTAGAGATAGGGTTTCACCATGTGTACCTGGATGGTATCAGTCTCTTGACCTCGTTATCCACCCGCCTCGGCCTCCCAAAGTGTGGGGATTACAGGCATGAGCCACCACGCCCGGCCACCTGTTTCATTTTCTTATCATTCATATATTCACTGTAATAGCACTTTTACTTTCCTTCAAGAACTTTTTCTTTACATTCACAATTTAGTTAACTGGCACAAGAGGCCTAGCTTTCAGCTTATCTTGGCTTTTCAACATGCCTTCCTCACTAAGCTTAATCATTTCTAGCATTTGATTTAAAGTGAGAGATGTAAGACTCTTCCTTTTACTTGAACACTTAGAGGCCCTTATAGGATTCTTAATTGGCCTAATTTTAATATTGTTGTGTCTTAGGGATTAGGGAAGGCCAAGGAGAGTGAGAGAGACAGAGATAAGAGAATGGCCAGTCAGCCAAGTGGTCAGAACACATACAACATTAATCTATTAAGTTTGCCATCTTATGTGGGCATGGTTCATGGTACCTCCCCCCAAGTATTAAAATAGTAACATCAAAGATCATTGATCACAGATTATCATAACAGATATAATAATTAAAGAGTCTGAAACATTATGAGAATTACCAAACTGACACAGACAAGCAGTGAGCACATGCTGTTGGAAAAATGACTGGTAGAGTTGTCACAAAGTTCAGTTTGTTTAAAAAACAAAAACAAAACGCAGCGTCTGTGATGCATAATACAGCAAACTGCAATGAAACAAGGTATGCCTGTAATCAAAGAAACAAAGCAAATTAAAATAATAAGGAATAACTTGATTCAGTTCTTCCAGATATTTTGAACTTGGATTTGAAGTAGATTGACTTTCTAAGACGGTATTATTTATTAAAACTGATCCTAGAAGAGATAGAATATTCCCAAAAAACCCATTCCCATAGAAGGGAAAAAAGTTTTTCAAAACTCTCCCGCACCTTATACTAACACTTAGAGCAGTGGGCCCTGATAGTTTTATGATAGAATTTTACCAAACCTTTAAGGAGCTGGTAATTCTGTTATTTAAACTATTCTTGAGAGTTAAAAAAAAAAAAAAACTTTCAGATTATTTTTATAAAGCGAATAGAACCTTGATACCTGCTTGACAAGATTATAAAAACTAAAAGAAAACTGTGGATTATTCTTACTTATAAATAACACTATTTATAAGAAGTCCTAAATATTACAGGGATGAAACTACACAGATATTAGCAATAATCCAGCAGAGCACATTCATAAGTAATTGACCAAGTAAGAGTTTATTCCAGGAAGACAGGTTAAGTGTTGCTCATCTGGAATGCTTGGAACTGGAAGTGTTAATGATTTCAGAATTTTTTTTTTTTCATTTTGGAATATTTACATTTTACCAATTGAGCACTCCTAATCCACAAATTTACAATCCATGTCAGTGCTCAAGAAGTTTTGGATTTTGGAGCAGTTAGGATTTCTGATTTTTTCATTAGGGATGCTTTAACCTGTGTAAGAAGGGTTCAATATTAGGAAAACTGATGTTGTACCTCATGTATTGGTAGGTCCAAGGGGAAAAATTACATATTTTCCATATCTCCTGAAAAGGTATTTGATCAAACAAACAAACAAACAAACCATTATGTATAAAACACTCAAAGAAATAGAATAGATTCTTTCTTAGTATGATAAAAATAACCTCAGTTCAAAAGCTAGCATATTTAGTGGGGAAAACTAGAGTCACTCCCACTAAATTCAAGAATAAGATGAAGGTATTTTCCATCACTAATATTATTAACATTAGACTGAAGATACCAGTTAACATAGACAATAGAAAGAGACTATAAAAATTAGAAATGAGATGATAAAATTATCACTTTTTACAGATGGCATGATTGTATACCTAGAAAATTTACAAAAATCAACTGAAAAACTGCTACAAACAAAAATTCAGTTGAGTAGCAGAGTACACAATTACTGTGCAGAAAGTAATAACCTTCATGTGTATCAACAACAATCAGATTGAATATTTACTGAAAGACTTCATTTATCTGGAAATAAATTTAACAAATATGCAAGACTTATGGGGAAAAAATATAAACCCTCTCTCTGTAGGTCACAAAATATTACAAACAAATGGAAAGACGACCAAATTCTTAGACAGAGAGATTACGTCAAAAATAGCAATAGGTTTTGTTTCTGAATCTAAGTAAACTAATTCAAAAGTTATATGTCAGGGCCAAGGGGAAGCAAGAACAGAAGTCTGAAAAAGAGCAGTGAGGGGGAACTAGCCTTGTCAAATAGCCATATTATTTAGCCTCAGAAATTCAGACAGTGTGGTGCTGGCACATAAAATAGAATAGAAAGAAAGCCTAGCATATAGACACAGATACATGGGAATCCAGTATGTGGTAAAGGTGGTGTCTACAACCAGTGGAGAAACATGAGCTATTTAAATGGTATAAGGACTACTGGGCAGCTGTATGAGAAAGAATAAAGTTGAATTCATACTGTATCCTATATAGTAAGGTAAATTCCAAATGACTCAAAGATAAAGTTACTTTAAAAAAATAAAATAAATCATAAGAGTACCTGAAAACAACATAGAATGGGAAGATCTTTTTAACTGACTCAAAATCCATAAGCATAAAAAAGGATATATTTTCATGCTGAATGCTCATATTTTTGGTACTGTCTGATAATTATGGTAATTAAGTAAGTGAAATTTACTTTAAAATGGGAAACTGTTTTTATATCAGCTGTTTCACTTAGAGGTCTTTTCAGCTTATTTCTAGTTTCAAAACTAATTTTTCAAAATTGCCAGAAGTTTGTCAAATAGTCTGGTGGAGCTTTATAGACCAATGTCAGATTACAACGTACTTAAAAATGAAACACTTGTCAGTATCTGGTTATTATTTGTAAAGAATATCCTATTGATATTTTTAATGATTCCTTGTGATTACCTCATTATATTATGCTTTACATTTTAATATATCACTATAAGCAATAATTTTAAACTACCTCCACATCTTTCCATAATGCAGAAAGGTCTCCAGAGGAAACATGAAAAAGCGGACATGTCTTTAAGAAGATTTGTTCCTGGTCACATACTCAGGATTATTTAATCTTTACAGATTGGTTGTAAAGATAAGCAGAAAGTAATTTGCATATTAATATGGGATGATGTTTTCATATATATTTTCTTTTGAAGTGCAAGTATGACTTTTGTTGGATTTGCCTAGAAGAGTGGAAAAAACATAGTTCTTCCACTGGAGGTTATTACAGATGTACTCGCTATGAAGTCATTCAACATGTGGAGGAGCAATCCAAGGAAATGACTGTGGAGGTAAAGAGAACCAATTAAGCCAAGATCTCTCTCTAAGCTGCTCACTGCCACTGGAATTATTTTGCATTTCTTCTTTTTCTGTTTTCATTTTAATGAGGTATTGAACTGAATATACTTTATAATAGCCTTTAATTTCAACAAAATAGCTCTGTAAACTTGATAGTTTTGTCCCTTTTACATTTTCCATTTTTTATTTTGGTAAAGATATATATGAAAAGTCTGATACATTCCAGCCTATCTCTGCAAAGACTTAAAAACAATTTTAATATTAATATCAATAATGCAATATTATTACATTATACTGTACAGTGATATCTTAGTATGCTCATTTGCCATAGAAAATAACACAGACTGGGTAGCTTAAACAACAAAAATTTATTTCTCAGAGTTCTGGAGGTTGTGAAGTCCAAGGTCAAGGTGCTGGCCAGTTTGGTTCTTGAGGAGGGCACTCTTCTTGGCATGAAGATAGCCACCCTCTCACTATGTCCTCTGGTGGCTGGAAAAGACAGAGACCGACCTCTGGTGTCCCTTCCGCTTCTTATAAGGGTACCAGCCCTGTTAGAATTGTGCCCCACCCTGATGACCTTATTTAACCTTTCTCACAGATCCTATCTTCAAATACTGTCACAATGGGGATAGGGCTTCAAAATACAAATTTTAGGGGGCTACCATTAGTCCATAGCAAAAAGCCACATAATAAAACATTGAAGGCCAGGCACAGTGGCTCATGCTTGTAATCCCAGCACTTTGGGAGGCCAAGGCAGGTGGATCACTTGAAGTCAGGAGTTCAAGACCAGCCTAGCCAAAATGCTGAAACCCCATCTCTACTAAAAATACAAAAATTAGCCGGTCATGATGGTGGGCTCCTGTAATCCTAGCTACTCAGGAGGCTGAGACAAGAGAATAGCTTGAACCCAGGAGGCGGAGGTTGCCATGAACTGAGATCGCAACACTGCACTCCAGCCTGGGCAACAGAAGAAGACTCTGTCTCAGAAAAAAGAAAATGGAGATTGGGAGCCTTCTTTGCCTTAGGCTCTGGGATTTTGGATTCAGGGATTTGTCACAGGATACAGATGGAAGACTTTGTTCTGAGAGCCTTTAAGATGTATTGTTTTCTATCAAGAAAATAATTCACAAATCTGAATGCACTACTACCTATCACTAATAAAACTTTTAAATGATCCCCCCAAAGAAACTATTTTAGTAGCTACTAGTTTTTGTAAAAGTCATTTGTGAACTTTTGTTTTCTAGGCTGAGAAAAAACACAAACGATTTCAGGAACTTGACAGATTTATGCACTATTATACAAGATTTAAAAATCATGAGCATAGTTATCAGGTATGTCCCAAATAATTTCAAATGAGCTGACCTCTACTGTTGTGAATAAATAAAGAGAATGGTTTAAATTATTTATTTCTATTCTTTTAGTTAGAACAACGCCTTCTTAAAACAGCCAAAGAAAAGATGGAACAATTGAGCAGAGCTCTCAAAGAAAGTAAGTTATAAGTTGTATGTGTGATAATTGCTATAAAATATTCTTCCATGCTGTCACTTCACTAGTAGGTTAGGTCCTGAAAGGAATACATTATGTCCATTAGCTTGTTCTGGTACTGTTTTGAGTTCTCTGAAGCCCTGAGTGCAGCTTAGCAGATGAGGCTTCTGTGATTGGATTTTCTGCCCAGCACCTAGCCTCCTCCTCTTGATGCACTGTTACAAGATAAAAACACTTCATGATTTTGCTTACTCTGTGTCACTGCTGATGCTCTACACTGTTGAGAAAAGTGGATGGGTCCTAAAGGGCATAACTGACTTAGTCAGAGGAGCAAGATACACGTACTACCCAATTGTCATGTAACTGAATACCCAAAAATTCTTGAGAAAATTTAGCAGAATGCTTAAGGATGTGGAAGTCTGTAAAAGTTTGGGGAGAAATCATTTAACTGGTAAATAATGAACATTGGGGTAAAAAAGCAAAGCCATGAGGAGTAGCTAACATGTTGGTCCTAAATTTTAAGTTATAAAAGAATATTCTAAAATATGGATTGAGTATTCGTAACATCATTAGAATATAATAACCCGCAGTGATCACACAGAGTACAGGTTCTGGTATGTTTTGTTTTTTAAAAGTCACCTTTTAAAAATAATAGCTTACATATGAAAAGTACATTTTAAGGTTAAAAATGTGATGTTGCTCCAATTTATTAAAATAATGAGTACTAAAATCCTTTTCATTAGGATAATTCTCTAATCAAGACAATATCATAAATTAAATAGAATGGGGGAGAAAAATGTCAACAGCAGTGTAGCCTGCTTGTTATATTAGTTCTTAGACTTCATTAATGATATAACTATATTAGGCAATATCAAACTCCTGAAGTATTGTTTACATTAAAAATTGAGAGGAAAAAAATCTTCAGTCATACAACTCTTCAGCAGGGATTTTTGTCTGGTCATTAATGCATCCCTAGTGCTTCCAACTGTGCCTGACACTTAAAAACATTCAGAATTTATAGATGTGACTTACTGCTTCTATTCAACATTCTGGAGATTTCAGGCAACATAATGAAATAGGGAAAAATATGAAAATTTACAGCAGTTGGAAAGGAAGAAGCAAAACTTCACACATTTCTCACATATGTCAGAAATCTCAGGGTAATCTATATGTCACTTTGTGTACACACACTATTAATTTCTATAAGTATCCAGAATAATCGGATTTTCAACAGTATTTGCAAATTTAGACTCTCATGCTTAATTTCTGTGTTTTTCTTTGGTTTTCAGTTAAGCAAAAACCTAGAATGTTATAATGACGTTCTTAGAGGAGTCTCAGATATTAAGGCAATTTTGTCTTCCATCTTCCTCATTCTTCCTTCCTTTCTTTCTTTCTCTGAAGTATTTTATTAACTAGCGTTAGTAATCTAGTTGTTTGCCAGAATATTGTATCTTTTTCTTTACAGTATCGATTTTGCATAATTAGGCTTTTTTTTTTTTTAAGCAAGCAACTTAGAAAAGGCATTTGTTCTCATCTTTAAGCAGGGAAATTCTGCTAGGGATAATCTGAAAAACTTAGTAAAGCCTAGAACCTTTTGGCTGACATAAAGCTAGATTTGCTTATCAATGGAGTGAGACCAGAATCCAAGATGAGTATGTGCATTCCTTTATGGCTACCATCAGTGCTCCTGGGCTGCTGGGGCATATCTTTCTTTTATACACACAATCATGTCACACATGAGTATTTTATGTACATTTTTAGTTTTGTTCAAGTAAGTATTTTCATACAGTTACTTAAAACAGTTTTTGTCCTAATGATCATTCTTTTTTCTTTTTGGAGAAAAAAATCATTGTTTGATTAATATCATAAATAGCATATTTGCAAAACAACTTCATTGTGCCTCAATTACTTTTTAGCTGAAGGAGGCTGTCCAGATACCACTTTCATTGAAGATGCAGTTCATGTGCTCTTAAAAACTCGGCGCATTCTCAAGTGTTCTTATCCATACGGATTTTTCTTGGAACCTAAAAGCACAAAGAAAGAAATTTTCGAACTAATGCAAGTAAGATACTTTGTAATTATATTTAAATGGCAGCAGGTATTAGGAAAAACTGAGTTTTTCTTTTTTCAAACCACTTGTTTTATTTAATGTGGGTGTGATTAGTAAAACAATTTTTTTTTCATTTTTTAAATGGTTTTTAAATAAAGGAAAAATTACCAGCAACAAATTGAAATTTTCTTTTAAATCTGTCACTCTTCAGGTCTGAATGAGTTATGAGAGATGCAGACATTTCCTGTAGCATTTATGTCTGTCTTTTAAACTGGTTCAGGTTTGAAATCAGACATATTTCTGATTATGGAATTAAGAATTTTATCATCAAAATGAAACAAGCCACATTATATACAAGATGAGAAATTTGCTGTTTACCAGTTTATTTTTTAAATCAACTGAAAAAGTTATAGTATTTAAAAAAACAATAACACCTAAGCCAACTGGCATCACTATAGCTAAATAACTCATTGTACATTTCTTTTCTTTTGAAGTCACTAAACTTTTTCTTGTTATAGTTTTCATGTCATCCCTTTGAACTGTCCTCTGCTAATTTATATCCTACATTTCAACAAGCCTCAGTATTCATTTTCTCCGTAAACTCTTCCAGACTTGCCCTGATTACCGTAGTCTTGCTGTGATTCAAATTCCTTCAGCACTTTTATATAGTCTGCACCATGACATCATGCATTTGCTTATATAGTGCATTGAAATGTATTAACTTTTTTCACATTATAAATTCTTTGTAGACAGCTGCAATACTCACTACTTCTTTGTAATCTGTACCAATTTCATTTCTATAAATGCCTATCAGGTGAGTGCTATTTTTTTAATTTTACATGATTTTATATACAATCCTTCTTTCTCTTTCGTAATCTAGAAAACATGTACAAAAAAGAAAATACATTACAAAGAAAGTTATATCAAAATTTGAACTAGTTTCTTACTTCAAAACAGATTTAACTGAGAAACCACATAGACTCTGGATTTGCTATTGATTAACCTATGAAATCTGTGATCTTTCTTTTTTCCTCTGCTTACTATAGACAGACCTAGAAATGGTCACTGAAGACCTTGCCCAGAAAGTCAATAGGCCTTACCTTCGAACACCTCGCCACAAGATCATCAAAGCAGCATGCCTTGTTCAGCAGAAGAGGCAAGAATTCCTGGCATCTGTGGCTCGGGGAGTTGCTCCTGCAGACTCACCAGAAGCTCCAAGACGCAGGTAAAAAGGATGTACGCTGTGGAAATCATCCCAGCTCCAGCCACAAGTGCCAACAGTTTTATTTTTTTATCCAACTAAGGTTCATATTCCTGGAAATTACTTAATATGGATAGCTGATAAAAGTATGTTAACTCTTTTTTCGTGATTTTTTTCCTCCATGCTATTTCTGTTTTTTGTTATTTTTTATTTGTTTATTGGGTAGTGCCTCAGACCAAATCAACCTAGGTTAATTTCACATTTCAAGTGAACTCATAATTAAGAGTATTCTAATTTGTCATTTCTTTTTTTGTTTTGTTTTTAGAGTGAACATGATTGCCAGTCATTTTCAGTATGTAATATATGTAGTGATTTGATAGTTATAAAATTCTTATGATGCAGAATTTGGAAACTTTGCCAACTTGTTATGGTCATATTTGTATTTTTGTGTAAAAAAGTTGTGAAGGAAAGAGAAATTTGATATTCCTAGTTATTTAAGTGATCCAAACTCACCCACTAAAGATAGTTGAGTTATGGTTGTTTTATTTTACATACTCATACTAATTCTGTAAATAGAAGCGTACTTTCCTATTTATAATAATTATAAACATTAAACATTCCTTTGGCACTATTTTACATAAATTCCTTTAATCCTTTTTTTATATAATATTTAGGAGTAAATATATACTTGTAAAATAAAAATAGAAGCAATTACAAAATACTTTGTTATAACATAGTAATTTTTATTTTTTGATCACTTTACACAAACATAAAAACTTAGAATTTGAAAGAAATAATGAAATTATCATTTTAATTGTTTTTTAATAGTGATCTACTTTGATTAAGCAAGTTCCAATAGAGGAATTCAAAGTAATGTTCAAAGGGCAAGGATCTGATTATGTATACTTTGTAGTACTGATATTAAATCAAATGGTATGTTTAATTTCTTTGTAGCTTTGCTGGTGGAACATGGGATTGGGAATATTTAGGATTTGCATCACCAGAGGTAATTGTTTTATGGGGTTTTTGTTTTGCATTTTTTCTTAGTGCAATTGTGCTTGCATTTGCATCCTTATCTATTCTAAATCCTACTCAGGTTATCAGCAATGCCCTCTCTTTTGTAACTAAAATGTCTTAACAGAGCCTACATTTAGCTATTTATGTGGTATTGCTGTATCATCACATTGTTAAATGCATTACTCTTTTATTGTTTTTAATTACTGAATAGTCAGAATTAAGACAAACTTACAATATACATTTTGAAAAAATCTAATTTGTTAATAGACAATTTCTCTTATTAGAAATGCATTTCTAGTTATAATATTGTTTTAGTCTGAAACTATTAAAGATGTAAAAGAACAATCTGTTTTTTAAAGTTAATGCAACAACCTGAGGGAATTGATTTATAATCAGTTGCTAAAGTGGAAAACTTGACATAATAATCTGTATGCAGAAAGAAGTGCTTTGCTTGTTTGCTTCCTGCTTATCTTTAAGACTTTCACACTCTTCTTTTTTGTTGTTGTTGTCATTAATATACCATTTTAAAATACAGAAGGTTTAAATTACGCTGCAGATAGCAGTTGTGGCAAATAAAAATAAGACAGAGTGAAACTCTTAATTACAGAACTGTTTTCTGAGATTTAAATTGCCACTGTCACTGTTGAGTCTGTAAAATGGTTTTAGCAGTTCTCTGTACTTGTCTCTTTCCATCCTTCCTCTTTATTAAACAGTATTTGATGTTTATATTATGATAACCCTTCAACTTAATTTTTTGAAGGGGACAGGACAAATGATGACACCTTTTTTTGTAATGTATAACCCATTTGTTATCTGCAACTGAAAGACAATGAAATTGATTATTATCCAGGCATGACTGTGGCTTATTTAAATCAGATACTTTCTCTTTTCAGTTGCTGAAGATACTTGCAATCACCTGTGGCTTTTGTGTTGGTAGATACATCCAAGAAAATATTGACTTGAAAAAAAAATAGTGTTTAGAGCCCTGATCTGGAAATTTTAAATTCACTTAAATTATTTAAAATTGTGATATATTAATGAAATTTTTATTTTTATTTTTATTTATTTATTTTTTTAGGAAGGGAGGAAGGCAGGAAGGGAGGAAAGGAGGAAGGGAGGGAGGAAGGAAGGGAGGGAGGGAGAGAAGGGAACGAAGGAAATCAAGCAATGAGAGAGACATTGCCGACCTGGATCTAGAGGTCTACAAGTTGATTTATTTTTTTTCTTTTTTTGAGAGAAGGAAAGAAAAAAAAAGGAGTGAAGGAGAGGAAGAAAGAGGAAGAAAAAGAGGGAGAGAGAACGGAAATGCTTTATTCTAAAAAAAAGGGGGGTATTAATAATGGCCAGTCAATGTTTCATTTAAACCTATGAGTAGGTGTGATGTGGTATTGACAAGAATGTATATTTTCTATATTTAAAGTGGAGAGCTCTATAAATATTTATTAAGTTTACTTGTTCCGGATCTGAGTTCGAGACCTTGATATCCTTATTAATTTTCTGTCTCATTGAGTCTAAGTCTCTATGTATCTGAGTATTAGGATCGTTAGCTCTTGTTGCATTGATCCTTTTACCACTATATCTTTGTTGCTTTAAAATCTATTTTATCAGATACGAGAATTGCAACTCCTGCTTTTTATTTATTTATTTATTTTTGCTCTCCATTTGGTTGGTAAATCTTTCTCCATCCCTTTGTTTGAGTCTTTGTGTATCCTTGCATGTGAAATGGGTCTGGATGTAACATGCCATCGGGTTTTGGCTGCATCTTTTGATTGGGGCATTTAGTCAATTTAAATTTAGGATTACTGCCATTTGATGTTAACCGGCTGTTTTATCCATTTGTTGATGTAAATTCTTCTTTATGTTGATGCTCTTTACTTTTTGGTATATTTTTAGAAAGGTTAATACTGGTTGTTTCTTTCTATGTGTAATGTTTCTTTCAGAAGCTCTTGTAAAGGAGGCCTGGTGGTAATAAAATCTCTGAGTACTTGCTTGTTCATAAAAGATTTTATTTTTCCTTCAGTTGTGAAGCTTAGTTTGGCTGGATATGAAATTCTGGGCTGAAAGTTCTGTTCTTTAAGGATGTTGAATATTGGCCCCCACTCTCTTCTGGCTTATAGAGTTTCTGCTGAGAGATCTGCTGTAAGTCTGATAGACTTCCCTTTGTAATTAACCTGACCTTTCTCTCTGGCTGCCCTTAGTATTTTCTCCTTCATTTCAACCCTGGTGAATCTAACAATTATGTGCCTTGGGGTTGCTCTTCTTGAGGAATATCTTTGTGGTGTTCTCTATATTACCTGGGGTTGAATATTGTCCTGCTTTGCTAGTTTAGGAAAATTTTCCTGAATAATATCCTGAAGAGTATTTTCCAGCTTGGATTCATTCTTTCCGTCGCATTCAGGTACACCTATCAAACGTAAATTTGGTCTTTTCACATAGTCCCACATTTCTTGGGGACTTTGCTCATTCCTTTTTATCCTTTTTTCTCTAATCTTGTCTTCTCGTTTTATTTCATTAAGTTGGACTTTGACCTCTGATATCCTTTCTTCTGCTTGAACAATTCGAGTGTTTAAACCTGTGCATACTTCTCAGAGTTCCTGCATTGTATTCTTCAGTTCCATTAATTCACTTATATTCCTCTCTAAGTTGTCTATTCTCATTAGGATTTTGTCAAACCTTTTTTCAAAGTTCTTAGTTTCTTTACATTGGGCTACAACATGTTCTTTTAACTCACAGAAGTTTCTTATTATCCATCCTCTGAAGCCTAATTCTGTTATTGGAACGCACTTGTTCTCCATCAAGTCTTGTTCCCTTGTTGATGAGGAACTGTGATCCTCTTTAGAGGGAGAGGCGTTCTGATTTTGAGTATTCTCAGCCTTTTTACCCTGGTTTCTTCCCATCATTGTAAATTTATCCACCTGTCGTCTTTGTAATTACAAACTTTCAAATTAGGTCTCTGAGTGGATGTCCAAGTTGTTAATTCCCAGGGCCGAAATATGAGCAACCCACTGCACCGGCCAAAACAGTGGCATTAAGACTGTTGGTGCTTTTCTGCCCGGGAATCTCCAGTCTGGCTTCCTTCTTGAGTCCGTAATAGGCGACTCTGCCTTCCCGGAGCTCCAAACCTCAGTCAGAAGGGGAACCAATCCCGTTTACTCTGCACCAAGAGCTGCCATGCCGAAGTGCCAGCACAACCGCTGTGTTGGCCACAAGAGTCGCGCTGGCAACCCGTGTGGCTCCTCCAAACCTCGGTCAGAAGGGGAACCAGTCCCGTTTACTCTGCACCGAGAGCTGCCGCACCGAGGTGCCAGCGAAACTGCTGCGCCGGCCACAAGAGTCGTGCTGGTGACCCATGGAGCTCCTCCACTGGGAATCTTCTGCTCCGTGAGCGACCAAAATTTGTCTGAAAGTGTGGCGTCCTCTCGTTCTCTGAGGTTTCACTGGGAGCTACAATCCCGAGATGTTAGCGATCGGCCATCTTGGATTGTTCCCCCTGAAAAAGTGAACCTTTTTCTTTATCTGATCCTGTACTATAATTATTTCTATGTTATAATATATTTACAGCTTCAGGGATATTGTGGCAAATTTCCACCTAAAAGGAAGAATAAGCAAACTGAAATTATTGGAAAAAAAAAAAACTAATGATTTCAGTATTTTAAGGTAAAAAAACAATTTAGCAAAAATAAAACCTTAATCAATGTATTCATAATCATGTATGTGCATCATCTTACAGCTTCTGGGTCTGACAGGAACTTTAGGAATCCTGAAATATTTGTCCTTGAATATTGAGGGCCTACCAATATGACTGTCACTTTATCTTTTATGAATTGATAATTTTTTAGAAATTATTTACTTTTAGTTTTCTTTAGTCTTTAACATATTGAAACACTAGGCTTTTATATAAACCTTATTGCAGATATAAAGAATTACTACACATTATGAGACTTTCAAATTCTGCATGTGTACGACTATCAAGTAACTGCTAAAATTATATTTTTTAAAAATAGCTCTTTGCCTTAACGAAGACTATGAGGGGAAAAAAAACAAGGTTACCAACTCCAGGATACTTAGGTTGAATGTATTTTTTTTTCAGTGAAGTTAATTTCATCTTATTATTTTCTATTTAAATTGAGTCTGGCAAGCATAAAAGTTTGTTTTATGCTACCTTAAAGGCAGTGGAGCTTAGTGGAAATAGCACAAAGTCTGAGGAACATCTGAATTCAAGTTCTAAGGGCAACTTACTAGATCCTAGGCTATATTCTTTCTTAATTTCTCATCTTTACAATGTGGATGGTGATACCCCATGGAAGTTCTAGAAGGATTAAAGCATCTCATTGAGTCAGTGACAGAATGGTTGCAATTATTATTTAAAACACCTTCTTACAGCTTTTCCCTTTATAAATACTAGAACTTTTTAGTCTTCTCTGTGTCCTTAACATTCTCAAACTACTTGGAGTATACCGACTACACCCTTTTAATATGCATTCTTGAAGATCTTAGGAATCCTTGGAAACTTTCAGATAAATTTTATTTTATGAGAACAATATTTTTAAGCCTGTTGTATCATGAGAGAATATCATCTGAGAGTTTTCTGTCAGAATGATTAGATATACAAGTTTCTTTTGCAGTTGCTTTTAAATGGTTTCGTTTTCTTAAATTGGAGATATGTATAGTCTATGGTCAGTAATAGTTTCATTCATAACTTTATGCCATTATGAAGTTTACAAAGTAAGCAAAATATCCCTATATAAACCTTGAATTGAGATAAAATTTTCTTTTTAGACACCATTTTTGTCTAAGAAATGTAGTTGGTGTTCCTCACTGGTCTGTTAAGCCTTGATGACACATAATAAGTTATCAGTTTGAGATCATGGGCCTCTAGGAAGTGAGGAAATGATGCCCCAGCTCAGCAAGAAATTTTAAAGAACCTGTATAAACCCTCAGGGCACTTGGAGTATCCTTCATTTATTAGTTTCTAACCTAACAGGATGCCTCTCACTTCTTATTAAGGGCCCAACTACTGGGGTAGGCGCAGTGGCCCAAGCCTGTAATACCCGTGCTTTGGGAGGCCAGGGTGGGTGGATCACGAGGTCAAGAGATCGAGACCATCCTGGTCAACATGGTGAAACCCCGTCTCTACTAAATATACAAAAAATTAGCTGGGCATGGTGGTGCGTGCCTGTAATCCCAGCTACTCAGGAGGCTGAGGCAGGAGAATTGCCTGAACCCAGGAGGCGGAGGTTGCGGTGAGCCGAGATGGCGCCATTTCCAGCCTGGGTAACAAGAGCAAAACTCCGTCTCAAAAAAAAAAAAGAGTCCAACTACTTATATAAATGAAAGAGTTCAAATAAATGTCACCAGAGTGGTATGATGTGAAAGTTTTATTTGTGATATAAAATTTGTCTTCACCTACTCCTAGTACTTTAACAATATAAGCATATTTAATATTCTAGGGTAACCAAGATAATCATAAAATTGAGTGTCTTAGTGTTTAGCACAGAAAGACACCATAATGATTCTCTAAATTAGCCCTTTTATATTAGTATCATGTACCCTGGCTGCCTCCCTTCCCCTTCCTTCCATTCCCCTCTCCTTCTCTCCCCTCCCCTCATCTTCCCTTTCCTCCCCTCTCCTTTCCTTTCCTTCCCTCCCCTCTCCTTCCCTTCCCCTCCTCTCCCCCTCCCCTCCTCTCCCCCTCCCCTCCCCCTCCCTTCCCTTGCCTTCCCTTCCTTCCCCTCCCCTTCCCTCTCTTTCCCTTCTCTCCCGTCCCCTCCCATCCCATCCTGTCCTGTGCTGTCCCTTCTGTCACTAAAAGTACATTTATACCCAGGTAATAGCAGATGGTTCCAAGTTGTACCCTTGTGGAAGCAAACTTACTTTAAATATTATCACAAATGTAAAACAGACTGAGGACATCTGCCTAAGTCTGTGTTCATCCCATATGCTAAATGGAAGACATTTCCCCTGCCTGTGTTGTAAATAGCACCACATATTGACTTATAAAGAAAAGAAGCCAAATAATCATCTTATTTTAAAGCTAATCTAACATTTGTCTTTTAATCTAGTCATTTGATTTGTGAGTGTTGTATGTAGTAGTCCCAAAGAATAGAAAATCCAACAATCTGGCAAGTACTTAACACTATGTGTTCTTTTTTGGTTTTGTTCCTTTTTTTTTCTGTTACATATATCCCAGTCACATTTTTTTTTTGAGATGGAGTCTTGCTCTGGTCGCCCAGGCTGGAGCACAGTGGCTCGATCTTGGCTCACTGCAACCTCTGCCTCCCAGGTTCAAGTGATTCTCCTGCCTCAGCCTCCCAAATAGCTGAGATTATAGTCCCCACCACCATGCCCAGCTAATGTTTTTGTATTTTTAGTAGAGATGGGGTTTCACCATGTTGGCCAGGCTGGTCTTAAACTCCTGACTTCAGGTGATCAGCCCCTCGGCCTCCCAAAGTGCTGGGATTACAGGTGTGAGCCACTATGCTCAGCCCCAGTCACTTTTGTAAAACCACTTTCATATCCAGGTGCAATGACTCACACCTGTAATCCCAGCTACTTAGGAGGCTGAGGCAGTGGGGATTGCTTGAGGCCAGGAGTTCAAGACCAGTTTGAACAACATAGCAAGACTCTGACTCTAAAAAAAAAAAAAAGAGAGAGAGAGAGTAATATGATTGTGGTATTAATTATAATAATTAGATAACAAGATCCTTGAAATCATCAGGCATGTGAAATAGGGCTGTTCTAATCTAGCATTGGGGCTTGCAAGTATTCCCAGTTTATCTAGGCAATTGTAATGACTGTTGAAAACTTTTTTCCACTTTGCCTTTTGTGTTTCCTTGGCATGGCAAAACCTGATGTTTCAGCCAAGTGATTTTATAATATGTGTATAAAATCCCAAACTTTTTCCTCTGGAAAAAAGTATGTAGTTTGTTTTATTTGCATTTTAAAAATTGCATGCTCTCTTGTATTTTATAACCTTTGGTTTATGCAGGAATATGCTGAATTTCAGTATCGGAGGAGGCACAGACAGCGTCGTCGAGGAGACGTGCACAGTCTGCTCAGTAATCCTCCAGAGCCTGATGAGCCAAGTGAAAGCACTTTAGGTAAGCCCTTGGGTTGTGTATGGTTTAATTCCAAAGCTCTCCTGAATTTATCCTTCAAACTGACTGATGTAAATGTTTATAAAACAGTTTGTCATTTATATATAAATATGCAGATGCTTCTATTGTGATGAGATAAAGAAAATCAGGGGAGTTAAGAGCATGGGCTGTGGAGTCAGGCAAACTTGGATTTGTTACTCCATCTCTGCTGCATATTAGCTGTGTAACTTAGTCATTTCACAACCTCTCTAGGGCTGTTTCCACATTCTAAAAAAACAATAATAATAGTGCCACCTTATATAGGCTCATTGTGAGTATTTAATTAGATAATGCATGTAAAATACATAAGCACCTAGTGAGCACTCAGTTAATTGTAGTATTGATACTGTTTTTCTGTTCATATAATATTTGTCTCCTAGCCTTAGTTGTCCTGTAGACATTATTTAAGAGAGAGAGAATTTCTGGCATTAGAGATATTATTTTAATTATTAAACCTTTATTATTAAATTATTAAGTGAAAATCTTTATTACTAAGTGAAAATCTTCCAACTATAATATCAGGATCAATGAGACTAAAGATATGCTCTTCAGACTTTTGTAATTCCCAAATTATTTAATTTTAAGAAATCTAAAAATGAAAAATCTTTTTTAGTTATTGCTTAACAAAAAAAGAGAAATGGATAGTAGCACTTGCATTTATGAAGAACCATATAGACTGCAGGCAAAAATGTAAAAATGTCAGCCAGGCACAATGATTCATGCCTGTCATCCCAGCACTTTGGAAGGCCAAGGCAGGCAGATCACCTGAGGTCAGGAGTTTGAGACCATCCTGGCCAGCATGGTAAAACCCTATCTCTAATAAAAATACAAAAATTCGCTGGGCATGATGGCACATGTCTGTAGTCCCACCTACTAGAGAGGCTGACGCAGGAGAATTGCTTGATCCCAGGAGACGGAGGTTGCAGTGAGCTGAGATTGCACCACTGCACTCCAGCCTGAGCGACAGAGGCTTTTTTTACCCTTTACTCAAAAAAAAGGGAAAAAGTCATGGATTAGAAGTGATAGTGTCATATATATGTTATTGCTCATGATAAGACAAATATGGACGAGAAATCCTAGAAAGATTAAGTGAACATGTCAACACAGGTTTTCCCCAGCACTAAAAGAGAAATTGCCAATTTAAACAACCAGGTGTATGAAAAAAATAATAATAATTGTTACTTCTCACTAAATTGTCTTTGGTACCAATTGCTTTGAAACAGATATTCCAGAAGGCGGCAGCAGCAGCCGCAGACCTGGCACATCTGTGGTAAGTTCTACATCTATGAGTGTACTGCACAGCTCTTCCCTGCGTGACTACACCCCTGCCAGTCGCTCTGAAAACCAGGACTCTCTTCAGGTAGCCCTTCTGAGCAGCCTCATTGCCTATGCTTTTGCTCTTTCTCTGTTGAGTGTGGTTTCCTGTTTTTATTTTCATTGCTTTCTGTTTCTTCCTTCCATTCTAAAATCTTTGTTCTAAAAATGTGCTGCAGGAAAAGATTTTACCATATTTTAGATTTCTTTTAAGATAGGGTTTTTTTCCTTTTGCATGAGCACAGAGAAAATTATAATAAGATGTTAGTAGATAAAATAATTATTCTGCATAAATAGAATTAATAATCTGCTGGTAAAGGAAGAATGGTAAACCTGATTGAGTTAAATCTATTTTTCTTTAGTCAAATTTTAAAGTGGTTTTGCTTTCTGTCACTTCAGGCTCTGAGTTCCTTGGATGAAGATGATCCCAATATACTTCTTGCAATACAGTTATCACTGCAAGAATCTGGGCTGGCCATCGATGAAGAAACTAGAGATTTCCTCAGTAATGAAGCATCCTTAGGTGCTATAGGCACTTCTTTACCTTCCAGGCTGGACTCTCTCCCCAGAAATACAGACAGCCCTCGGGCTGCATTGAGCAGCTCTGAGCTTTTGGAACTTGGTGACAGCCTCATGAGAGTAGGAGCAGAGAGTGACCCATTTTCAACTGACACTCTCAGTTCACACCCTCTCAGTGAGGCAAGAAGTGATTTCTGTCCCTCATCCAGTGACCCTGATTCAGCTGACCAAGACCCCAACATCAATGACAATCTTCTTGGCAACATCATGGCTTGGTTTCATGACATGAACCCTCAGAGTATTGCCCTGATTCCTCCAGCAACTACAGAAATTAGTGCAGATTCCCAGCTCCCCTGTATCAAAGATGGGTCAGAAGGTGTGAAGGATGTGGAACTAGTGCTGCCAGAAGATTCAGTGTTTGAAGATGCCAGTGGCAGGGAAGGTAGAGGAACCCAGATGGAAGAAAATCGTTTGGAAGAAAATATTCTAACTGAGGAAGCAGCATCTCAAGCTGGTGACAGTGGTAATGAGGCGGCCAACAGAGTAGATGGTTCAGATGTTTCAAGTCAAACACCTCAAACCTCAAGTGACTGGCTTGAACAAGTACATTTAGTGTGAACTGCACACATCTGGGCTCTAAATGAATTACAGATATAGATGCTATGCTAGGTGGAGTATGCTTGATAGAGACTTTGATTCACTTAATTCCAACTCAGTGATAAACCACCGACATTAGGGTTGAATACAAAGGAGTTCCCTTGAATGGTAGCTTCATTTTTTATCTTAACCTTACAGGGAATTTCCTTTGTACTTAATTGAATAGCTTTTCCCCTTTCTGCTGACAAAAAGAAGAGCAAGAGTAAGAGAAACAAAAATGAAATAAATAGGTCGTATTCCACATTTTAAGAAAATGCAATCCTCTATTTAGCCTAGGGCTGACAATACTTAAACTGAACATTTAAACTAAAGGCTTACTCCCTAATCTTTGGGTGGCTTTCCTTAAGAAAAAAAAAGTTTTCTTGATTCTATAAATTCATTTTGGATAGGTCCAGTAACATGTATGTTCTCAATCTCTTTGTGCTCTTCTGTAACTTCCTTCCTTACTTTTTGTCTAAGCAATGTGAATTGAAGTCTCTTTAGTACCACATCTACCACAGTGTAATTAGTTTTAATTTTCACATGAAGCAAAGATTTCCTTTCATGTCTATTTACAGTCCAGTTGTGCCAAACTCTGACTTGTGTGCTGACTAACAAGGCATTTAGGTGTGCAGCATCCTAGAGTGCTCCAGGGTAGTGTCAGCGTTCTTGGGAGTAAAAGGTGCCACTCAGTAGCAATGATATTCCAGAATTAAATGGGTTTTTGTTGCCATGGAGACTGCATTTATATAAATGTAGCCTGTAGCTTAAGTTAACTAAACCTAATGCTGCTGTTAAAAACAGTTTATTTTAATATTAAAATACAGTTGATTAGCAACAGCGGTGCTGTATTTTAAGAGACACTTTATTGGAAGTGCAATCATAGTTATTTGTTTTCACAATTTTACAGTGCATTCTAATTACTAATGGGTGCAATTACTTTTAATGGTAGGTGTTTTATAAAATAGAAAAAAAAGTGGAGTTTTCATGAGTTATAGTAAATCCCACAATTATTAAGAAATTCAGTAAAACATCCTGCGCAACATGTTACCGTGCCTTTGCCTAACCTAAATGGATAGTTGCCAGTTAAATAAGTGAGTAATTCAAATTTCAATGTCTCTTCTGAAGTAACTATGCTATGAATTGCAAAGACCTCCATAAAACCACCCATGGCCTTGCTTTTACAGTAACAACTAAATGTTCAATCAGTTTGTTTGCCTAACTAGCAAATGCTGACATGTGTTTGTTCTATTGCACAATACTCATTTGCTGTGTGATTACTGTTTAGTGTTGAAAAAAATCAACTTCCTAGTTATCAGTGTCTACTGTGAAGAAAATACTGGTCTTAGTTGTAATTAAGATACAATGGTACAGTGTGTAATTAAAACTAGAGTAAACTGTTGGTATGGCTGTTTTACTTACATATTATCAAAACTAGCGTAACATAAGCGGAATAGGTAAGTGCAACACTCCATTTAGTGTTTTGCCAAATTGTTACCAGAAATCTACGGATACTAAAATTTCAGTTCTGAGTTTGTACAGGCAAGTCCTGGGCTGGGTAAAAAGTTACATTAGTATTATTATCCACAAGTGATGTGATTATGGTTTTTGATTACTTTTTTTTTCAAACCCTGCTTTTGAAATATGCTTATACTTAAAAATTATATTGCTAGGACACTATATTAGAATATTTAATATTCCCCATATCCTCTTAGGATAAACTGTGGGAATCCTCCTATGCCATGCATATCAAAGGTCCACATTAGTTTTTATTTCTCCAGTGATCAGAAACATTGATATCAATACCTATTAAAGTTAGTGGGGGGAAATATTAACTTTATCTACAGTGTATTACTGTATATTAAACAAATAGTCCATTAAAGGATTTTTTATGAATTTATTTTGGATTAAAAATATCAACACCAATAAGTTTTTAGACCAAGTTGTAACTTTTCCAATATAGAGTCTTTGCATCACATTGAGCTTGCACAGCTGCAGTTACGGTGAGAAAGAATGCTCTGTGTGAAGATAGCGTACAAAATGGGTTCCAGTTTCCTTGCACCTTGTGCAGTATCCTTTATTTCTGTGCTGTTCTCTTCTGAGCATGAAAAATGATAATTATCCAATTTGTATTTCCTTGGTACATATTTTAAAAACAACACAGTCATTGACTTTACAATTCAGTAATGAAGTTTGGCAAAGCCTATTTTGTAAACAAGTTAATTTTATAATGTAAAAAAAAAAGTTAATCTAACCTTGACTTGTTATTTGCACTTTCATAGTCTATACTTGATACATTCCCACTTTATATACAGTAGGATTCTACAAACGTGTAGATGTTTGGCCAAATGAATGCTGTTAATAATATGTAAAATTCTTTGATTAAACATTTATTACTTAAACTACTTCCATTTTGTCTCATTACATTGTAGACTTTGTTTTAACCAAGTCAGAAAGCTGATTTTCCTCAAATCAAATCCCTCCAATGTGATGGGATCAATTTGGTCCTTACATGTAATTGATTAGTGCCTAATATTTTTACACTAGCCGCTTACTGAGCATTTTATATCCCAGTGATAAATACAAAAACACTGCATGAAAATGTGTTAAAACATTATGACTTCAGTGCTCATTTTATTGACGTCACTGTAGCTTTCAGAAGAAAAATGTTAGTACTTTTTCTTGAAATCTAATAGAAATACACAGAAAAATAAGATATGTTTTGGGAAATTGCTTAGGAAAGAAAAAAAAATTTATGCCATTTGAATAAAAATGCCTGCTTCTCTGTCACTTTATTATTGTGTCCCTTATGAGTTATCAAAACAACCCATGACATCTGATCTTGCAGGTGCTTCATGGGGTCTGCCGGTGATAACCATTTACAGTGATATCATTTTATTTATGCCTTTCATTGTGTGGATCTGAAGTTAACTACCAATATTCATATGCTGAATTTTTCCTTAAATGTTGTTCATTACAGCCACTGATCTCATTTTTTATCTCCTTTGAGTCCTCAAATATTTATCATTTGTGTGTTATGAATTAAAATCTGGAATTTATTGTTTGGTCATAATTTTAAAGCAGTGATAGTGTATCTCTGAAGAGAAAAACCTTGGAATGTAAATATTAAGTGATAATACAAACTTTGGTGGTGTTTTAAGGCTGAAATAACTCCAAAGGAAAAAAAATTTTCATGCAATCAGCTCTTGGACTGACTAGTAGTTTTTTGGGGTTTTTTCTTTTTCCTTTTTTTTTTTCTTCTGAGACAGGATCTCACTCTGTTGCCCAAGCAGTGGTGTAGTCATAGCTCACTGCAGCCTCAACCTTCCAGGCTCAGGTGATTTTCCTACCTCAGCCTCCCAAGTAGCTGGGACTACAGACACATGCCACCACACCTGGCTAATTTTTGTATTTTTTGTAAAGACAGGGTTTTGCTATGTTGCCCAGGCTAAGTCTTGAACTCCTGGGCTCAAGAAATCTGCCCGCCTGTGCCTCCCAAAGTGCTGGGATTACAGGTGAGAGCCACTGTGCCTAGCCCAGAAGTTTAATCTCAGCATTGCGCTACAGGCACTTTCTCACCAGATTGAAAGATTTCTTTCTAGAAAGATAGAAGTGGCTTTTTCTAGACTGTATTATGTGACAGTCCTTTAGGAACTGGCTGTAGATTTAGTTCTTAAAGATGAATTAGAAAAGTTTCCTTTAGCTCTCAGTTCCACCTAGGACTCACAGGTAGCTGACAGACTGAGTGGTGGTGGCCAAACTTTTGAAGGATTTATTCTTCAGTCTTTGAAACTGCAATTTGACAATATTCTTGATCTAGCTATCTTCTTCTCTTAGCCAACTGTCTCATTAAGTATTTATTGCATAAGTGCCTAGCCTGTGTGAGGCATCAGTATACAACAGGTTGAGAGAGACATACATGGTTGTGAACAAAGCCAAAGCACAAAACGGATAATTGTTGGAGGATACAGTCAGGCCTCTTATCTTACTAGGTGTGCCAAGACTGCAAGGCCCTGTTCACAATTTTGCCTGAGCCATCGCTCAGGATTTATGTAACTAGTAACTTGACGTCAAGGAGCAGGCTTAACTGCTTACTATAAAAGTGGATTCTTCACGCTCAGTGTTCAGACTAACTCCAACGTGAACACCACTCTGTGCTTGCTATCCATCCAGGCCCATTGCATTGCCCCTGTGAAATCTGAGACAGGGGAACTGATGCAAATATGCTGAGGTTCATTCTGAGAGCTGTGCCGTGAGTGATAAACTCCTTTGTGTCTGACCCAAGAGTCTCATGCCTTCTGTCAGCAATCTTGAGATTGTAACAGGCTAACTTACTGGTTTGTCAGTAAGGTAAAGTGAAATCCTGGAACTGAAGGGTTTTGGCAACAAGGATGGGATGCTGACAAAGACATGATATTCTGAAAAAGGAACCATGGGCCAGGTTCTGGAATGCAAGACTCCCTGGGATCTGGTAGTGAATGCTCTCACCCTAATGAGGGATATAGGGAAAGGGTTGGTGGACACTAAGGTTTCCCATGGTCCTACCTATTCACAAACAGGAGGCAATGTTTAGAGGCTTAGCAACAAGAGGTAGGATTGAAACAGTGCAGATGGTGCTTTGTTACTCCTGCAGGCAGGCAGAGGAAAGGATGTTTTCATGACAACTTCTGTGGCTGAGTCAGGTCCCAAAATGTAAAATAAATGGTGTTGTCAAGAAGAATCTTGCTCTTCAATTGAGAGCCTTGGGTAGACTGAAAACAGGAGGTTATTTGGTTGAGCTGCAAGCAGTTGCAGCACTGTTCAGATGCCAAAGTGAATGCAAAGCCATAACTAAAAGTGCAGAGCAGGCCACAGCCAGTTCAGCCAGTAATGAGGACAAAGTGCTGGGTGCAGGGGTGACAGAAGTGCTGAAGACTTCGGGGTAAAATGTGGCGTTGTGCATGGGGGAAAAAAGAAAGAAGCGTAGGGCCCCAGTTCTTTCTGAATGCTGTAGGGGCTCGCCACTGCCGCAGAAGAGGAAGTTGTCAGTGTTCTAGCACTGATCCTGGAGCAAGAGGGTAAAGGAGAAAAAAGGCTGAAAATTAATTTCCTTCCCCACAGACAGCCTCTTCTGCAACCCTCCTGAGCTGGGGATAATGTGATCAGCACTTACTTGCCACTTGTAACCCCTGACTTGCACACATTCTCGTCGGTCTGTGGTGGAAAAGGCTTTTTAACATGTTCCATGGTGAGGAAGGGAAGCTAATAGTATCTTGCAGGTGGGGCCTTTTGGGTGATTCAATGTAATGTGGCTTCTAAATCTGAATGTACAATGGAATTGATGTGTTGTATACCCACACTTACCTGTCTCATAGTTGTCAGTGGGATTCTCCCTTTCAAGGGCTGCCACATGTACAGAGGTAATAATGGGCTGTGTAAATTACTCCCCAGTGTGTCTCTAACCCCTCCTAGGTGGTCCTCCAGACCCAGTACATAATCTCAGGAGGAGAAAGGGAAATTGTTGACTGACTTAATGGCAGTCAGAGAATTCAGGCCTTTTCCCAACCCAGTGTGGCCACCTACCTGACCCAGCCACCAAACAATATCCACCTTGAAAAACAGGGAACTTTTTAAAAAATATATATATTTTATTGCGTTTTAGGTTTTGGGGTACATGTGAAGAACAGGCAAGATTGTTGCATAGGTATATACATGGCAATGTGGTTTACTGCCTTTCTCCCCATCACCTATGTCTGGCGTTTCCCCCATGTTATCCCTCCCCAACTCCCCACCCTCTGCTATCCCTCCCCTAGTTCCCCCACTACAGACCCCAGTGTGTGATGCTCCCCTCCCAAAACAGGGAACTTTTAATGTGCAGCTCTCGAAAGCGAATACCTGACCGATGGAAACCTTGGGACTTGCTGATCTGACATCTCGACTTTAGGGTAGGTCAGTTCTAATTGGAGAATTAACAAGATGGAAAGGCTCCAACAGGCCTTGCTAGTCACATTGAAATGATATATTTGAGAGGGCAGCTAGCCTGGCCCTAGCAGTATCTCAGTTTTAATTGAAAAATTATATCTGTGCCTTTGGAGGAAATTTTGTGCCCAACTTCACTGCCTGTAGCACAGCCACTAGCTGATGCTAGAATGGCTGGACTTAGTTCAGTTGCTGGGCAGCAATTTGTGCCAAATCCCAGTGATTTTTTTTTTTTGTAGCTATAGATAATTCTAAAATGTATGTGGAAAGGCAAAAGAACTAGAGTAGCTAAAACAATTTTGAAAAAGAAAACTAAAATGAGAGGAAGTATGCTACCCTCTTTCACGACAGTGTGATACTGGTGAATGGATAAACACATAGATCAATAGAATAGAGTATAGAACCAGAAATAGCCTCACACTAATATTGTCAACTGGTTTTAACAAAGACGCAAAAGGAGAAAGGATAGTATTTTCAAAAAATGGTGCCTTATACTCTGTATAAGGTATAAGGCAGGCAAAACTTAGGAACCTCTACTTAAAACTCACACTTTATATATAAAACTTAAAATTGATCATAGATTTCAATATAAAATATGAAACTTTTAGAAAAGAACAAAGAGTCTTCTAAGATGTTGGCTAAGCAAAGAATTTTTAGACTTGACACCAAAAGCATAACTCAGAAAAAATCTGATAAACTGGACTTCATCAAAATGTAAAATGTTTCCTCTACAAAAGATCTGATAAAGAAGATGAAAAGACAAGCCTGGGAGAAAATATTTGCAAACCACGTATCTGACAATTCAGAATGTATAAAGTCTCAAAACTAAACAGTAACAAGACACTCCAATATAAAATGGACAAAAGAAATGAAGAAAATTTTCACCAAATAAGATAAATGACAAACACAGAAATTGTTCAACATCACTATCCATCTGGGAAATGCGAATTAAGATCACAGTAAGACACCACACCTACCAGAATGGCTAAAATAAATAGTGTCAACACCAAATGCCGGTAAGGATGTGGATAAACGAATACTCATACATTGCTGATGGGAATATAAAATGGTACAACCATCCTGGAAAATAATTTGGTAGTTTCTTTAGAAACTTAAGCATATACTTACCATATGACCCAACATTTGCACCTGTGGGCATTTATCACAGAGAAATGAAAACTTAAGTCCACACAAAAACCTGTACACATTTGTTCACAGCAACTATTTGTAATAGTCAAACCTGAAATCCACCAAGACGTCCTATCATAGATGGCTAACAATGGTACATCCATGCAGTGGAATACTACTCAGCAATAAAAGGAACAAAATTGATTCAACCACTTGGATGGATCTCAAGGGTCTTATTTTGAATAAGAAGAAAGGCAGCCTGAAAAATATCACATGCTGTATTATTCCACTTATGTAACATTATTAAAATGACAATGAGTTGGAAGCAATTTAGTGTTGGCCAGGGGTTAGGCATGGTGTGAGGCAGGGAGGTATGTGTGTGACTATGAAGGAGTAACACAAGGGACATCTTTGTGATGATGGCATCGTCTGTATCAGTGGTGGCTATATGAATCTACATGTGATAAAATCATATAGAAATAAACATATTTACCAAATCCTGGTTTTGATATTGCACATTATATGAAAGGTACTCGTTGGAGGAAACTGGGTAAAGCATACGCAGGGCTTCTCTATGCTATCTTAGCAACTTCCTATAAATTCGTTTGAATTATTGAATTATTTCTGTTCAATTACTGAATTATTTTTAAATTTAAGTTAAAAAAAAAAACAGATGGCAGGCCAAAGTTGGCAAATAGGATATGGTTTGCTGATGCCTCCTTTAGAGCAACAATTCAATAAATCAAATGTTATCTTAGTGCATTATGAGCTGTCAATATTACTACAATTTGGGAGCCATTGAAGATATCTTTAATAGCTAATTCATTTGTTTCAGAAACTTGGATTAAGCAAAGATACTTAATTCAAATATCTTTGGATTAAGATACTACCAATGTTGGTAAGAAACTACCAATATTCATTTTTGATGGTAATGTCAAATATATTCCACAACATTTTAGCCATTGACTTTATGTGAGCCTATGAGTGCCAAGTGGCACACTGATTTTTTTGGGGAGGCGGGGTGGATCATTTTTTTTTTTGAGACGGAGTTTCGCTGTGGTTACCCAAACTGGAGTGCAATGGCACAATCTCGGCTCACCACAACCTCCGCCTTCTGGGTTCAGGCAATTCTCCTGCCTCAGCCTCCCGAGTAGCTGGGACCACAGCCGCACACCACCATGCCCAGCTAATTTTTGTATTTTTAGTAGAGACAGGGTTTCAACTTGTTGACCAGGATGGTCTTGATCTCTTGACCTTGTGATCCACCTGCTTCGGCCTCCCAAAGTGCTGGGATTATAGGTGTGAACCACCGAGCCCAGCCTTCATTTATTTTTATTATACTTTAAGTTCTTGGGTACGTGTGCAGAATGTGCAGGTTTGTTACATAGGTATACACATGCCATGGTGGTTTGTTGCATCCATCACCCTGTCATCTACATTAGGTATTTATCCTAATGCTATCCCTCCCCAATCCCCCAACCCCTGCTATCCCTCCCCTAGCCACCCACCCCCTGACAGGCTGCGGTGTGTGATATTCCCCTCCTGGTGTCCATGTGTTCTCATTGTTCAACACCCACTTATGAGTGAGAACATGCAGTGGTTTTTTTTTGTTCTTGTGTCAGCTCTCTGAGAATAATGGTTTCCAACTTCATCCATGTCCCTACAAAGGACATGAACCCATCCTTTTTTATGGATGTATAGTATTCCATGGTGTATATGTGCCACATTTTCTTTATTCAGTCTATCACTGATGGGCATTTGGGTTGGTTCCAGGTCTTTGCTATTGTAAACAGTGCCGCAATAAACATACCTGTGCGTGTGTCTTTATAAAAGAATGATTTATAATCCTTTGGGTGTATACTCAGTAATGGGATTGCTGGGTCAAATGTTATTTCTATTTCTAGATCCTTGAGAAATCGCCACACTGTCTTCCACAATGGTTGAACTAATTTACACTCCCACCAACAGTGTAAAAGCATTCCTATTTCTCCAATCCTCTGCAGCATCTGTTGTCTCCTGATTTTTTAATGATGCCATTCTAACTGGTATGACATGGTATCTCAATGTGGTTTTGATTTGTATGTCTCTAATGACCGGTGATGATGAGCATTTTTTCATATGTTTGTTGCCTGCATAAATGTCTTCTTTTGAAAAGTGTCTGTTCATATCCTTTGCCCACTTTTTGATGGGGTTATTTTTTTCTTGTAAATTTGTTTTAGTTCTTTGTAGATTCTGGATATTAGCCCTTTGTCAGATGGGTAGATTGCAAAATGTTTTCCCATTCTGTTGGTTGCTGGTTCACTCTAATCATAGTTTCTTTTGCTGTACAGAAGCTCTTAAGTTTAATTAGATCCCATTTGTCTATTTTGGCTTTGTTGCCATTGCTTTTGGTGTTTTAGTCATGAAGTTCTTGCCCATGCCTATGTCCTGACTGGTATTGCCTATGTTTTCTTATAGGGTTTGTACAGTGTTGGGTCTTATGTTTAAATCTTTAATCCATCTGGAGTTAACTTTTGTATAAGGTGTTAAGGAAGGGATCCAGTTTCAGCTTTCTGCATATGGCTAGCCAGTTTTTCCAGCACCATTTATTAAATAGGGGATCCTTTCTCCATTGCTTGTTTTTGTCAGGTTTGTCAAAGATTAGATGTGTGGCATTATTTCTGAGGACTCTGTTCTGTTGCATTGGTCTATATCTCTGTTTTGGTAGCAGTACCATGCTGTTTTGATTACTGTAGCCTTGTAGTATAGTTTGAAGTCAGGTTGCATGATGCCTCCAGCTTTGTTTTTTGTTTTGTTTTTTTTTTTTGCTTAGGATTGTCTTGGCTATGCAGGCTGTTTTTTGGTTCCATATGAAGTTTGGCATGCTGATTTTTAAAAGAACATGGCCAACTGTGCATTAGCCTTTAACACCAAGGTCCATTTGTATATACATAGATATGTTCATCGAACTATGTCTAGAGCTAGATAAGGTAATATTCACTTGGAAAATATAAAGACTAACAATTAAATGTTAGATAGTTCCTACATTTGTGAACATTATGGAAAGTGTAGCCAGAAGCCAGAAGAGTGGATTCTCCTCTCTCTTTTCCTGGCCAATAATCTTTCATTTTATGTTCATCTTGAGTTGACTTATAGATGGGCTACACATTGTTAGATTTTGGACCACTCCTGAAAGATTTTCAAATTAGTGACTCTCTTTTCAAACAAAACTTCTAATATTGAGAACAAATCAATCTACTCATTGGATATACTGACCCTAAGGGGTGTATTTTGCTCAGAGTCCTTACTAAATGCAGAAGTCAAAAGACTGTCATAGAAGTATAAGGACTTTTAATCAAGTCACCGCTGCTATGTAATGGCATGTAAGATAAGCTCATACAATAGGCTACATGTGTTTGGGAACATTGCTGAGACAACAGAAATCCCTAATGCCATACTGGGAAAGGAAAAACTTCAGAAAGCAAGGGGCTGTCACATGTCCCTATTACTGTATGTGCATGAAGGTTGATGCCAAGGAGAATATGCAAATGCTTAAGTAATTCCCAGCCGAATTTACTTTTTTGTATGGAATTAATTCACTGTGTCTTCACTTTGGCAGGTGTATACACAGTAATATTTGTTAAAATATCCAGACCCAGGAGCTTTAAGGGGTCCTCCTAGAGTTTTTGCTGAGTGACTTTAAAGACCCTTTTTCTTATATGTGCTCATATTACAGAGGTTAAGCCCATCTTCCAGGACTTTGCTAGTAATAGTAAGAGACTATTAACACAGTATGAAACTCTGCTGAAATAAAGTCCCCTTCTGAGAGATACCATAACCAGAAAGTAATGGATATAGGGCAAATTTGTAACAACAGGTAATCAAAAAGTCAGATGTCTGGGACTGCGTATAGTGTCTGTACTTACATTCAAATGGCTTCCTTGAGATCTGTAAATTCCTCTGAATTGTCATGTCCAATAATTTTGATAATGCAGGAAGGAGTTATCACAATCTTCTCTGGCTCACGCCCTCATGCGCAGCTGGGGGCAGCTAAATTACACCTCCTCCAGTGTTCTCTAAGCCCTAATCCCCCAAGCACAGGCTCTGCAGAACCTACTTCCCCCTGCTACACAGATCCATCCAATTACATCTCAACTCCCACTAACCCCTTTGTCCATTATCTTGATCATATATGATTGGTTTATTCCACCCCATTTATCACCCATGTTCTGTCCTTTAGTGACTTAAGCCTAGGTTATTGCATGGGCCCTTTCTTTCTCCAGTATCTCTCTTCTCCACGCTAACCCACCCACCATGACCAGACCAATAACCCTAAAGCAGTGCCTTCATCATGATACTGCAATCAAAACTTTACACCTACAAGATAAAGCCTGAAACCCTGTGCCTGATATTTTAGGTCCTCCATCATGTGGCACAACTATTCCTCTACAGAAATCTTTTTCTCTGACTCCCTCCCCAGACTACCTTAAGCATACCAGGAGCACACTGGCTTAGTGTCTTTGTTCATACCACAGCCATGACATATTCTTCCTGCTGGGGCAAGCACCAAAGACTAGTTGGCCTAGGACTTGGAATTAGAAATAGGTGAGGCAGGAATGTAGACATAGATTTCTTTGGATAGATTTGAAAGTGTGAGCTTTTACACATCTGAGTAAAATCTTTTTCTCATGAAACATACCCCCAAGGCATGAGACTCAGGAGGTATATAAAGATCTATTCAGCTTATGACCTTCAGGAATATAATCAATATTATATAAAATTGAATTCAAAATGTCATGGAACTTTTTGTTGTTTGATATAGAGCTTCAGTTTTGCAAGATGAAAAAGTTCTGGGCTGGGAGTGGTGGATTACGCCTGTAATCTCAACACTTTGGGAGGCCAGGCAGGTGGATCACTTGAGGGCAGGAGTTTAGGACCAGCCCGGGCAACATGGCTGTTAGTTAGCAGTGGCAAGTCTCCAAGCCACAGGTCTGCAAAGAGTGTTACTGGCAGAACATATCAGTATCCGTTCAGGTCTACAGCAACCTTAATTCTTGCCTCCTCAGAAGGAAGAATTAGACTGAGGAGCATAAGGCAGAAGGAAAGATCAAGGCAAGTTTTAGAGCAGGAGTGAAGGTTTATGATAAAGCTTTAGAGCAATAAGGAAAGAACATATACTTGGAAGAGGGCCAACCAGGTGGCTTGAAAGGCAAGTGCACAGTTTGACCTTTTGACTGGAGGTTTTATGCATTGGCATACTACGGGCTCTTCCATCCTTCTCCCAACTCCTGAGATCTTATTGGGAAGTGGCTGATCACCAGTGTCAGGTGTTTTCTATCTATTAGAAGACGGCCTTTCCCTGGTGCCAGCTGTGAGCAAGTATCACTTTAGCGGGACAGTTAACTGACTGACCACCTGATGACCACCCAACACTCCTGGTGTGTGTGAGGTAGGAGCCCTCTCCCACCCTGCTCATACCAGACTAGCTACTCACTGTAACATAGTGGGACCATGTCACACACACACAAGCCTGGCATGTATGCCTGTAATCCCAGCTGCTAGGGAGGCTGAGGCAGCAGGATCATTTGAGCCCAGGAGATTGAGGCAGTGAGCTATGATTGTGCCACTGCACTCCATCCTAGATGACAGAGTGAGAGCCTGTCTCAAAAAACAAAGTTATTGATATTGGTTGCACTTAACACTACTTGAACAGTACACTTAAAAATGGTTAAGATGGACTGAGCATGGTGGCTCACGCCAGTAATCCCAGCACTTTGGGAGGCCAAGGCAGGTGGATTACTTGAGATCAGGAACCAAGACAAGCCTGGCCAGCATGGTGACACCCCGTTTCTACTAAAAATACAAAAGTTAGTCAGGTGTGGTGGTGAGCGCCTGTTATCCAAGCTACTCAGGAGGCTGAGACAGGAGAATTGCTTGACCTGGGAAGCAGAGGCTGCAGTGAGCCAAGATTGTGCCACAGCACTCCAGCCTGGGCAATAGAGTAAGACTCCATCTCAAAAAAAAAAAAAAGCTAAGATGATTGATCCTCTCTGTACCCCACCAGATGGATTCTATTATTCTCTCCAGCCTGACTCTGGAATCCAAGAGAAAGGCAGAATTCCTTGGTTTATCTCTTTCAAAATATCAGATGCCAGAATATTCCCACAGAATGTCCAAACCAAGAGAAGAGAAAGAAGTAAATGTAGGTTTCTGTAGTCAATTGTATTTACCTGGAAATATTTGTTTACAAGCTTTAAATAGTGCTCAGAAAACTTCAACAAAGGAATGGGCATCTTACAAGTGTTTGTAAGTATGTAATTAAGATACTCATATTGTGAATCTATAAAGGTTAGACATGTCCCCCTGAAAGTTTTGCTACATGACAACGAACTAAAAATATAATAGCTACAGCTACCATCTACTGAATGCTTGGTTTCATTTAACAAAAATTAAGTATTAATTTTTTTTTAATAAAAGGGCTTCTGAAGTGGTGACTTCTGCATGTCTGAGGCTGGCAGCACCTCACAGCACCCTCCTTCCTCTTCTCCGCACAAGCCAGCCTTGGCTGTGTGACTACCGTCCCAGTCCAATGAGACGCAGAATAAAAAGGAAAAGGTTGATGAAGTCCAAGTAGATGTTCAGGACAGCAAACACATACTCTTCAGGGTCCAGGGAATAACGGTGGTGCCCACCCAGCATGAGCTGCACATCCATCACCAAGTACTTGAAGAAAAGGAAGAATTAGCTACTTAAATTGTACATTTCTATGAAATAAGTATCCCAAATGATCTGGGAAAAAATGTTAGCATCAGGAGAAATGCTGTAGAAAGTCTGTTTTGGGCTGAATATGTTCTTCTTACAGCCTCAATCAGTCACTGGGTCCCCAAAGTTTGTACTCTATAAAAGCAGGTGCCTTACCTGGGCTGCGAGTCCCTTCTCCCCATGTCTCAGTCCAGAACCTTTGAGAGCAAAGAAAGCTAAGGTGGCCAATTATTCCAATTTGCCCAAGACTTTTGGATATTCTGGGAAACTCTTCAGTCCCAGGCAAACTGGGAAACTGGGATAGTTGGTCACCCTTGTTAAAAAGGAAAAATAAAATGTCCCAATGGCTGAATGTGCAGCTTTGTTCTTAGTCTCCATCTATCACCCTGGAGTCCCAGCTCCTATGGATAAGTGCTTTTCTTTCCCTTCCCTTCCTGAATCTCTGACTTTAATTTATTGCTACTTATAAGAGACTCTCAATCATTTCACAGACATGCATGGGATGTAGCATGCATGGGAGAGGTTATGTGCTTGAGGGTAGGCAGGAACATGGGAGAGTGAGAGGACCTTGATCCAGTGGTTCCCCACCCTGTCCAGGAGGAACAGGGCTCAGGATACCACCCAAGACACAACCAACCCACAGGGAAGCCCCAGCCAGGATTCAGATTCCTGTGAGCATTTCAGAATGAGGCACCTTGCCTCACCCACATGCCCCCCAACTCTGATAGTTAAGCATCAGTGCACACCCCAAAATTCAGTTTCCTTCTCCAACCATTTATTTGGTATTGCGTAGACCTGTTTGAGACAATAGTTTTTGCTCTGCCTGCAAACATCAACATAATTTTGCATGGAAATGTCTGCAAGCATCAATACAGCAAGCATCAACACACAAAGTCTAAGAGTGTAGGAATAAAGGAATGTAAATAATCTCCCTTTATAATAGGAAAAGAAATGAGAAAACTGAAAGGTATGTGCTTAACCTTGTCTGCAGCCATACCACCCTGAACATGCTCGATCTTGTCTGATATATACATGCTTAACCTTAATCTCCTGGTGTAAATTTTTCTAACAATTGAAAGATATAACACAATTCCAACAACAACAAAAAGGAAGCAAAATGTGGATAGTTTTTAAGCTTTATAATATACGGGGTTCATTACACCATTCTCGATACTTCTGGATATGTTTAGAAATTTTCAAATAAATAATATTAAAAAGCAAAATCCCAGTGGGCACAGTGGCTCATGCCTATAATCCCGGTACTTTGGGAGGTGCCAAGGCATGCTGGATTGCTTGAGTTCAGGAGTTTAAGATTAGCCTGGGCAACATAGCAGGACTTTGTCTCTACTCAAAATAAAAAGTCAGCCAGGTGTGGTGGCATGTGCCTGTAGTCCCAGATACTGGAGAGGCTGAGCTGGGAGGATCGCTTGAGCCCAGGAGATAGGGCTGCAGTGAGCCATGATCATGCCACTGCACACCAGCCTGGGTGACAGAGCAAGACCCTGTCTCAAACAAACAAACAACCACAAGAAAACCCTGACAGATGTGATATGATAAAAGCATGAAATGGAATTCCATGTAGCCCTTGAAAAAAATTAGTTGGACCCAGGTCTGCTAATATGTGGAGGCCATTATTTTTAAGTGAAAAACCAAAGGCAGGCCAGGCGTGGAGCTCACACCTGTAATCCCAGAACTTTGGGAGACCGAGGCGAGTGGATCACCTGGGGTCAGCAGTTCAAGACCAGACTGGCAAACATGGCAAAACCCCATCTCTACTAAAAAATACAAAAATTAGCTGGGCACATCAGCAAGCAGGTGCCTGTAATCCCAGCTACTGGGGAAGCTGAGGCAGGAGAATCACTTGAACCCAGGAGGCAGAGGTTGCTGTGAGTTGAGATTGCACCATTGCACTCCAGACTGGGAGACAGAGCAAGACTCCATCTCAAAAAAAAAGAAAAAAAGCAAAGGTAGAACATTATATATAGTATAGCTATGTTTGTGTAACAAGAAATAGTACCTATATGTAAAGAAATTCTAAAAAGATTTCAAGAAACTGTTAACAGTTGTTGCTTCTGGGGACAGGGGATAAGAGACAGATTTAAATTTTCATTTTATAATCTTCTATGTTGTTTGAATTTTAAAACGTGCATGTATTACTTTTTAAATAAAACATTCCTTAAAATAATTTTAAAGCTATGACAGCAAGAGATGGGACTAAATGGAAGGAAAGACATTCCCAGATGCATTAGCAGTGACCTTCACCAGTTCTCTGAGAAGTTTCTACAGTAAAAGAATAGAAGTTGGTCTGGAAGGAGAAACAAGAAAGAAACCACATCCCTGCTACATACAGTAAGTTTCAAAGCTTATAAATAACTCTTCATTCTTTTCTGAAATATTCACTTTTTTAACAAAAGGGATGTTTTAGTGGATCTGGAAGACCATCTGGCTCTCCTGAGGGTAATGGTTTTAAATATGATTCTTTAAAACGGAGCTGAAGAGTTTCTGGTGAATTACTAACCCCATGTGACTCCAGGCCTAGCACAAGGGCTTGTCAATGCACATACCACATTCTTTACCAAAGAGATGGAGCAAGGACTTACGAGCGAGAAGAGCACAGTTCCGAGTCCAGCATACAATAGATGCAGCCACTGCAAAGGGAAATGATACAGTTGTATATTAAGAAAAAGATTTGGAATAATGAAAGGGCTCATGTAGGTCACTGCTTCCAGATAAGGAACCATTATTAAGAAAGCTGAATCTGTGGGGGAATTTATCTTTTCTTTTTTAAAGTTAAATTTCATTTTATTTCAATAGGTTTTGGGGAACAGGCGTTATTGGTTACGTAGATAAGCTCCTTAGTGGTGATGACTGAGATTTTGGTGCACCATCACCTGAGCAGTATATACTGTATCCAATATGTAGCCTTTTATCCCTCACACCCCTCCCATCCTTCCCCCCAAGTCCCCAAAGTTCATGATATCATTCTTAGTCAACAGCACCCAATTCTACTCAATCCCAATATGCAAGCAAATAAAAACTAGGCTTGCACGTCAAATAATATTCACCAAGTAAGTGCTAAACGTCTCATGTGTGGTAGGGAAAGTAGAATGTATTAGATGTATTTCACTTTGTGCTCCATCCACGTAGCCCTTCTAGAGAATCTGCCCTCCCCTCAGTTCATGAAGCAGGAAGCCTTGTGGTCATAGTGACCTTCACACATCCTGGCTAGAACTGAGTGAAGAGCTGGTGGAAGACCCCAGCTCCAAAAATAGCGAGTCTGATGACTTATCAGGAACTTCGCATGTGTGCGTGGGCTTAGACAGATGTACCAGGCCAGCTGGAAATCAATTCTCAGGATAGAGGGAACAAAGTAGCAGAGGCTGTTGTATCTTTGGCCCGTGCTAGCACTGTTACTACTATAAGCAGAATTGGCTATTTAACTCAGCGACAAAGAGGAAGGCAGGGTTTTCGTTCCTAGGAACCCCAGTTCTTCTTCCCACCTAGGAGGTTCATCAGTGTCTTTGGCTCTTTGCCTCAAGCTAGTCTGAGTGGTATCTGTTCCTTGCAACACAAACAGCCCTGGTCAGAATATGGAACTAGTCTAAATGCAAAAGTCTTGGTTCTGTTGGGGAAGAGGATAGGGAAGCAGAGTACAACATCTGAAAAAATACATGGCATTAATTCTTCAGGATGAGAAAGCTGGTTCTAAGAGGCGTGGGCAAAGCACTGCCAGCTTTCACCAAGGATAGGTTCTTGGTGAAGACGATCAGAAGCCAGTGACACAGTCTGGGAGACACAGTATTTCCAGACTGAGCTAATATAAGAAAACACCTGATCATTGGAGTCCGAAGGTTTCAAAATTGCCAAAGTCCAACAAGCATGTAGACTTAGGGAATGGCTCCAGCAAAGTCTTCCATTTAAACACATGTGCAAGGTTGTAGATATTTGTAAAAGAAAATTAAGAATGGGAACTAAGACCCATCTATCTAGTAAGAAACATAGTTTTTAACTGCACTGAGTTATACTGTAAAGAGCTATGGAACCCATCTAATATTTGCATTATTACTACCAATATCTGTGCCACCATTAATAAGTGAAGAGCCAGGGCCTTTTAAGGCCCGTCTTTGTGAAGCCTTTGAGTTTATCTCTAAAGTGCAGGTGCCACCTTCCTGGCTGTAAGTCTATGTGGTCATTCATAACACCAAACCAATCCGGGAAGTACTGTTGATTCTATGTATGTCTGAAGATTATGTAACTAGTCCACTTGTTGCCAAAGAAACTCCTTAGTTCAGCATTGGGACCAAGTTGGCCTTGAGGTTTTAGCCAAAAGTGTCCCAGGCCCCAGACTAGCTCTCAGTGGATCTGGCCTCCAAGAGGGTCTCCACATAGGAGCCACTCACAGATTGCCAACACCAGGCCAGATCATACCTCTTGCTCTCTACAGCCCTTCAGAGTCAGTCCACAGACCGTGCAATGAGTGGGAAGAGCATGGCCACTCAAGTCACCCTAACCTGGCCTCAATGCCACCCCAGCCACTCACTCCCTGTGGGATGTGGATGAATTATTTAATTTCTCCCAGTCTGTTTTCTCATCTATAAAATAGATGAGCTATGAACTTTTCAGGAATGTTGCAGAACTGAATGTGATGGTTTGTGAAAAACACATAGGTCTATGTCCAATATCTAGTAAGAATTCAATGAATATATTAAAGCAAAAAAAAAAAAAGTAGAATTGGAAAATAAGGAGCCTCCTCTATTCTGCTATTGGAAAGGCCCACACAAGCCTTTCTCTACCACTCCTGGTACTTCAAGCAGCACCCAAATATAGGAGAAGGAACCCTTGTGGGTAGCCTCACCTCAAGAGTCTCTTGGGGAAGGACAACTGTCTAGGGTTGTAGCTCAATGTTCATGCACCAGAGCTTCTGTCCCTGGTGCCTCCTAATGACCACAGTGGGGGGCCATTAGGATCCATCTCACAGATCTTCAGTTACCAGGACAGGAGAGGAACTGACCACAGGCGCAGCTGCTGTGCTGTGCAACCCACTGCACTCTGCACTTAGGCCACACTTCCCACTTCTCAGTCCTTGCTGGGAGCAGCAGGGCCCTTCCTGGGAGACATGGGACCACCCTGATGATTGACTTTAGCTCTGGGACTTCCTGATGGCCTTACTGAGTTTCCCTCAGACCATGCCATGTGTAGAATGCTCCTGCCCAGCCTCCCCTCCCTCTCCCTCACTCAGGGCCTGATATGTTGTCATGGTCTGACAACTTCCCCAGCTGTTGGCTCCCTGCCCCTTTTCTCTCAGAGGTATTTCTCCTACTGAAATCCTTGCATGCTCTTCTCCAGCTCCATGTCTGCTTCTCAGAGGACCCAGACGAACACAACCAGCACTTCATCTGTATGTTTAACAATTCTCTGAGGTTTCCCAGTAAGATCTCACTTACATATGATGGCACGAAGATTAAGATAATTCCATAGACTAAAAGCACGAAGCAGAAAACGAACAGTCCTCCATTTAGCAAGGTAAAATCCCACTAAGGAAACATAAACAGCATAAACAGCTCAGTTATCATCTATAAGGAATTTTGGGATGTTTAAAGATGCGTCTTATACCCCATACATAGACAGAAACTAGCCCGTTGCTAGTAATTACCCTGACCAATTCCAAGAACTATGGAAATTCATTAGCTCCAACCACTAAAAAATGCTACATAAAAAATATTATACTGACTGGGAGAAAAAGGTAGAAATGCCAGTAGCCATGAGTTGATAATTTTTGAAACTGGGTAATGGGTACCTGGGGTTCATTACATTATTCTATTGTTGTCCTTATATGAAATTTCCCACAATAAAAAAAATACCTTGAATAAGTAGGATGTATATTTGAAGGTATAGGGTGATCATAAGCATTCATATGTTCAAAACCACGTACATAGAAAACATTAATGGAGTAAAATATACCAAGATGTTAACTGGCTATCTTTTTCACATTTATATGCATGTTTTAATAAAAGCATATACTAAGCTTTCAAAAATTACTGCTAATGATTCTTTTTTAATATGGAAATGTATTAATGTGATTTTTGGTTTTGTCTTTATAAATCAATGACCCAAATCAGCCTGAGGAGATTAAAGTTTTCTTTCTTTTTTTTTTTTCTTTAAGATGGAGGTTTGCTCTGTTGCCCAGGATGGAGTGCAGTGTCGTGATCTCGGCTCACTGCAACCTCCGCCCCCCAGGTTCAAGCAATTCTCCCACCTCAACCTCTTGTATGGCTGGGATTACACGGGGGTGCCACCACACTCAGCTAATTTTTTAGTAGAGGCAGTGTTTCACCATGTTGGTCAGGCTGGTCTCGAACTCCTGACCTTGTGATCCACCCACCTAGGCCTCCCAAAGTGCTGGGATTACAAATGTAAACCATTGCGCCCAGCCAGATTAATGTTTTCTTAAGAAAGAGAATGTTGGCCAGACATGGTGGCTCATGCCTGTAATCCCAGGACTTTGGGAGGCCAAGGCAGGTGGATCCACTGAGGTCAGGAGTTTGAGACCAGTCTGACCTAAATGGAGAAACCCCATCTCTACTAAAACTACAAAATTAGCTGGGCGTGGTGGCGCATGCCTGTAATCCCAGCTACTCGAGAGGCTGAACAGGAGAATCTCTTGAACCTGGGAGACAGAGGTTGCAGTGAGACAAGATTATGCCATCACACTCTAGCCTGGGCAACAAGAGCAAAACTCCATCTCGGAAAAAAAAAAAAAAAAAAGAATAAAGAAAAGAAAGAGGATGTTTATCTTCTGGCCTAAAAAACAATTAGATTATGCAGCCCAACAATAGCCTTGGATCCAGTATATTTTCCTGCAGGAGTACTTTCCTAATTCTTTTATTTCCCCCTTTTTCTCTCCACCCTTAATCCAAAGCACTAGTTCTCTGAGTGCAGTACTCAGACCAGCAGCATCAGCACCACCTGGGAAATTAATATTATCAGGCCCCACCCCAGACCTACTGATGCAGTGACTCCAGGGCAGGGCCCTGCAATCTGTGTCTCAACAAGGCCCCAGGCCAATTCTGGTGCATGGTGTAGTTGGTCTAGAGCTGTGCTTTCACTATAGTAGCCAATGCAGCTGCTGAGCACTTGAAATGTGACTGGTCTGAATTGAGATGTGCTATTTAAGTGTAAAATACACCACTGAATATTGAATTTCAGCTCAAAAAAAAAGTAAAATATCTCATTCATATTTGGGTTATGTGAATTACATGTCAAAATGGTAACACTGCATTATATATGTATTGGGTTAAATAAAATATACCATCTAAAGAATTTCACCTGTCCCTTTTGACTTTTTACTGTAGTTACTAGAAAATACAAGTTTATATGTATGACTTGCATTTGTGGCTCACATTATACTTCTCTTGGACAACCCAGGTCTGGAGAGCAGTAAATCTGGCTTAGGACAGTGATACCTTAAGGCTTGCTCCTTGTTGGCAGAAAGAAGATGTGACATCATTAAGGAAGGATAACTGAGGTGAGGTCAATTCAGGTGGGGAGCCCTGTCAGTTCTGACCATGCCCAAGAGAGAACAGACTCCAAGTCACGCCTGTGCTGGGCTGTCAGCTTCAGAGGCCCACAGAGCATGCAGTCACTCTGTGATCCAGGTGACAGTCATTCAGCAACAATGGTGGACCATAGTATCCCCACCCCATCCTCACCCCATCCCCTTCTTGGCCGGTGCCAAGAGCTCACACAAACCACAGCTTCATCCCAAATTCCCCGGCCCCACTTTAGAGAGAAAGGCAGGGAGACAGGGAGGCTGAACAGCTGAGCATTTTGTATCCACATGAGACTATCACCCAGCTCAAAGGAACTGCTTCAACTGTGGGGTCCAATTACATTTAAACCAAATGGACGTTTAGTTAATTTTCTTCCTGCTAAGTAGACAGTTGGGGTTCATGAAAAAACTCAGACTCATTGTGTTCCTACATCTCCTCTGCACCCCTTGGGCTGTGGTCGGACTGAATTTTGCCATCCCTACCACATAACTTAATAAGGGGAAAAAATGTTACTAATCATGAGTTCAGCTGTTTTTCAAAGTTCTCAATGCGAATACTGTGTTTGAAATACTTTCTGGCCAGGCACAGTGGCTCATGCTTTTAATCCTAGCACTTTTGGAGGCAAGGCAGGAGCATCACTTGAGACTAGGAGTTCAAGACCAGCCTGAGCAACATAGGGAGACCCCCTACTCTACAAAATATTTAAAAATTAGCCAGGTGTTGTAGCAAATGCCTATAGTCCCAGCCTCTTGGGAGGCTGAGATAGGAGGATCACTTGAGCCCTGGAGGTGGAGGCTGCAACGAGCCAAGTCACTGGCTGGAGCCACTGCACTCCAGCCTGGGTGACAGAGCAAGACCCTGTCTCAAAAATCAACAAACAAACAGCACAATAAAATAAAATACTTTACAATGTAATATTCACTCCCCTGAACTAATGGGCTTTTAAAAAAGTATTCTGGCAGTTTAGGGGATTTTAAATGGCTTAAGGAATCTGTGCATTCAACATGGCCCACCTTACTCATTGCAGGGAAGCCTATCTATTTACAAATAGGCTGGTTTCTACAAATGACCAGCTTTGAGATGGCAAATACTGATCTCATCATGAATTAAAGTTGAATCTCTAACTTTCGATACTGTTTGACTAAATATCTAGGAGATTCTTCTGTCACTCTGACACTTCTTCCTTTTTCCACCAAGAAAAGGCTAAAATTCTGCATAAGACCTTCCTTATGATATGTGCCAAACAGCTTGGGAAACGCACTCCCTTCTGTGTAAGTTATTTACCTAAGACCAGCCCATCCTTTACAAAAGGAAATTGATCAGGACTGAAAGGAGGGGCCGCATCAGATCTCAAGAACACCCTATGGTTGGACAGAGACTGAGACATCTCACAGTTCAACAGAAATCATCTCAAATTATGTAATGTTCACTGGGAGGTCTTGGCATTTTGGAATCTGGTAAACTACAACTTAAAAAAAAATTTTTTTTGAGACGGAGTTTCGCTCTTGTTGCCCAGGCTGGAGTACAATGGCGCGATCTCGGCTCACCGCAACCTCCGCCTCCTGGGTTCAGGCAATTCTCCTGCCTCAGCTTCCTGAGTAGCTGGGATTACAGGCACGCGCCACCGTGCCCAGCTAATTTTTTGTATTTTTAGTAGAGACGGGGTTTCACCATGTTGACCAGGATGGTCTCGATCTGTTGACCTCGTGATCCACCCGCCTCGGCCTCCCAAAGTGCTGGGATTACAGGCTTGAGCCACCGCGCCCGGCCCTAAAATTTTTTAATTCCCTGTATCAGTCAGGGTCCCAGCAAGAAACAGATGACACACTCAAATAGGGTGATTTGAGGAGGGTTTGTTTGTAAGGAACTATCCACAGAAGTGTTTGCAGGCAACCAGAACATGTAGTGCAGTAACCTAGACTAGCAGCCAGCCAAAGAGATTACCAGCCCCAGGCCCAAAGGGGAAAGGAGAGGGGGCAGTTACCGGAGCCCAGAAGGTTGTGTTGAGTTGGCCATTTTGCGACAGGCAGTGAATCTTGCTAAGGCATACCGCTAGCCCAAGAGGAACTTGTCATTGGGAGGAAGCCATGGGAATCAGTACCTCTCCCTTCCTGCCTCCTCTCTCCAGCTGGGACTCCCATTGGCCAAAGCTGATGGAAAGCCCTAATGCAAGAGGGCCCTGGAGGTGAGACCTCCCACTGAGAGAGCAGGGGGAGGCACAGGGAAGTGGGCTGGGGACAAAGGGATATACCTGGTACACTCCCTTCAGTAATACCTACTTTAGTATGTAGAGCAAACAAAGTGAGTGCTAGTGTCACCAGAGCAGTTGCTGCTGTTGCCCATAACACTTCATCAGCCTTGTAGAAACTAAAATGAGAGACTGTGATTATTGTTCACATACACTCCAAGAAAAGTACACACAAATCAAAGGGAATGTGTATCACAGACTTACGCTGATATGGCTCCTAGCAGCAGACCTTGAAGAACTGTCTAAAAACAAAATTCACAGTAAATCAGAAGCCTGCATCCCGAGGCATGGGGCCAAGGCCAAGAATCCAGAAGAGGTAATTTGAGGGGTGTGCTTCTGAGCAGAGTCTAGGGAGCAAGGGGAAACATGCACAGCCCTGGTGCATGCAGGCACAGGACGACCGACTATGGGGAGTAAACAGAATTACATATCTCTGTAACACCCTCCCTAGGATGGACAAGAGAAAATTATTTATTAGTAAACATTTCTTTGAATGCAATAGTAACTTTAACATATTCAGTGAATTAAATACATATTAATTATGAATGTAGAAACCAAGGTAAAAAAGGTTCATTTGTAGAGCATATTGTCATTCATCAAATGGAGCCACCCACACAGTATCAATGTTTCATCAGGACAGGATATGCGATTTCTAAGCTTCGTAACACTTTGGGTACAGATGCTTTCCATGGCACCTGAGGGACAGCCTTCCAACCTCAGACGATGGGATGAGAACCAAGGTTCCCAGGGCCGGGGAGATGGGGCTGGAGGGCAGATACCGGCAGAGCAGAGTGTGGAGCTGCTCCTGCAGGTGCCAGCCCCCAGCTTTGGAGGACTCTCATCATCCAAAGGGAGCCAGGGGTGGGAAGAAAGGTGGGATAGAGGCAGGGGCTGAGAGCCAGTGGGCAGTCAGGCCTGCAGACAGTGCACAGCCAAGGCATGAGGATGACAGAGCAGTGGCTGCAGGGCTGAAGACATGCCCAGCCTCAAGGCTGCTCTGCCAGAGGTGAATCCAGAGACTGAGCTGACCCACTGGTCCACTGGCAGAGCCGGGAAAGACTCCTCCAGTTTCCAAGGTTAAAAATGGGGCCGGGCACGGTGGCTCACGCCTGTAGTCCCAGCACTTTGGGAGGCCGAGACAGGCGGACCACGAGGTCAAGAGATCGAGACCATTCTGGTCAACATGGTGAAACCCCATCTCTACTAAAAATACAAAACATTAGTTGGGCACAGTGGCACGTGACTGTAATCCCAGCTACTCAGGAGGCTGAGGCAGGAGAATTGCCTGAACCCGGGAGGCGGAGGTTGCGGTGAGCTGAGATCACGCCATTGCACTCCAGCCTGGGTAACGAGCGAAACTCCGTCTCAAAAAAAAAATAAAAAATAATAAAAAAATAAAGGTACATCCTAGTGCGAGGCCTGCTAGAGGGGGCTTTGAATTCCCACTGGCCAAGGATGGCCGGGAGCAGAGGTGGGAGAGAAGTGGAGTCCCCAAAGTCCTGGGTCGCCCCTGTGGTGTTTCCAAACCTAGTGGGTAATCGCCTGATCCTGTACTTTGTACAACTTAATGAAGTAGGCTGTCTCATTTCCATTATAGAGAAAAGACTGTATCTAGTTTCTGTACAAATGGTATTTAATTATGTGCTCACTTCAAACCTTCCTCTCCAGAAGATTTTCTTCCTCTTGTGTGGGATCAATGGCTTCCTAGTTCTCCAGCTCCCGCAGCACATGAATGAGGTGTGCATGTATGTGGTGTGGGTAGTGTATGTGTGAGTGAGTGAATTTACTAACGTGACAAAAATTGTATTTCAGAGGTGAATTAGAGCAGGTGCTGACAAGGTTTACTTACAAAGACTCCCAGGAGAATGTAATTTGCAGGCACCTGACGGCGGAGATTCCCGCAGCAAGCAAGCATAATAAACACGAGAAAAAATGCTGGGCTGGAGGATAATTGAAAACCATGTGTTATTTGCTTTCAGTGACTATATCATAGCATATATTATACAGAGGTAAATATAGATATAGATCCTAGTAACTATTACTATGACGTTACATATCTCATAAGTATTATAGTATTAGAAAAAAAAATGTTAATTATAACTTTTGTCTTAGCTTTTAAGATAACTTTTCTCATTTCTATCCATGGATAGCTTATGGGGCATTAAAATATTTTTATTTTAAAATAATCATAGATTCACAGTAAGTTGCAAAGGGAGAGGTTCTGTGAAATCTTCACTTAGTTTCCTGCAATGGTTACATCTTATGTATTTATAGTACAGTACCAAAAAACCAAATCCAGTAATTTGACATTGATACAGTGTATATATGTAATTCTATGTCATCCAAGTATGACACAAATCTATGTGCAGATGCATGTAACTGCCATTGCAATCAAGATTCAGAACTATCCCTTCAAAAAAACATGCATAAAGACCTCGCTTATATTACCCCTGCCCTGTATAGTGTGAAAGTCACCAGTGCCAAGATGGAGTCACTTAGGTCACACCCAAAGTGGAGCTGGAGTTTATGAAGGAGGGGATCTCATGTATCTGAGATAAGAACTAGCCCAAAGACCTCCTTTTCAAATCCCACAAGAAATTTCTACATGTCCTGCACATCCCTACATGTCCTGCCCACATGTCTATAACAGGGTATATAACAAAAAATTCCTCAAGATCGTAGCATTTCAGCCAAGTTGCTCTCACAAAAACACTTGCCTGGCAATGGCTGTCTCCACCAATGAGTTAGCACTAGCTCCTGCAAGAAGCCCCTGTGACCAATGATCTTTGTTTCAAAATAATTTACGTAGATCTCTCTTTGCTTTTTAAAGTTTTCCTCTTATCATAACCTCTCCATCATCTATCATGGCTTTGTGTATTGCATGTTGCAGTGCCCCTGCCACGTCCTATTACACTCTGCAGGGAGCCTCTCTCTCTGTCATTAATTTAGGTTGACAATGGTAACACCCACACCCACACACTCAACCCTAACTCCTGGCAGCCATTAATTTGTTTATTTTTCATCCCTATAATTTTATCATTTCAAGAATGTTATACTTGGTACCTCATTTTGAATAGTAAAAGCATCTCAGGCAATACACAGTAAAAGAATACATTGTATTAAAGTCCAATGATACTTACAAGATTGTATAGATGAACCACGGGGTTTTGAGCACCCAAACTTTTAAAGCCTCCCTGGTTAAAAAAAATTTAATACAGTTTTACACGATAAATATTTTGCTAACTAATATGATATTTAAGAAGAAGTAAAATAAAGCATATCATGAGAAAAAAGGAAGAAACCCTAACTGATGAATAATGACAGATGGAGAATGAAACAGTGAAACATTTTTTTTAAATAGATGTATTCATAATAAGTTATAAGTAAAATTTGGATGAATGCAAATATCCTAATAAAGGTTTTTATTTTAAAAGTGCTGAGATTAGGCCGGGCGCAGTGGCTCACACCTGTAATCCCAGCACTTTGGGAGGCCGAGGTGGGTGGATCACAAGGTCAAGAGATCGAGACCATCCTGGTCAACATGGTGAAACCCTGTCTCTACTAAAAATACAAAAAATTAACTGGGCATGGTGGCGCGTGCCTGTAATCCCAGCTACTCAGGAGGCTGAGGCAGGAGAATTGCCTGAACCCAGGAAGCAGAGGTTGCAGTGAGCTGAGATCACGCCATTGCACTCCAGCCTGAGTAACAAGAGCGAAACTCCGTCTCAAAAAAAAAAAAAGTGCTGAGATGAGTATGTGTGCAAAGCAAAAAAAAATCAACTTCTCATCTGTTTGTTTCATAAATACAGATTTTCATAGGGTATGTTTAAGCAGTGATAGATCATAGTCCCTCAAATAATTTCTTTTTGTTTTTTAGAGACAAGGTCTTGCTCTGTTGCCCAGGCTGGAGTGCAGTGGTACAATGATGGCTCACTGCAGGCTTGAACTCATGAGCTCAAGCCATCTCTTGTCTCAACTCTTAAATAGCTGGGAGTACAGGCCTGTGCCACCACATCCGGTTAATTTTTACTTTTATTTTTTGTAGAGACGGGGGTCTCACTATGTTGCCCAGGTTGGTCTCAAACTCCTGGCCTCAGGTAAACCTCCAACCTCAGCCTCCCAAAGTGCTGGGATTACAGGTGTGAATCACTGCACTAAGCCCCTCAAATAATTTCTGAATTTAACACTGTTCCAGCTTCCAAGGTCTCCATAATCTCACCTTTATTTATTATTATTTTTTCCTTGAGATAGAGTCTCGCTCTATTGCCCAGGCTGGAGTGCAGTGGCTCGATCTTAGCTTATTACAACCTCCACCTCCGGAGTTCAAGCGATTCTTCTGACTCTGCCTCCTGAGTAGCTGGGGTTACAGGTGCCCACCACCACGCCTGGCTAATTTTTGTATTTTTAGTAGAGATGGGGTTTTCACATTTTGGCCAGGCTGGTCTCAAACTCCTGACCTCAAGTGATCCACCTGCCTCAACCCCTCAAACTGCTGGGATAATAGACATGAGCCATCACGCCCAGCTCACCTTTTCTTCTCAATCCAATTTTCATTGTGGAAATAGCTTGAGAGAAAATTACAAAGCAAAACAAAAAAACAGTGTCCAAAATAAGACTTTTTAAAAAGTTCTTTTGCTTTGGTTAGAAAGTTAAATTCTAGAAATCTACCACCATGTTGGTCTAGGAGTTGCCTCAGAAAAACAAAAAGAGATAAACTATTTTTAAATGATCAAAATTAAATTAACCTGATTCAATAAGAATTAATTTGAACAACCTAACACTTAATTATACATCAGTCATAAAGACTTACCAGAAAATGAACACACTGGTAATTACCATAGTGATCACCAACTGAACTGACAGGATGAGGAACACTTTGATAATGAAAGCTGAGGGGACACAAACGTTATTTTTATGACATAATAGTCAAAAGCAACAACATAAATGTAATAACCTATTTTTGAAATTTAATGAAAGGAATTTTTTTCTTTGCTTTATTTTGGAATTGGAAAGGCCGTGCTAGTTTACAGTCAGCAAATGGAATAACAACAAAAATGCAGCTCTTACTTTTACAGCACGCTCATTCCAGATGGTGGGACAGAGGTGTTTTATGGCGATCTGATGGTTTATCTAAGGGAGCTCCAGAATTTTCTTTTTTCTTTTATTTATTTATTTTATTATTATTATTATTATTTTAAACAGAGTCTCAGTCTTATGCCCAGTCTGGAGTGGAGTGGCTCGATCTCAACTCACTACAACCTCTACCTCCTGGGTTCAAGCACTTCTCATGCCTCAGCCTCCTGAATAGCTAAGATTATCACAACTCCCAGGTAATTTTCTAATTTTGTTTTCTTTCTTTTTTTTTTTTTTTGGATTTTTTAAGTAAAGATGGGGTTTCACCATGTTGCTCAGGCTAGTCTCAAACTTCTGATCTCAGGTGATCCACCTGCCTTGGCCTCCCAAAATGCTGGGATTACAGGCATGAGCCACCATGCCTGTCCAAACTCTGGAATTTTCAAGATGAACTCAGGAATTTAATTCCTTGTCAGGCACACCCCATCCTCCTTAGGATCAAACATGACCTGAAACCCTCACCATGTCACAGGCCATCATTAGGGATATGGCAACACTACCTCCCTACACCAGAGAGCAGCAGCACCTCAGGACTGTGGGGATAAGGGGCATCTCCCTGGAGATGGACTTGGGCTGCAGAGAGTTTATGGCACTTTTCTGCCACTTTTCTCTCCAGCCTACCTGCCTGTAATAACTCTCTTCCCTTCTACTTCCTAATGCAGAAACTAGATAACTTGTCGAACTGTATGTAAGACCAAAGAGTTCCAAGGGAATGACAGGCCAACACACACGGCAAAGCACGTGGGCACCTCTTTCTGCTCACTTCCTGCGCCCTCTGAATATGGCACGGGCAATGGCAATTTGCCTTTGTGTGGCTTTACCCTAATTTCAAAGGAAAAAAAAAGAAGTAGTGACGCTTAAAATTTACTTATAGACTCATCAACTGTCCTTTTGCAGGACAGTTTCTATGCATAGAAATATGACAACAATGCAGTGGGACTCAGCTGTCTTAATAAAAATAGCAGAATATCTATTTCCAAGTGCATGCTGCCTACATTAAAACATTCATTTAGCTCTCATTAATTGGGGATCTTCTATGTAGCAGGGACCGTGGGGGAAAAATATTAAATGTGGCCCAGGCTCATAAGAACAGACATAGAGATCGGAATCAAGGTGACAATCAAGAAATAAACCCTTATATTTATGGTCAATTGATTTTTGACAAATGTGCCAGGAAAATTCAATGGAGAAAGAATAATCATTTTGACAAATGGTGCTGGGAAGACTGGATATACACCTACAGAAGATGAATTTGGATCCCCACCTAACACCAAACTGCAAGCCGTAACATGGAGTCATAATGAGCATAGCAGCCTCAGCTACCATTTCCTTGTAAGTAAATGAGAGCTCCCAATTCAAGACCAGCACAAGAGGTGCACAACTGAGTCAACCCACAGAATTATGAAATGGTTGTTGCTTTCTTTACACGGGCAAAGGATTTGAGTAGATATTCCTCCAAAGAAGACATGTGAATGAAAATTCACTAATGAAATGCAACTCAAAACTACAATGAGATACCACTTCACAAACACTAGAATGACTATAACCAAAAAGACAGACTATAACAAGTTTTGGCAAGGATGCAGAGAAGCAGGAACCCTCATACATTGCCGATTGGAATGTAAAATGGTGCAGCCACTTTGGAAAAGTTTGGCAGTTCATCAAAATGTGAAACACAGAATTATTCTATAGTTCAGCAATTCCTGGGTATCTACCCAAGAGAAATGAAGACATATGTCTACACAAAAACTTGAATATGAATGTTGATTGCAGCATTATTCAAAATAACCCAAAGGTGGAAACAATCTAATTATCTTCAACTGATAAATGTATAAACAAAATGTTTTCTCTCCAGGCAATTGAATTGTATATGGCCCATTCATAAAAGGTATGAAATACTGACACATGCCACAACATGAAAGAACCTCAAAAAACATTATTAAGTAAAAGAAGGAAATCACAAAAGACCACATGTTGTATGATTCCATTTACATGAAATGTTCAAAATAGATTCATAGAGAGGTCTGAAAGTAGATCAGTAGTTGGCAGGGGTTCCGGGGCGGGAGGAGGGAGAAACTGCCGAGGGGTGTGGTTTCTGTTCTTTTCTTTCCTTTGGTAGAGACAGGGTTTCAGCATGCTGCCCAGGTTTGTCTCAAACTCCTAACCTCTAGTGATCTGCCTGCCTCAACCTCCCAAAGTGCTGGGATTACAGACATGAGCCACCATGCCTAGCCTGGGTATGGGTTTCTGTTTGAGGTGATGAAAAGTTTCTAGAATTGATTGTGATGATTATCAACTCTAAATATACTAAATACCAGTGAACTGTACACTGAAAATGGATGAATTTTATGATTTGCAAATTATATCTCCATAATGCTGCTTTAAAAAATTACAACCCCTGTAACTCAGTCCATTACCCTGCTATTCTTTTCCTTTTCTCCACAGCACTTTCATCTTCTCATATACTACATAATTGTTTTAAATGGGAAAAAGGCCAGCCTCTGTCCTCCAGGAGAGGCAGACATAAATAACTGACTCTTACACTGGCAAGGAGGCTCTACATATTTTTCAATTAGACCTGAAAGACTAATTCAATTAGACTCTTTAAGCCTCATTTTCTCATCTGTAAAATGGCAGTACAGCTTCTGTGTTGGTTGGGTTGTTGTAAAGATGAAAATCAATAATGTCGCCCTTGCACAACATGCTGTGTAGGCCAGGTATTGGTTCAGAGATGCCCAGGTGCTTAGTGACATCCAGTATCCCTGGCTTCCTCACTGTCTGACCCATATCTTGTTAAGGGTGGCAATGGGCCCAACTGAACAACTCCAGATGGAGGCGGCCATGTGACACAGGTGAGTCAATGGCATGGCATTCCAAACGCTGGGTGTGGTTTCTAGAAAAACCTCTGAAAAGAAGACTGGCTTGGTCAAGTCTCAGGATACCTGCAGCCCTCTCTTGGCTCTTCTTTGCCTTTGGCTGTCTGCCTTTTCCTTTTCCTACTTCAAAGGCTAGAGCTCCAAAAGGCAGCTTTCCAGCAACAGGAAGTGGGTGGTGAGGGACGCAGGGAGACCAATAAAATTCAGAGCTCACAGTCCACTTGCAATGTTCAGGCCTCAAAAGGCCTAAGGATGACAGACTGGAGACTTTAAAGCTTAAGCCAATATTATGTGTCACCTCATATACAATTAAAAACATTTTACGATCCACAACTAATTCATATTTCCTTAAAAAATAAACCCAAAAGTTGTTCACCATATGTTTCTTATGAGTTTCTGAATGCCCTGGACAACTTGGGAGCAGTCAATTATAACAGTCCTACATCATGTTTTAGGAGAAAGCATGACTCAGAAAAACTAAAAACAAAATTATATCTGCCAGTCTACTCTGTGGAAACATTTTAAGAGAACATGTGCTTTTCTCTTCTTAAAAGGTAAATTTCTTTATTCTCACCTCTGCGGACAGATGCGTCCAAGAACGGATTGCCTAAAGTTGCATTGCTATCACCTGGGGTGATGTCATCTGAAATTTGTATCACATAGACATTCGACTGCTCAGTGTCCTTTGACTGTGGCTTCTCCTGAGTTTCTTGTGGCCCCACTGAAGATGAAGGTGTGTAGCGCTCACCAGATCCGGACTGGATGCTTTTATCTGCTGCTTTCCGAATCAGATGTTGATGATCTCCAGAACTAAAGTCTATTGGTTCGTTGACCTCCAGGTCCATTTTCCTAGAGGGGGAGAATTGTTATTCATGTCCTTGTGATCGCACCTCTACAACCTCAGCATCCTCATAATTGTCAGGTGATTTCTTCTTAATTTTAAATGCCTTGGCTCAGTGCTTACCAAGTTGGTGCTTAATATATATTTGTTAAATGAATGATAACATTTAAGATGAAACCCACAGAGTAAAATAATTGGATTCTATTATGATTTTAATTTTTGAGATGGAGTTTCATTCTTGTTACCCAGACTGGAGTGCAATGGCACGATCTCGGCTTACCGCAACCTCCGCCTTCTGGGTTCAAGCAATTCTCCTGCCTCAGCTCCTGAGTAGCTGGGACTACAGGCGCGCACCACCATGCCCAGCTAATTTTTGTATTTTCAGTAGAGACGGGGTTTCATTTTGTTGACAAGGATGGTCTCGATCTCTTGACCTCGTGATCCACACGCCTCGGCCTCCCAAAGTGCTGGGATTATAGGCGTGAGCTACTGTACCCGGCCTGAAATTAATTTTTAAATAAAATTTATTCAGTAAAAAGTTAATGAGTGACAATCATGAAGCTGCCTTTGCTGTCTCTGGCCTCAGAGAGCTTACATTTTGGAAGAGAGTATAATCAAACAAGCAATCATATAAAAGGCAATATAAGCAGGACAGGAACATTGGAAGAAGACGAGAGCCCCGAAGGAAATCTGGAGAAACTTCGGAGAGTAGAAGTTGTCAAAAGCTTTCAAAGAAACTGAAGCTTAAGCTGTGGCTGGAAATGAGTAGGGATTAGTCAAGTAAAGAGTTGGGGAGAGGTTTTCCAGACAAGGAACCAGTCTGGACCAGGACTGGAGAAATCAGGGAGGGCAAGTCCTAGAAACTGAAAGAAGCCTATGTACCTGGAACAGAGAGTTTGAAGAGGGGAGTGGAATGAGGTTACACAGAGAAGTAGTGGGTATGCCTCTGAGAGGCTGGCAAGCCAAGTTAAGGAGCCTGGGCTTTATCCTGAAGGCCATGGGTGTGATTGGCAGAATAGTGGTCCTCCAATAATGTCCACATCCTAGTTTTTGGAACCGGTGGCTATATTATCTTGTATGTAAAAAGGAACTTCGCCGATGTGATTAAGTTAAGGACTTTGGGATGGGGAGATGATCCTGGATTATCTGGGTGGGCCCAATCAAATCACAAGGGTTCTTATGATCATAGGTTTAAGAACAAGGCAGCAGGAGGAGCAGAGTCAGAGAAGGAGATGTGACAACAGAAGCAGAGGTCAGAGTGATACAACTGTGGTCTTTAAAGATGGAGGAAGGGGACCATAAGCCACGGAATGCAGGTGGCCTCTAGAAGTTGGGAAAGGCAAGGAAATGGCTTTTCCCTACAGCCTCCAGGAAGGAACCAGTCCTTCCAAAACGTGGAGTTTAACCTAGTGAGATTGGTTTTAGACTCATGACCTCCAGAACTGTAAGATAATAAATGTGTGTTATATTTTAAGTCATTCAGTTTGTGGCATTTTAACAGCAGCAACAGAAAATGAATACAATGGGGAATGAAGGAAGGTTTCCCAGCAGGGTCCCAGGGAAATCTCCTCGAAAGGTTACTCTAGATACAATGTGCAGAATGGGCCAGACTAAGCCAAAGTGAGGCAGAGACCAGAAATCCAGATAAGCGATGGCAGTGGGCTTTGCCACAGTGCCTTCCAGCCTGAACACAGTTCTTAGAAAAACACTACTAAATGGACCAAAAATGGCAAAGCAACAGGCCCTGTTAACCTCTTGGAGAACATGAAAACACAGGCAAGCCCTGCTGCCGCCCTCCTGATGCACGGGGAGTAACAGGGACATGAGAAGGATGCTGCTGAGACAGCAAAGGCTTGGGCAGTCAGAAGGCCAAGTGGGAAGGCGTAAATAGAAGGTCTGAACAAAATGCCTTGGAGAAGCAGATGCAGTGTGGGAAAGATGTCCCATCTCCTCAAATTAATCTCCGAATTTTACAAAATTCTTTGGGATTTGTTTTTTCAGTACATGAAACTGTAACTCCAAAGTTTATCAGAAAGAGTAAAGGTGTTACAATAATCAAGAAAAAAGTTATAAGGAGGAAGATTATGGTGGAAGGGATGGTGATTTACTTTTCTCAGAAATCAAAAGATTACAGAGCTATATAATTAAAGCTGTGGTAAGAGCGTGGCAATAGATAAATAGATCAATGAGTTGGAAGAGAGTCAAGAAACAGACTGATGTATATAGGAGAATGTATTTAATATTTTAAAAGGTGAATTTAAAAGGGACAAATTATTGTCCCATGGTGTGGGAAAAACTAGCTATGTACTTGGAAAACAAAATACAGTTTAAGAGCTATTTCACGGCCGGGCGCGGTGGCTCAAGCCTGTAATCCCAGCACTTTGGGAGGCCGAGGCGGGTGGATCACGAGGTCAACAGATCGAGACCATCCTGGTCAACATGGTGAAACCCCGTCTCTACTAAAAATACAAAAAATTCGCTGGGCATGGTGGCGCGTGCCTGTAATCCCAGCTACTCAGGAGGCTAAGGCAGGAGAATTGCCTGAATCTAGGAGGCGGAAGTTGCGGTGAGCCGAGATCGCACCATTGCACTCCAGCCTGGGTAACAAGAGGGAAACTCTGTCTCAAAAAAAAAAAAAAAGAGCTATTTCACATCTTATACAAACATGCATGCCAGATGAACTAAAGATATTATCATAAGTGATAATAGCCATAGATATTCTACAAGAAAATAACAGGAATATTCGTGTAAGTCCTTGCAAGAATGATACTATATATGAACTGCTTTGGCTGGGTGCAGTGGCTCACACCTGTAATCCCAGCATTTTGGGAGGCCAAGGCGGGAGATCGCCTGAGGTCAGGAGTTTGAGACCAGCTTGGCCAACATGGCAAAAACCCTTTGCTACTAAACGTACAAACATTAGCCAGGTGTAGTGACAGGTGCCTGTAATCCCAGCTACTCAGGAGGCTGAAGCAGGAGAATCACTTGACCCTGGGAGACAAGTTGCAGTGAGCCAAGATTGCACCATTACACTCCAGCCTGGATGACAAGAGCAAAACTCTGTCTCAAAAAAAAAAAAAAAAAACTGCTTGGCAGATTTGGAGTACAGGAGCACTTTAGATACCATAACAAATATTAAATGCAAAATTTTAAACATAATATTTGTGATATTTACTATACCATAAGAAGAACTTTAACAAGGAAAAGATGGACAACCCAATAAAAAGATGAGAAAAGGCCAGGCACAATGACTTACAACTGTAATCTCAATGTTTGTGGAGGCCAAGGTGGAAGGATTGATTGCTTGAGCCCAGGAGTTTGAGACCAGCCTGGGCAACATAGTGAGATCCGATTTCTAAGAAAAAAAAAAAAAAAATTAGCCAGGCATGGTAACATATGCCTGTAGTCCCAGCTACTCAGAAGGCTGAAATGCGAGGATTTCTTGAGCCCAGAAGTTCAAGGCTGTAGTGAGCTATGATCATGCCACTGCATTACAGCCTGGGCAACAGAAAAAGATCCTGTCTCTAAAAAAAAAAAAAAGGGGGGGGGAGAGAGAGAGAGGAAAGAACATAAATAGGCAATTCATATGGTCAATAAACTTAGGAGATGATGCCCCATAAATAACCAAAGAACTACAAGTAAAAACAAAAAAGACTAGAAAAGATTAAAGATAAGTCTCAGAGTTGCAAGGCTGTGAAGAGAGCCTAATAGAGAATTCTCTAATAGAGAATCCAGGGCCACAAAATGACCTGCATGGGCTCTATACATGTTTGTCTTCAAGGGTCCCTTCCTCCAAAAAAATACTAAAAATTATATGTTATGAGTGGATTGGTATAAAGATGAATATAATCCTATCTGGAGTCATTATATATCACATATTCATTCTTATATGTACTTTTTTCTCCTGTTTTAAAAAATTAAAATGTTTTTATGGCCCCTAAAACTATCATGGGTCCTAGGCACTATGCCTAATTGCCTAGTAGGTATCAGTCCTGGGACACCCTCGTGGAGGCGTAAACTTTTGGGGGGTGGGTGGCAATTTAGCATCATCTATCAGAATTCAAAATGTGTCTTACTATAGACCCAACAGTTACATTTTTAGAAATGTATCCCATAAACCTATCCATACAAACATGCAAAGATACATGTATAAGGAAGTTCATTACACCATTCATTGTTTCTAACTGCAAAAAATTTTAAACAGTTTAAAATTTTTTTTAATTTTAAAAAATCAGCAGGGGAATGGTCAAATTAACTTTGGCACAGGAAAAGGCAGATATATATGTATTAATGTGGAGAGTTCACTGTTTCACAATTTTAAATTTAAAAACTAACATTAGAGAATAACATTGAGCAAGATCACATTAATGTTGTATATACACCCATACTTACAGACTGAAAAGATAAACTATAAACGGTTCATATGATCATCTCTCACCCAGAAGAGCTGGGAAACACACTCTGAATAGTATGAATTTTTCCAGTGAGCATCTATTACTCATATAATAACAGAAAAAGATATTTACATTTTGAAGAGAAAAGGAAATATTTGTCTTTTTGATAAAGTTTGGGCTCCTCCAAGGAAAGGAGTCTTCCTGCAGAGCTGAGAGGCACTAGAGGATGCTCAGAAAACCAAGTTGATTTCCTCTCCAGTGTCTTGCAAATCAGAAGGAGGACAGGCAGCAAGATTTTCAAAGCACTCAAGATCAAAAACAAAACCAAAGCCACAGGCAGCTGAGTTTTCCTCACAAAACTATATTTGCCTGGTGCCTGAATCACAAAATGAGGCTTTCGCTTGGCCCTCAAATAGCTCTCCCAGCTCCTGAGCCAGTGGTCTGTCATCCAAAGCCTGGACAAGCACTGTACTGAGAGGCAGTGTTCTGAGTGACAGTTAGGAGAGTGGCAGTTGGAGCGTGGGTGGGCTTCACTGGAGGGGGCCCTAAGTCAGGCCCAATCTGCCAAGCCCCATTCTGGTCAAAGAGCCCTATCAATGCACTCCTTATTTTCTTAGGCAGGCTTGCACCAAATCTCCAAACCCATTCCATGTCAGGGAACAAGAGGCTCCTGGAGGGTGTGGTGTGCCGCAACCATGTCATAACTTTCTCCTAAGCAGGAGGAAGATGTTTATGAAACTCCACTGGAGAAGTCCACCAGAGATCCTGCACAGTTATTATGTTAGTGCAAAAGTTATTGTGGTTTTTGCCATTAAAATAATGGTCAGAGCCACAATTACTTTTCCACCAACGTAGTATTTCAAATAAGTAAGACTCGTGTGTGATGAAGTGTGCATTTTCTTTCTGGTGATGATGATGTTGGTACAAGGAAATGGCTACCCACAGACTCTCCTGATACAGGCAGTGTGGTGAGAGAAGTCAGATGACCAGGCAGGGACAGCTTGGATGAGCGTCTCTGCCCAGGGATTTCTAGTCAGGGAGGGGATTAGGAGCAGAAACTTGTCCTGAATGAAGGCTGTTGCTGAGAAAAGGCTAATTGCTACATTAACTCGTTCATTAAACTGCTAATTAGTGCATGTCTACTGTGTAAAAGGAGCAGAGAAGTGGAAGAAACACAAGAAGAAAAAACGTATTTCCTGTCCTCAAGATGCTTATAGTCAGTTGGAGGAGTCACAAAAGTGAATGCCTAAGGGAGAAGGAAGAGCAATAGAAACTAACAGCTACATAATGGATTCTGGGCTTGATACCTAGGTGATGGGTTGATCTGTGCAGCAAACCACCATGGCACACGTTTACCTATGTAACAAACCTGCACATCCTGCACAGGTACCCTGGAACTTAAAAGTTGAAGAAAATAAATAAACAAACAATAGCTATGTAGAGTCAGGGAGTTGGGAAAGAAAATGTAACTTCCATCATGGGTCTGAGCTGATTCTTGAGAGATGGTTGGGGTTGGGTGTGAAGAGTTGGGAGGAGGTACATTCCAGGCACCAAGAACACCCCGAGCCAAGGCATGATGGTGGGAACCGTGGGTCACACACTCCACATGGAAAGTAATGCCATTAGGTTATAACATAGGTCATGTGACTGCACTGGAAGATAAAAATGTCATGTTTACCTCCTGAGACTAAAAAAAAAAAGTCGCTAGGAATATCTGCCCTGGTTCTCCTCCCTGAAACCTTCCAGCAGTTTCACAACTCCCTCTCATTTTCTCCCTGTCCAGTCCTCAGTATCTCTTCTAGTTTGTTGATGTAAATAGGCAATTTGAGTTAATTTTTCCAAAATGTAATTACCATGAGTTACATGATTATATGTGAGGGGTATAACTATTGACTTGACCAAGATCCAGTCAAAAGAAATGCTCCCTCCTCTTCCTTTCTTATCAGCCTCATAGTTGACATTAACAAGGCACTTACTAGATGTAAAGTTGTTTATAACTTCACATGAATTACTTTGTGTAATCCTTACATCAACCCTATGGGGTATGTTCTCTTGCTCTCCTCATTTAACAGGTAAGTAAGGCCGGGCATGGTGGCTCATGCCTGTAATCCCAGCACTTTGGGAGGCCAAGGCAAATGGCTCACAAGGTCGATTGAGATCATCCGGGCCAACATGGTGAACCCTATCTCTACTAAAAATACAAAAATTAGACGGGGGTGGGGGTGGGGTCTGAAAAAAATTAGACTGGCATGGTGGCACGCGCTGTAGTCCCAGCTACGCAAGAGGCTGAGTCAGAGCAAGACTCCTTCTCAAAAACAAAAAAACAAACAGGTAAGGCTTAGTGGCAGTGTTCTTCCCACACCAGAGATATCCAGGAGAAGCGTGCACTGTCAAGGAATTCCACATCTGCCCATACTCATCAAGACACAAAATGTGGTGGATGTTATCTCTTTGGAAACATAGAAAATATGCATATTTTATGTATTTGCTTTTTTCCCCCCCAACTCTTAAGAGTTGTAATTAATGAACCATGTAACATTTGAATCATGCAAATTAGACTGCATGCTGGCACTGACAATCCCCTGGGGAATTCAGCATTGTTCTTTTCCCTTAGTGTGATATTTAAGGGCATAGGAGGTATTTATTTCTGTGTCCACAGCTTATACACACCACCACTACCACCACCACCACCACAATTTTCTCAGCCATCCCATAGATACCAAATTGTCTCCGTGAGCTCTTGGTCCAGGCTGAGTATGTCTCTCTCACTGTGTCCTATGGTCTGACTCTGCCCCCCAGTTTTCATGTGTTGAAATTTAATTACCAACGTGATAGTATTCAGAAGTAGAGCCTTTGGGAGAGGAGTAAGTCATGAGAGTGGAACCCTCGTGAATGGGATTAGCAACCTCATAAAAGAGCTGGAGAAACTTGCAATTGTCTCCTTTTGCATTTCTGCCCTTCTACTATGTGGTGACACCTAGATGGCGCCATCAATGAAGAATGGGCTCTCTCCAGACACTGAACCTGCTAACATCTTGATCTTGGACTTTCCACCCTCCAGAACTGTAAGAAATAAATTTCTGGCTGGGCACAGTGGCTCACACCTGTAATCCCAGCATGTGGGAGGTCGACATTGGCAGATCATCTGAGGTCAGGAGTTTGAGACCAGCCTGGCCAACATGGTGAAACCCTATCTTTACTAAAAATACAAAAATTATCCAGGCATGATGGTGAGCACGTGTAATCCCAGCTATTTGGGAGGCTGAGGCAGGAGAATCCCTTGAACCCAGGAGGCAGAGGTGGCAGTGAGCTGAGATCGCACCACTGCGCTCCAGCCTGGGCAACAAGAGTGAAACAAGAAAGAAAGAGAGAAAGAAAGAGAGACAGAGAGAGAAAGAGAAAATTTCTGTTATTCACAAATTACCCATTCTCGGATATTTTGTTAAAGTAGCACAAATGGACTAAGACATTGTGTCAGTCTGTGAGTGCTCCCCTGGCCAGGCCTACTATGGCTCCCGTTCTTCTTGGGGCACCAGCAGAGCGGGAAGGGGGTTGAGTTGGAGCCTTCATTACGGCTCCTTCAGTTCTTTTCTTTACCTGTTTCCCTCCCTTACTCATTTGAGCCCCATCACCTTCTTCTCTACCTAGTAGTCTCCATTTGTCCACACATACACTACTGCTATGCTACTCTCTAACACATGTGCACAAGTAGTTGTCATACTGTAGCTACTACCACTTGGAGAAGCCCCATTAATTGAATTAGAACTATGAGCCAAACATAATAGCTGATGAAATCTTTACACAGCCCTGAGGTGGACAATATCATCTTCACTTTACAGATGAACTGAGCTTCAGAAACAAGGTCCAGTTGCCAGCCCTCAAATGAGGTACTAATGTCTCCTGCTGGGAGAGAGTTTTAGGGTCAACAGACTGCTCTATTTTCTTCTTTTCCATTTGATGCTTTCTCTTCTTGTTTATATTTTTAAATAAAAGTAATGCATACATATGGTGAAAAAACGTCAAATAACACAAAATCAAAAACTCCCCCATCACCCCTGTTAACATCAATTGCCAATAATTCTTCGTTTTAAGTTCTAACTTAAAAATGCAACACACACACACACACACTCACACACACGTTTCTAATTTACACAAAGTGATCTTATTCTATACTGTTTTATAAATTGCTTTCTTTCTCTCTTAATATCTGATTGTTTTCTTATCAGCACATATAAAAACCTCAAATACTTTCTTGTCACACTGAAAATAAAATCCAAAGTTCTTACTTTGGCTATTACAATATGATGCTAAAACTCAACAAAGATATTACCATAAAGGAAAAGTATGAGTCTTTGTCACTTACGAACATAGATATAAAAATCTTAAACAAAATAGTAGTAAACCAAACCTAGCAAAATGTAAAAGGGTTAATATATCACAACCAAGGTGGGTTCACTCCAGGAATTGTAAATTTAACATTCAGAAATCTGTCTGCCTCAGACATTAATAAAGGGAAAAAACATGATCATCTTGTAGAGAAAACCATTTGATAAAAATGGAAACAATTTGATAAAAATGGAAATAGAAAAGAAGTTCCCTAACCTGATAAAGGGAATCTACAAAATCTATGGTGATATAGGTCAGGATAGCGGTTCTTTCTCCATAAAGGACAAGAGGGGGACTTCCCCTAGTAATGTCTATTTCTTGATTTGGTTGCTTGGGTGTGGTTGCCTGTGATAAACTGTACACGTATGACTTGTGCACTTTACTGTATGTGCATCATACTTAATTTTAAAAGGCTGTAAAAAAATACAGGGCAGCTGCCATGGCTGCTTCTGCAGTCTAAGCGCTGGTCTATATGCTGCAGCCACGCCCCACTGCCAACAGGAAGGGAAGGATGGAATCATGTTTGTGACTAAAGATGACCACAAAACTCCAAGCAATGTAGAGCTGGTGGCTAATGACCTCAATGATCCATACTCAGCATGGGCTGACGCTGCCAAATGAAGACAGTAACTGGAACTGCCTGTGCCTTGGGGGAATGCCCAGCGGCCCCTGTGGGGAACAGTTCAAGTTGGCCTTTTTCTGCTTCCACTATAGTGCAGAGGATCCCAAGGGGTAAGACTGTAGACCAGTTCCAGGTCAAGGAGGAATGCATGTAGAAATACCTGGACCTCTATCCCCGAAACTGTGACCTCGATCATGTCAGGGTCAGCCACCCCTAGTGAATATCAGCACAAGAGGTTGAGGAGGAAGAAGAGAAGTCCCTGGAATCAATCCTTCATGGATACCGAGGGACAACTGTACATGTGGATATTGACCTGATCCATGGCTGTGTCTTGTAGTGGAGAGGAAGCTGGTGAGCTATGGGAGTAACTTGCAGATGAGTTGCAAGGACAGGTATATGTTACCAAATGGAGAGAGACATTCAGGAGCATGGAAATCAAGCACCTAGATTTCCTCACACTGTAGGTGAGGAAAAACTTCCTTCTCACCACCCCCCACCTTTTTTTTTTTTTTTTTTTGAGACAGAGTCTCTCACTTGCTCTGTCCCCCCGTCTGCAACCACCTCCGCCTCCCAGGTTCAAGCAATTCTCCCTTCTCAGCCTCCCGAGTAGCTGGGATTACAGGCACCCACCACCATACCTGGCTAATTTTTTTGTATTTTTAGTAGAGATGGGATTTCACTATGTTGGCCAGGGTGGTCTCGAACTTCTAACCTCAGGTGATCGCCTGCCTCAGCCTCCCAAAGTGCTGGGATTACAGGCATGAGCCACTCCGCCTGGCCTCTTCTATTTGGTTCTGTGGCTGGACAGATTTACTGGAAATGCATAAAGTGCAGACAGATTTACTGGAAAATGCATAAAAGTTTTATTTAATATTTGTATATGCACAGGAGTCTTTGCAAGAAAAATAAAGATCAATAGAAGTTATTAGGCCCAAGAGCTTATATGCCCTTTTAAATAAAGAATAATGGCCAGACATAGTGGCTCACACCTGTAATCTCAGCACTTTGGGAGGCTGGGGAGGGGGGGTGAATCACAAGGTCAGGAGTTCAAGACCAGCTTGACCAACATGGGGAACCCCATTTCCGCTAAAAATACAAAAATTAACCGGGCGTGGTGATGCACACCTGTAATCCCAGCTACTTGAGGCTGAGGCAGAAGAATTGCTCTAACCCAGGAGGCAGAGGTTGCAGTGAGCTGAGATCACTCCAGCCTGGCCAACAGAGCGAGAGTCTCAAAAAAAAAAAAAAAAAAAAGAATAATAAATTGCATGGAGGGATGTGACAAGACAAAGGAGCTTAGGCTAAGGCCGGTAAATTGTGGAAAAGTATGTGAGAAACTAATGGAAAATAAGGGTTACAAAGTTTTGTAAGGTTTTGTTTGTAGATTTATCTCAGTGGCAGCTCTGCCTCTGGCAATAAGAATATTCTTCTCTTCCTGGTATAGAAAGGGCACCTTGCACAAGGGAACTTTTATGTTCTGCTTCAAACAGAAAGAGGGTGGTCAGAGAGCCTTCCCTGCATCTGTTGTTGCTCCATTGCCATCAGCTCAGAGGAATCAATATGCCAGAGTGGCATATTTTGGGATGGCAGGCCCTAAAGACCTTCAGCATTGTTCTAAAATGAGACAACACTCTTTACCTAGTCTCCTCAACCACTTTTACAGTTTGCTTTAATCCAAATAACAGTCCTGGAAACTTATTTTGTTTTTGTTTTTGTTTTTTTGAGACGGCGTTTCACTCTTGTTACCCAGGCTAGAGTGCAATGGTGCGATCTTGGCTCACCGCAACCTCCACCTCCTGGGTTCAGGCAATTCTCCTGCCTCAGCCTCCTGAGCAGCTGGGATTACAGTCACGCGCCACCATGCCCAGCTAATTTTTTGTATTTTTAGTAGAGTCGGGGTTTTACCATGTTGACCAGGATGGTCTCGATCTCTTGACCTCGTGATCCACCCGCCTCTTCCTCCCAAACTGCTGGGATTACAGGCTTAAGCCACCACTCCCAGCCTGTTTTTTTTTTTTTTAAAGACAGGGTTTCACCATATTGGTCAGGCTGGTCTCGAACCCCTGACCTCCAGTGATACACCCACCTCAGCCTCCCAAAGTGCTAGGATTACAGGCGTGAGGCACCGCGCCCGGCAGAAACTTATTTTTGTTAGGAAAACTGAAACTTAGAGGGAGGATGACTGAGCCACAACCCACACCCTAGGGGGCTGCTCCAAAGCCCTCCTCGAAAGTGGTGCCAAGGGCAGCAGCTATAATGACATCCAGTGCACACAGAAGTGCCTCTGTTGATCACCAATTAACAGTAAAATCGGAATAATATCTCATTCCAACGTTGTCAGAAGCACAAAATGTGGTTTTGTGACAAAATAGGCATTTAATGTTTCTCCTCACTGCTCCCCCCACCCCACAACCCAGTATATTCATCAAGATCTTTCCAAGGATACTAAGTCTAGGAAACCCAGGATCATGAAGAGAGGCTGAGAAGGAGACTGATTTCTCTGGCAAGACCTGTACTGACTAATGACATTAAGAAAGGCGATCTGGCTTCTCATCCTATGCTTGTCCCAGGCCAGCTATTTGTCAACTGCTGGGCGCTCAGAGCCAAAACTGTTTTCCAACAATGCTAAACCAATTATTCAATTTTCTTCACATTCTCCAATTGGAATATTCTTCAGAGTCTCACAGCACATACAACGATATTGCTTAATGGCTGAAGAATGTGTACCTGACATCTTAGGCTGTAAAATGTCTCAATATCAATTTCTAATACATAAATGTCAGTGGATGACATGTTCTGAACCTCTTGTTGATGTCCGTAAATGGCATGCTCTGAATTCACCTAAACAAAAGAATGGCGGGGCGGGGGGGGGGGGGGGGAGCGGGGGGCATAGGAGGATGTAGATGAGTAGGATTGTCAGTTATTTATTTATTTATTTTGGAAACTCACTCTGTCACCCAGGCTGGAGTGCGATGGCGCGATCTTGGCTCACTGCAACCTCTACCTTCCGTCTCAAGCTCTTCTTCCACCTCAGCTCCAGTATAGCTGGGATTACAGAAGCCCGCCACTGCGCCTGGCTAATTTTTGTATTTTTAATAGACACGGGATTTCACCATGTTGGGCAGGTTGATCTCGAAGTCCTGAGTTCAAGTAATCGGCCCGCCTCAGCCTCCCAAATTACTGGGATTGCAGGGAGGAGCCACCACGCCAGGCCTGGATTGCCAGATTTAGCACATAAAAATACAGGACTCCCAGTTAAACGTGTCTGAGATAAACCATTATTGCATAGGATACCCGTGCTAAAAAAAAAAGATTATCCGTCGTTTACCTGAAAGCCACATTTAATTGGGTGTTCCGTATTTTACCCAGCAAACTCTAGGCCTGAGACCAAAAAGTTTGAGAACCGCGCCCCTAAGCGACAGAAAGTGGAACTGCAGCAAGTTCCCAGTAATTCCGGGTGCTGCACTTCCGGTCAGGCAGTCGGGCTGTGGGGCCCTGGGGCCAGCTCATCGCCGGAAGTCTCCGTGGGCCGCTGCCCGGCGTTCCTCGCCGGTCTGGTCCGTCCTGCTTCCCAGTGCCTCAGGCCTCCAGGGGCTGATGCTGGGCGCTGAGCCGGCACAGCTGGCGGAACCCGCTTCCCGCCTCCAGAGGGCAGCGGCCGCGGCCTAGTCCCTTCACGTGCAGCTCGGTGCCGTCGGCCTCACAGCTCTTCCTATCGCCGGGAGTGGCTGGCCGACCAGTGGGCGGCCGGGCCAGCCTCCGCCATTCCCGTGTCTCTGCGCCCGCGGGGGCCGCCCGAGCCGGCCACCATGCCGCTGGGCCTGAAGCCCACCTGCAGCGTCTGCAAGACCACGTCGTCCTCCATGTGGAAGAAGGGCGCGCAGGGGGAGATCCTCTGCCATCACTGCACGGGCCGGGGCGGCGCGGGCGGCGGGGCTACCGGCTCGGGGGCTGCCGGAGGGACTGGGGGCAGCAGCGGCGGCGGCGGCTTCGGCGCGGCGACCTTTGCCAGCACCTCCGCCGCCCCTCCGCAGAGCAACGGGGGCGGGGGCGGCAAGCAGGTGAGCTCCTCCGGCCTCTCCCGCCGGCGGAGGCCGAACAGGCGCTAGGCGGGCCGGGACCGGGCTGGCGGGGGAGCGGGCGGGTACGGGCTTCCCGGATTGCGATGCTCCTGCCGGGCTGGGACGCCTCCTCTCCACCTCCTATTGAGATTTTTGGTTTGGCGCATTCCGAAGCACCTGCTATTGTAAGAAATTTAAAGCATAAGGAAGCAAGAAAATGTAAAGCCCTTCTGAAAATCTCAGTATATGCACGTCTACACAGTCGTAAACAGGGTCATGCCACAGATGCAGGACCTCATTCCTTGTTAATAAAGGTTTTGTCATATCAGGTTATGAAGTAAAGATTATTGTCATTATTGTAAATGGCAGCTTAAGTATTCCATTGTAGAGGATGCTATAACCTAACACTTTCTCTGGCCTTAGGGAGTAAAGTTAAGTGTTTTTCTCTTGTAGGCACAACAAATCAATAGGTCTTGTCTTGGCCTAGACTGACTCCTCCTCCTGCCTCGTGCCCTATTATGAGCAGCTCACACCTTTGGGAGGCTCTGTAGAGGCATGTCCAGCGAGCTCCAAGATTCGGCGTGCTGGACTTGTAGTTTTAGCCCAGTTACTGTAATTACCCCGTTTGAAAAGCAAAGGCGCACTCTTAATCGCTAAATGCTCTTATAAGGTGCATACTCCAGGATCCTTGTAAGATGGTTGTACCGGGACTGCAACCTTTCTACATTTTTTACTTTCTCTTTTTGTTCTTTAATTTGTATAACAGAGTAAGCAGGAAATTCACAGGAGGTCTGCTCGGCTCAGAAACACTAAATACAAATCTGCTCCGGCTGCTGAAAAGAAAGTTTCCACCAAAGGAAAAGGGAGAAGACACATATTTAAATTGAAAAATGTAAGATGTTTGTTGACAGTGCCTTTTACTGTAATGATGTTGTGTATATTTTGCCACTGCCTTCATTTCTCCCCACTGAACTTGGACTCTGCCCTTGGAAGCCCTTCTTCAGTATTTTGAGGGTAGTCCAGACTCCCCAAAAGGGAATGAGCTCTGTTGCAGGAGGCTCACTTTTTATAAAGTTAATAATAAATACTCTTTCCTTTTTTTTAGCTTTTACTTTTTCCCCTGGAAAATATAAAATACGGGTTTAAAAGAAATATTGCCGGGCGCGGTGGCTCACGCCTGTAATCCCAGCACTTTGGGAGGCTGAGGCGGGCGGAGCATGAGGTCAGGAAATTGATACCATCCTGGCTAACACGGTGAAACTCTGTTTCGACTAAAAATACAAAAAATTAGCCAGGCATGGTGGTGCGTGCCTGTAGTCCCAGCTACTCAGGAGGCTGAGGCAGGAGATTCGCTTGAGCCCGGGAGGCGGAGCTTGCAGTGAGCCAGGATAGCACCATGGCACTCCAGCCTGGGCGACGGAGCGAGACTCCTTCTCAAAATAATAAATACCAACCTTGAGCCCATTCTTTTGGGTTCTCTATGCAAAGGAAGAGGAGAGATTGTGGTTCTTAATATGGCCAGGTACACTAAGAAAACTTTTTTTTCCATTCTTTAAAAATTTAAGTAAACATTAATACTAGAACTCATCATTTGCATATTTATTTGTTATAAAAGCCCCAGAAAATGTATCTTCTGATGATGATGGATTTGATGAATATGAGTCAAAAATTTTGTTTAGCCTTATCTCCTCTTCTGCTCTAAGAAAAGAGATTGTTGAAAGACCTGTGCTGGAAATAGTTGAAAGCATATTTTTATTGAAATTAAATTCTCACTTTTTATAAAGAAGGAATAATGGTCAGACACAGTGGACAGTGCATTATGGACTATTTTTTTAAGTCTCAGTATGATATTTTCTTTCAGAACAGGAGTGTTTCACTTACCAGTTAAGACATTTCTGAAGTTGGGCATATTTCTAAAACACAAAGGAACCCTGCAGGAGACTTATGCAAATGACAGTATTTTCTTTTTTAATTTAATTAATTTATTTTTTAAATTTTACTTTAAGTTCTGGGATACATGTGCAGAAAGTGCAGATTTGTTACATAGTTTACATGTACCCTGGTGGTTTGCTGCACCTATCAGCCCATCATCTAGCGTTAAGCCTTGTATGCATTAGATTTTTGTTCTAATGCTCTCCCTCCCCTTACCTCCCACCCCCGACAAAACCCAGTATGTGATATTTTCCCCTCCAAAGTATTTTCTTATTCAGAGTAGTTGCTTCAAATTTATTTAAGATTTTTATAACTTAGTTAAGTGAGGCATTTGTTGATTACATAAAACATGTTATTTATATTTGTATCACATATACACATTTTTTTCCTTTTAAGTATGGTATACCATGTTCGCAGTAATTATTATTATTTCTCTGCAACCACTTTCTTCGATGGAACCAAGCAAGACAGATCTGGAGAGGTCTAGTTTCTATGTTGTGGCATAAAAATATGTATTGTACCTTTGGTAGAGATTTCAAAAGTGGTTGGATGGTGGCAAATTACTAAGAATTCTTGAAGTTTCTAAAGCCATAGTTCCAGCTTGCTAGAAAATTGATGTTGAGTATTATGGCTAGTTCCATAGTTGAATTGGAAAATGTCTTCAAGGAGACACTTTTTCACTTTGTATTCACCTGTACATTCTTTATTACTTGCATTCTGTCATGCTCAGGCTATTAGAACAGGTATATTTTTATAACTGGAATGTTTATGTGTAGTGGAGCTCTGAGAAGACTTTGCATTAGATCTCAGCAGCATAATCAGAAGCTTGTCCTTTGTCTTAGAAATTGGAGTGGAAATACTGAGACTGCTTTACTACAACATTCAGAAAAATATTTATCTTTTTATTGTAGTTCTTGTCACCAAACAATTACATTTTAGTATTTCTCAAATTACAGAACTCTCATAGAGCTGGGAAAATGCCTGTACATACATACTATGAATGTGCTGATTTTTTTTTTGTATTTTCATAGCCCATCAAAGCTCCTGAGTCAGTTTCCACCATAATCACCGCAGAATCAATCTTCTACAAGGTAATATTTTGTAGTTACTGAAGGAAGAGTTGGGCCTAGTGGGTAATGTGCCACTAAAATATTGGATTAGTTTAAAGGTCTCTGCTACTCTATATTTGTATAAGGTGTGATGATGATACATTTTATTACCTTCTTAGCTGTTTTCCACCATAAGCGGCTATAATTTTTATTTATTTTTTATTTTTTGAGATGGAGTTTTGCTCTTGTTGCCTATGCTGGAGTGCAATGGTATGGTCTTGGCTCACCGCAACCTCTGCCTGCCAAGTTCAAGCCTTTCTCCTGCCTCAGCCACTGGAGTAGCTGGGATTACAGGCATGCACCACCACGTCTGGCTAATATTTTGTATTTTTTTATAGAGACGAGGTTTCTCCATGTTGATTACACTGGTCTTGAACTTCTGACCTCAGGTGATCTGCCCACCTTAGCCTCCCAAATTGTTGGGATTACAGGCGTGAGCCACCGCGCCTGGCAAGTGGCTGTTACTAAAACATCTCATCTAGAACTGAAGTGGGAGGAGAAGAAGCCTACTGAAATATGATGTGAGGATCTTAAGTATTTTTTTAGTGTAGATTATAGGAATTGTTCTTAAAATGCTGATTGTATAGTGTGAAACCATGGAAGAGTGAGCCATTAGGGTGATGGCATTGAAGAATGAGGACAGAGACAGGATTGGTACCAGTTGTGAAGCAGGAGCGGTGAGAAGCAAACCTTGAACACCGAACTGAGGAAGAAAGTGGCTTTTTATTCGGCCAGGAGCTGCTGTGGGGGCTACAGCTTTATTCACCAAGCTCCCCGAGAAGCAGCTTCTTTCCGCTTTTATAGGATTACAATGCTAAAGGGGAAACTGAGGTGAAACTATGTCCATTGGCTGGACATCAGACCTTACAATCTTTTGGCTTCTTTGATTTGCTAGTTCATATGCAGTGCGAGTGGGAACAGGCAGGGGAGGGGGCTTACAGAGTCAAGACAAAGGCGGTAAGTTATTAGTTGGCAGAGGTGTTTCCAGGAGGGAGCCTAGGCTGTACAGACGTAGGGGTGTGACCCAGTACCAGGCTTCAACTCCAGCCAGTAGGGATAACATTCATTTGCAACTCTTTCAAGGTTTGTAGATAGCAGAGATGCTGGGAACTGAAAAGGGAGTTATCTTCCCAGCTCTTTGGTATTTTATTCTTTTTTTTTCACCCTCCTTGCAATCTGGAGGGGAGGAGGAGGTGGAGGCCAGAAGAGGGGAGGAGGTCTCCCCTCTCAGTAGAGGTTGTGGACTGTGTTATCAAATGGATAGAGTAGGCCCAGAGATTCTAAAATGCCTTTATATGGAGTTGAGCTGAGTAAGGGTAGTAGTGGGGATTAACACCTACTAGAAATCCATGCTGAGAGGAATTCCAAGATGTTTTGATAAAGAATGAGGAGGTCAAGTTTCCTAGGGCCAAAGTCCGTGGAAATCTGATACCTTATTGAGAGAAGTGACAGATTGTTATGTTTAAACCAGAAGTTTTAGGAAAGGAATTAGAACATAGACCTTTAAGGCTCTGCAGGCCTGGCATGGCACAGGAAGGAACCATTGAAGGGTATTTGGTGTTTTGGAATCTGAACTGTCATTTAGGGGACAGTGGTGTGAATGCTTTATACTTGACCCAGGTGGACTGAGAAACTTGAGTGATTATCCCCGTAAGTGTACTTTTTTTTTTTTTTTTTTGAGATGGAGTTTTCCTCTTGTTGCCCCGGCTGAAGTGCAGTTGGCACAATCTCGGCTCACCGAAACCTCCGCCTTCCAGGTTCAAGTGATGCTCTTGCCTCAGCCCCCCAGGTAGCTGGGATTACAGGCATGCGCCACCACACCTGGCTAATTTTGTATGTTTAGTAGAGACGGGGTTTCTGCACGTTGGTTAGGCCGATCTCAAACTCCAGACCTCAAGTGATCCACCTGCCTCAGCCTCCCAAAGTGCTGGGATTATAGGCATGAGCCACCGTACCTGGCCTGAGTGTACTTTTTTTTTTTTAAGCCCACAATCTATATAGTCAGAGTCTGTTCCTCCCCCCCAGGAGTACACTGGCATTCCTCAACAGGTCTAGGAAAAACCAACAAAAAAAGTCTATACTCTCTTACTTTTCCCAACATCTCTCTTATTTTTCCAACATGTCATACATTGTTAATAATAAATAGCTACAGTTTAGCAAACAGTTACTTTGTATCAGTGGCTGAGCATTTTACTTGCTTTATTTCATTCATTTCACTCTATGAGGTGGGTACTATTATCCCTGTTTTCTGGATGAGAACATTGAGGCACAGCGAGGTTAATTAACTTTTCCAAGATCACATAGCCAACAAGTCATGGAGTGAGGCAGTCTCATGCCAGAGCTTAAGCCTAGAGCATAGTTCCTGGCTCTATAGCTTTAGCAAGTGACTGGCTCTGTGATGAGGACCAACCTCTCTAATGTTTATCTGTAAAATAGGAATTGTAAATAGTTACTAACTCAGTGGACAAAGTGAAATTATATGTGTTAAGCACTTAGCAGAATAAGCACTCAATGGATAGTAGGAGTTATCACATCTTCATATTTGTGCATTACCGTCACAGTTGACAGATTAAAGCCAGAAGCAACTTGTTGAGCTACAGATTTAGTGTACTAATGAATTCCATGTTTGTCTCCATGGAAAGGCATGTGAGATCTGTTATTGTGACTGTCTGTACTTTTGTATTGTTGTCTACTACCTATGTTTATTAAATGATAAGGACAGTAATGCAACAAAGTAGTAAAAATAATTTTGCAAATGCCCACTATTGTGGGGGCTATCACAGCACTGCCACTGGCGGGCAGCACCTTGGTGGTAAGTTCCAGAGGTCACTGCCAGCCAGAGCTAGAGGCTCAGATCTGGCATGCAAGAGGAAGCTGAGTGGGAGCCACTAGGGATCATGGCCAAGAGTGTTACCACCCAAGACCCAGAATGGCTGAGTGGCCTCCCTGGAGCACGGCAGTGGCAGAACAACTCTGTGAACTCAGGTCTGGTGATGCCTAAACTAGTGCTCTTCACCATCTTGTGTGGACCCCTTTTGTCCATCAGAAACCTTGAATCCTCTCAGCAAATGAGGTGACTACTCAGATCAGTGACTTAGTCCTGTTTGGTGTTATTTATATATATATATATATACAACATAGCACATACTAATAAATACCTACTATATGCCAGGCACTGCTTGCCACTGGAATCTCTCACTCAGACATTGTCTTTACTTTGCAGTTCTGCTTTTCACACTGTGAAAGCAGAGTCTGGAAGATGTTTTGGATTCATATGCATTCAGCATACATTTGAGTGCCTATGATAAGCAAGTATTCTCATTTAGAATTTGGGAATACTAGTTATACATTTTGACAAAGCAAACCATAAATGCAAACTATTTATATGATAAATAACTTTGGACTAGTGGTGGGAGGAAGGACCAGCTATTGATGGGTAGGAACTAGCAAGTAGCAGAATGGCCTGCATAGACCAGACCCATCCATAGTGACGCAGGTGCAACAGCCACCCTCAGACACATGGATAAAGGATCCACCAGGAAAAAACTCCTGGCCTATCAGGTGCTATGTTGCAGTTCAGTTACTGGAAGTATTTCCTCAGAAGTGTTTTTAGGGTTAAGGTACACATTCTTGCAGCTTTACCTTCTGCCAAGTCACTGTTTAAGGGAAGCAGCAATGAATTACACTGTTCCCATAGTCAAGGACATTGTGTCCCACCAAGAACTACCCCTACTTAAGGAGGTGCTGGATGTCAAAGATTTGGATCGACCATTATGGGTGTTCAGAGGAGAGATTATTTCCAGTTCAAGACCCAGGGAAGAGGACATAGGGTGGATAGCAGAGTTATAGGGAGGATTTAACAGAAGACATGTACACATTAGTTGAGTATAAATAAAACAAATGAATGAGACACAAAGCCTTGAATGCCAGAAATAACAGTAGTTGTGTTGTGGAAGGATATAAAACTCAACTGGGAGTGGAAGAGAAAGGCAGTAGTGAGTCTAGGAGATGTACAGTAGGTTGAGGTGAACTTATCCTGAAGACTACTTATAATCCAAAGATTATTTTTGGTTTGAATTTGTTTTGGTTTGAATTCATGGTATCTGTTTTCTTTGAATGGATGGTTGGGGAGGGTAGCTCGTAGAATACATTCTTACCAAATCAGCATTGATTTTCAGGACAGTACAGAGAAAGACTACTGAGCTGATGTAGGAGCTTCGGCTACAGTCGCTATGGCTTTGAGCAAGCCGTTTAACCTTACTACCGCTTCATGACTGTGGCTAACAAAGTTGGGATAGTATAGAGCATAGAGAATTTTTAGGCCAGTGAAACTATTAATACTGTTTGTGATACTATAATGGTAGGTACATGTCATTATACATTTGCCTAACCCCACAGAATACACAGCACCAAGAGTGAACCCTAATGTGAACTCTGGTCTTTGATGATGCCATGTCAGTGTAGGTTCCTCTGTGTAACAAGTGTACCACTCTAGTGGTGGGACGGATTATTGATAATGGGAGAGGATATGCATGTGTGGGGGCAGGCAGTATATGGGAAATCTTTCTACTTCTGCTAGTTTTGCTGTAAACCTAAAACCTCTCTAAAAAATAAAGTCTGTTTTTTAAAAAGTAGGGATAGTACTATGGCAATGTAAAATCAAAGTAGGGCTGGGTGTGGTGGCTCACTCCTGCAATCCCAGCACTTTGGGAACCCAAGGTGGGCGGATCACGAGGTTAAGAGATCAAGGCCATCCTGGCCAATATGGTGAAACTTTGTCTCTATTAAAAATACAAAACTTAGCTGGGCATGGTGGTGCCTGTCTGTAGTCCCAGCTACTTGGGAGGCTGAGGCAGGAAAATCGCTTGAATCCGGGAGGCAGAGGTTGCAGTGAGCTGAGATCAGGCCACTGCACTCCAGCCTGGCAACAGAGCGAGACTCCCTCTCAAAAAAAAAAAAAAAATCAGCGCAGCTGGTGGACGGGCTCTCGGGTGGCCCTGGCTAGGGGAGGCGAGTTGCATGTGTCACTTCAGCTGGCAATAGCGGTGGGAGCAGAGCCAGCGGGGCCTGTGGGTCTGCCTAGATTTGTGAAATGGCTGCTGACATTTCTGAATCCAGCAAGGCTGTTTGCAAAGGAGACCAAAGGAGCAGTGCCAAGTTAGATGCTGATCACCCACTTCGAGTCCTTTACTGGGGAGTCTGTTCATTACCAACAGAGTACTGTGAATATATGGCTGATGTTGCTAAATATAGACAATAGTTAGAGAAGAATTTTCCAAATGAATTTGCAAAATTTACTATAGAAAATTTACCCAAACAGGAAACTGGAATTAGTGAGGGTCAAGGAACAGCAGGGGAAGAAGAAGAGAAGAAAAAACAGAAGAGAGGTGGAAGGGGTCAAATAAAAAAAGAAGACTGTACCACAAAAGGTTACTATAGCCAAAATTCCCAGAGCAAAAAAGAAATGTGTGACAAGAGTGTGTGTCCTTGCAACTTTTGAAATTGATCTTAAAGAAGCACAAAGATTTTTTGCTCAGAAATTCTCCTGTGGTGCCTCAATAACAGGGGAGGATGAAATTATCATTCAGGGAGACTTTACAGATGACATAATTGATGTCGTTCAGGAAAAATGGCCAGAGGTAGAAGATGACAGCATCGAAGATCTAGGAGAAGTGAAGAAGTGAATTTGAAAATTTGTATTTAATGGCCTGAACTGAAAGTTGATATGGCCAAAGGGAGAGAGGCCTTTTAAAAAATATTTATATATATATTTATTCTACAGTGAAACTGCAGACTGCCCTCGTCCTTGGCATTTTCACTGTTCTGTACCAGGTTGTTTGTTTTTTTATTGCCAAAGTCAAATAAACAGGGGAGACTGTCATTGCTCACACATGAGTGAATTTAGTCAAATAAAAAATTCAGAGGCCGGGCGCGGTGGCTCATGCCTATAATCCCAGCACTTTGGGAGGCTGAGGCGGGTGGATCACGAGGTCAAGAGATCGAGACCATCCTGGTCAACATGGTGAAACCCTGTCTCTACTAAAAATACAAAAATTAGCTGGGCATGGTGGCGCGTGCCTGTAATCCCAGCTACTCGGGAGCGTGAGGCAGGAAAATTGCTTGAACCCGGAAGGCGGAGGTTGCGGTGAGCCGAGATTGTGCCATTGCACTCCAGCCTGGGTAACAACAGTGAAACTCCATCTCAAAAAAAAAAAAAAAGAAAAAAAAATTCTGGTCATTTGGTACTGACTTTCTCTTTATTTCTCTCTCTCTCTCTCTCTTTTTTTTTTGAAATGGAGTCTGGTACTGTCGCCCAGCTGGAGTGCAGTGGTGCAATCTCGGCTCACTGCAACCTCCGCCTCCCAGGTTCAAGCGTTCCTCCTGCGTCTGCCTCCCAAGTAGCTGGGACTACAGGCATCCACCATCATGCCTGGCTAAGTTTTTGTATTTTTAGTAGAGACGGTGTTTCACCATGTTGGCCAGGCTGATCTCCAACTCCTGACCTTGTGATTTGCCCGCCTTAGCCTCCCAAAGTGCTGGATGTGAGCCACGGTGCCCAGCCTGACTTTCTCTTTATCTCTTTTTAACTTTATTTTTTGAAAAACCCAGTAGACCTTTTGCGGGGAGCATTTTTGTTGATTATTTTACTGATCTAAAGCTGAGTGATTTTTTTTAAAAGAGTTTGAATTTGGCTTCCTTACCAGTAATATATTTCCTTGCTTCTTTGATGTGATGGTTTTGAGATGTATGAGAATCTAATAGATTTGTGGTTGAATTTGCTTTGTTGTTATGAAGTCCATCCTGTGGGCAACATACTGTTGGTAGGAATTGTTCAAGCTATTCTGGAGATTATTTGGTAAAGTATACTAAAAGCTTTAAAACCATGTATGTGCACTGTTTGAACCAGTAAGCCACTTCTTTGATATTAGAAGACTTAGAAGAAATAATCAGCCTTGCATAAAACTTATGGATGAAAGTATTCATCACAATATTATTTACAATAAAAAATTGTAAATGTTATAAATGAACATTTGGAAAATGGTTAAAGAAGTGATGGCACATTGTGTGGTAGAATATTATGCATATGTTTAAAGAATCATATTTTCTAAGATTACTTGGAAACATGTTTGGTAATGTCAAGTGGGGCATCCCAGACATTTATTTTAGAAATTTATCATCATAATTTTAGACTTTTATCATCATCATTGTTGTGAGTGGAAGGCCGTTCAGAGAGGCTAGAGGTTCTTATTCTGGCTATAAATTATGTGAGTAAAATTCTGCTAGCCAATTAAAAATGTGCACCCATGTTCAATCTATCATCCTGGAAATAGCAATTGAAACACGTCTTCTCACAAGAGAAAAATGACAGTTTTAATGATGCATTATATGAATTTAAACTTTAAGTCAGGTGCTGCAAATTGGAAAGGAGACTTGTGGTGTTTTAAATTTCTGTGGACCCTTAAGAAACTTGGAACCCATGAAACCACTGTTTATTGCCATGCAAATTACAATCTTGAATGAGTGTTTTTTTTTAAATAAAGTATTAGAAAACGTGTAATAAAGATGTAAAATTGAAAAATGAAATTCTGCATTAACTGTGAATTTTACTAAATAGAACTATAGGTGAAGCAAATTTATCCATTGAGACTATTTGGTATGTGTTATGCTTGTATTCTGTTCGTGCTGGAAGATGTCTGTGCCTGTATCAGCGTGTGACTACATGTAAAGTTTCTTCATGTTCACAGTTCTTAGCAAATGCAGTTTCAATCCATAGATAGCTAGTAGTGGATGTTACTACAGGAAAATGCAGGATTAAAATTGTCCTTATGTAAAAAAAAAAAAAAAATCAGAGTACTCTATGAACAAATGTTTTCTCTAGATGTAAACTGTCGTACATGCACCCTCATGTGTGTATGTATAATTTTCATTCAAAAGTGAAACATCTTTAGAATTGGCACCAAACATATAAACATTTATCCATTAGACTACCTTGAACACCTTTCATTGACCACTTTGAAAACTTGCTTACCTATTAAGGTTCATTCATAGCTGTGGTGTTCTATTTTTATTTTCAATGTGGGATTATCTTTCTTTTTCCCAGGGAGTATATTATCAAATTGGTGATGTTGTTTCTGTGATTGATGAACAAGATGGAAAGCCCTACTATGCTCAGATCAGAGGCTTTATCCAGGACCAGTATTGTGAGAAGAGTGCAGCACTGACCTGGCTCATTCCCACTCTCTCCAGCCCCAGAGACCAATTTGATCCTGCCTCCTATATCATAGGTGAGTTTGACAAATAGTACAGGTTCTTTAACTTAGTTAACTCTCCAATATTACGTAAAGGAGTATGTTAGTCAGCTTGGGCTGTCATGACAAAATACCACAGACTGAGTGGCTTAAACAACAGAAAGTCACTTTCTCACAGTTCTGGAGGCTGAAGTCCAACATCAAGGTATTGGCAACAAGGGTTTCTGGGAAGGCTTTTCTTCCTGGCTTGTAGATGGCCACCTTCTTGCTGTGTCCTCATGTGGCCTTTCCTCTGTGTGCACACATGGAGGGAGAACTCTTTGATGTCTCTTCTTATAAGGACACCAGTTCTATCAGATGAGGGCCCCACCCTTGTGGTTTCATTTAACCTTAATTGCCTCCCTAAAGGTCTCATCTCCAAATACCATCACATTGGGGATTCAGCATATGAATTTAGAGAGTGGTGGGGGAATGCAATTCAGCCCATGACAGAAAAAGCTTAAGTGTTATTACGTACAAAAAAATTAGAGGGCTTTATAGAAAATATGAGGCATTTTAGGGGAGTTTGAGTGCTATCAGTTATTTTGAGTTAGAGCAATATGCATCTACCAAGAAGTGATATGGATAAGATTTTTTTAAGACTTACCTAGGGTTAAACTATACTACCAGAATTTGGTTCTTGCTCAGGAACTAAGTTATTTAGGTTACTTACTTATACAAACCTACTAAAAAATAATTTAGAAAAGAACTATCCCAGTTATTCCACACTTGGAAATTCTGACGCCTGTAATCCCAGCACTTTGGGAGGCCAAGGTAGGTGGATCACCAGGTTAGGAGATCAAGACCATCCTGGCCAACATGGTAAAACTCCATCTCTATTTAAAAAAAAAAAAAGGCCAGATGCGGTGGCTCACACTTGTAATCCCAGCACTTTGGGAGGTCAAGGCGGGTGGATCACGAGGTCAAGAGATCGAGACCATTCTGGTTAACATGGTGAAACCCTGTCTCTACTAAAAATACAAAATATTAGCTGGGCACGGTGGCGCATGCCTATAATCCCAGCTACTCAAGAGGCTGAAGCAGGAGAATTGCCTGAACCCAGGAGGTAGAGGTTGCGGTGAGCCGAGATCATGCCATTGCACTCCAGCCTGGGTAACAAGAGTGAAACTCCATCTCAAAAAAAGAAAGAAAAAAAGAAAGAAATTCTGAGTATTTATGCCTCTGCATGGTACACATGTTATCTTAGGCCTATATAGTATAAAGGCTGATAATTGAAATGGCAGCTGCTGTGCTTTTGTTAATTTCAAAAGATATGATACAATTTTGACATAGACTCACAAGAATTTACTGATTAATACAACTTTGAAAGTTTTCATATTTTTAAAGTTACTTCAGACTTTTTAATCTTTCTGCAATGTGCATGTATTACTTTTGCATCCTGAAAGTAAGCGTAAACGTTTTCTCAGAGAAAACTCCAGGGACAAATAATATACCACTGTTATTCTCACCTACATGTCAAGTTTGATACATTACCAGACAGTTCTAGTCTTCTGCTTGTAAGTACATACAACAATGGACTTTCATTTACCTTATCTATGGGATAGGATCCCAGCACAGGCAGTGATATGTCAGAGTCACCTTCAGGGCTCCTCTCCTGCCTCCTCTGTCTAATCCCCAGATTCTGAGGTACATCCCTGTCCTACAAGAGGCAGCATGGCACAAGGTCAGAACACCAGTTCTGGAGCCAGACTGTCTCGGTTCATGGCCTGCCATTTACTAGCCATGTGACTTTGGCAGATTTCTTAGTCTCTCTTGACTTGCTTTCCTCATATGTAAAATGGGAATAGCGCCTACCTCAGAGGGTTGCTGTGCGGAATGAAGGTAGATATGTGTAAACTTAGAAAAGTGTGGGTACAAAATAAACACAATGTAAATGTTCATAGTGTTATTTTTAAAATCCTTTCTCTATCGAGTCACTGTTTTTGGGAGAATGCCTTATTCTTTAAGCAGTTGAAGAAAAAATGATTAAGAATAACTTCAGAGTAATGCGTGTCTCAAGGGTTAATGCCAGGCTGCTCCCAAAGTGGTCTCTCTCAGTGTCTAGGAATTTTAACATTTTATGAAAATGATATATATGCTTAAAAATGTATTTAACTTTTCCCTTGGCTGCCTTCTAGGGCCAGAGGAAGATCTTCCAAGGAAGATGGAATACTTGGAATTTGTTTGTCACGCACCTTCTGAGTATTTCAAGTCGCGGTCATCACCATTCCCCACAGTTCCCACCAGACCAGAGAAGGGCTACATATGGACTCATGTTGGGCCTACTCCTGCAATAACGATTAAGGAAACAGTTGCCAACCATTTGTAGTTCACAGATTAAAACTGGATTTCCAGGCTTGGTGTGGTGGTTCACACCTGTAGTTCCAGCTGTCACACAACTGCTCTCCAGGCTGGGCAACAGAGTGAGATTCCATCTCTTAAAAAAACCATAAATAACTGGATTTCCAATTCTCTTATATTCTTAGTACCATGAGATATGTCACAGGTATCTTTCTTTCTTTCTTTTTTTTTTTTTTTTTTTGAGACAGAGTTTCACTGTTGTTACCCAGACTGCAGTGCAATGGCACGATCTCGGCTCACCACAACCTCCGCCTTCTGGGTTCAAGCAATTCTCCTGCCTCAGCCTCCCGAGTAGCTGGGACTACAGGTGCACAACACCATGCCCAGCTAATTTTTGTATTTTTAGTAGAGACGGGGTTTCACCATGTTGACTAGGATGGTCTCGATCTCTTGACCTCGTGATCCACCCACCTCGGCCTCCCAAAGTGCTGGGATATAGGCATGAGCCACCACGCCCAGCCTTGTCACAGGTATCTTTCAATGAAATTCTTAGCTGGAAAAATGACTAAAAATTTTTCTCCTACTGCCTAGTAATCATTAGATTGCTTATTACTAGTCACTTAGAAAATTAAAAGGAATAGGACTAGGCACAGTGGCTAATGCCTGTAATCCCAGCAATTTGGGAGGACCAGCTGTTTGGATCACCTGAGGTCAGGAGTTCAAGACAAGCCTGTCCAACATGGCGAAATCCCTTCTCTACTAAAAATACAAAAATTAGCCAGGCGTGGTGGCACACGCCTGTAATCCCAGCTATTTGGGAGGCTGAGGCAGAAGAATCACTTGAACCCAGGAGGCCGAGAGTGCTCCACTGCACTCCAGCCTGGGCAACAGAGTGAAAAAAACAACAGGCTGGGGAAAGTGGCTCACGCCTGTAATCCCAGCACTTTGGAAGGCTGAGGCAGGTGGATTACAAGGTCAGGAGTTTGAGACTAGCCTGGCCAGTATGGTGAAACCCTGTCTCCACTAAAAATACAAAAATTAGCCAGGCATAGTGGCGGACGCCTGTAATCCCAGTTACTCGGGAGGCTGAGGCAGGAGAATTGCTTGAACCCAGGAGGCGGAGATTGCAGTAAGCCGAGATTGCATTACTGTACTCCAGCCTGGGTGACAGAGCAAGACTTTGTCTCAAAAAAAAAAAAACCAAACAAACAAAAACAGGCCAGGTGCAGTGGCTCACGCCTGTAATCCCAGCACTTTGGGAGGCCGAGGTGGGTGGATCACGAGGTCAAGAGATCGAGACCATCCTGGTCAACATGGTGAAACCCCGTCTCTACTAAAAATACAAAAAATTAGCTGGGCATAGTGGCGCGTGCCTGTAATCCCAGCTACTCAGGAAGCTGAGGCAGGAGAATTGCCTGAACCCAGGAGGTAGAGGTTGTGGTGAACCGAGATCGCGCCATTGTACTCCAGCCTGGGTAACAAGAGTGAAACTCTGTCTCAAAATAATAATAATAATAATAAAATGGATAGAATAGAATGAAATATTTTGAAGTTAAATTATATTCTATATGTGTATCTTCCCAGGCAAAAGCAGTAATTTCCAGAGAGACCATTAGGAACAGGTAGTGTCTATTTTTCTCCATTATTTATAACTCATAAAATAGATTATATTTTTCTATAAGAACAAAATATTAATTAAGGTATAAATGACTGACCAAGGGCTTAATCAAAATGACTAACAGTATCTATCATAAAGCCACACAGCCTTATGTTCTCATCTCAAAAATGCTGTGGCAGCTTTTTAGTGCTTTAACCATAAGAAAAGTGATGGATTATTTTATTAGCCCAGACTTTTTAAAACTTTCATCTAGGCAGGGTGCAGTGGCTCACACCTGAATCCCAACACTTTGGGAGGCCTAGGTGGATAGATCACTTAAAGTCAGGAGCTCAGGACCAACCTGGCCAGCATTGTGAACCCCTATCTCTACTAAAAATATAAAAATTATCTGGGTGTTTTGCCACGTGCCTGTAATCCCAGCTACTCTAAACCATCTACTAGGGACAGTCATGAAAGTGACTGATAGGCCATTAACACTGATAATTTTAAAATGTCTACCCTAAACCATCTGCTATGGACCCATAATAAGAGGACTGTTGTATATGAATTGTCTAGAATTCAGGTGCAGGTCTTCGCCAGTTAAGTAAGGGAGCACCATATAAAATGGGGAAGGAGTGGGGTGCATTTATTTGCTTCCTCTTCTTTCCTGATTTAACCAGCATTTTTCAACCTTGGGAAAATTTGCAGAATCTAAGTTGATCGTAATGATTTTGAGCTGCAGCACCTTTAACTCTTACCCTTTTTCTACAGTTACGGTGTGTCAGTTGGAAAGAAACAACTGTAGGTAACTCCATGTACATAATTATTTCTTTATTCACAAAGGGTATAGTAAAATTGATTGTAAATAACATTGTAAATAACTTTCTAAATGCTAATAATCAAAACTTTTGGATTAAAATATATTTTTCAAAGTGTACTTACTTTTGATTTATTTATTTCATTTAAACAATTTAAATAGGGCTAATCAAAAATGGTATTTAAAGCCAAAACAGTATAGTGCTTAGAATTTGGAGTAGATTCATCATCAATGAGGAATAAATTTTAGGAAAATCAAAAAATGGTTAATAAAATGAACACAATGGAAGATATTTATTAAAATGTATACTTAAAAATCTATAAATTCACCATATGTTTATAAATTGGTAGGTGTGTACTATCTTTTAAAATAAAGATTAAATTTTCATATTTCTCCCCATCCAGTGCGATGGTTCCCATTGCTTACATTTCTCCTGCTGAGGCTGGACCTGATAGGGCCCTGGTCTGTGTTCCAGCCCTGTCTTCTCGCTACCACTAAATGTTTCCCCTGTACACCTGCCTTGTTTTTCTGGCTCTGAGCCCTTGTTCATACTGTTCTTTCCAATTCTGCCTTACACAGGCCTTTCTTAACGCCTTCAGATTTTGTCTTTCTATGAGACCTTTCCAGATTCCCATGGCTCTTTGAAATCAATCTCTATCTTATTGTCATCGCATTTAAGTTTCTACTTCCATCTTCCTCACTCCTATCCCTTTGTTCCTGGGCTGGCAGGGATGCTGTGTTTTATTTACTCATCTTTGTAACTTCCACATAACCTAACCCAGGTTCTTGCTTGTGGGAGATGCTGAGTGTAGGGTCTGAATTAGATACTGTTAACTAAAGTGCTTGTTGATATTTTAGTTAATTCTAGTTTATACTAACTTTGGCTGCAACTTTTAAATTCTATTGTGAATAGTCAAGTAAAATTTAGATTGTTATATTCTGGGTTAATATTAGATTTTTTTTTTTTTTTGAAACGGAGTTTCGCTCTTGTTACCCAGGCTGGAGTGCAATGGCGCAATCTCGGCTCACCACAACCTCCGCCTCCTGGGTTCAGGCAATTCTCCTGTCTCAGCCTCCTGAGTAGCTGGGATTACAGGCACGCGCCACCATGCCCAGCTAATTTTTGTATTTTTAGTAGAGACAGGGTTTCACCTTGTTGACCAAGATGGTCTCTATCTCTTGACCTCGTGATCCACCCGCCTCGGCCTCCCAAAGTGCTGGGATTACAGGCTTGAGCCATCGCGCCCGGCCTAGATTGTTTTAAACAAGATGTTTTTAAGATGAGGTTTAAATAATTCTCTTACACAAATAAAGCTTAACATGAGTATTTGAAAGAAATTATCTCAAACCATTCTGATTCCTGGCTGTAAAAGGCTTTTCCAGGCCTAAAAGTTTTCCATTTCGGCCATAAGTAGGTTTTCCATTTCAGTTGTAAATTGGTGTAATCAAATAAATAATAGAGGAAAATGTATTTATGTGCCTTACACACATGCATGTGTGTTGTGTCTACATAGATACATTGCACAAGCTTAAAATGAAGTTTCTGTCATACCCAGAAAAGGGAGAGGCATTTCTGTGGATTTTATCTGGCTTCCCTGGGCATGTTTTCAGAACTATGCCACTTACTTTATACCAGTTGTGTCAGCCATACCTTTGGTAGGAGAGTATATCTCCTACACCCAAGAAATACAAGCCAGGAGAAGGTCTGTGCCAAGAAGGAACCCAAATGACCCACAAGAGGTGGGCCATTAATTAATTATTGGGTTAGATGCACAAATGCACAGTCATTTATTTAACTACCTCTTAATGGTGACCCACAAGAAAGATTCCTAATAATAGTGGAAAGGTTCACACTAAATAAGAGAAAAAAGCAGAATGTAGAACTGTATGATGGCAATTCTTCAAGGAAGAAGCATCTTCTATAAAAGATGGAAGGAGCCCAGGCACAGCAGCTCATGCCTGTAATCCCAGAACTTTAGGAGGCCAAGGTGGATCACTTGAGCTGCAGTGACCCATGATTGTACCATCACTCCAGCCTGAGTGACAGAAGTAAGACTTTGTCTCAAAAAACAAAACAGAAATGCCTCCAGAATTTTAACATGTCAACAGAAGTTTTCTGCAGTTACTTTTTCTGCTTTATAATTTGCAGTATTTTCCAAAGTTTTTACAATAAGCTCACATGCATGCACACACGTTTGCCTACTGCCAAACAGCGGTGACCACTGGCTTTTAGTTCACACATATATAGAGTTTTTAAAAAATAGTAGTTCTTCACCTTGCAAGGGAGTTGAATGACCAGCTGAGGAAATAAATTCAGTGATTTTGTTATTTCCCTATATTCACATCATGATTCTAGGAAAGAACTCAGGAGTGACTTCCTTCAGCTTCAGCTACTACTGGGCTGCGTGTACGCTAAGCTCTGTGGTAAGGGTCACCAACTTCTTCTGCGGGGCACCTGTTTCATCTGAACTGGAGGTTTGGCGAGGGTGAGTGACTGATGCAGGTTAAAGTTCATCTTTCCTCTCCTCCACTTGAAATCTATCCTCCCTTCCAGACTGCCTGCCCTGCTGACTTAAGGCCCCAAATACCAAACACAGAAGCAACAGCCTTACACAGAGTGTTCAGCAAGCTCCCTCAATTGTGTAAGGTAAAGTTTCTTTTATAGATTCCTTATTCTATATCGCTCCTAGTGGTTCTGTTTCTCTGATCAAATTCTGGCTGATAACAATTGCTAAGACTGAAAGAGAAGGCAAGGAACTACTGTTTTTCATTACAAACTATTTAAAATTATTTGGCCATTTTCTTTTTGCTATGAATATGTAGTACTTTGATACATTTTTCAAATTAAAAATTAATGAAAGAGATCACATAGGGAAAGATAGATTGGACTATTTTTAAAGTTTAGATACAAAATTAAAAAGCAAAGAATTAAACGGGAGAAACAGCTCCCTCATGTGGCTGTTGGCAGGAAGCTTCCGTTCCTCTCTGTGGACCTCTCTACAGCTTTGCTCACAGAAAATGATGCGTGACAGAAAGAAGTGTAGCTGCAGCCAAGATGGAAGCTACCATCTTTTCTATAACCTACTCTGAAAGAAGTGACATACCAGCACTTCTGCCATATGCTGTTGGGTCACACAGACCAACTGGTACAGTGTGAATTCACAGGACCACACAAGGGTGTGAATTCCAAGGGCAGAGACCACTAGGGACCATCTCAGAGGCACAGAGGGACACCTTATCCAGCTGGTGGTCAATGTAAATAGCAAATCTTTTAAGAAAAGCAATATGTATCAATAATCTTAAAAGTATTTATACTTTTTGATCCAGTAATTTCATTTCTAAGAATCCATGCTAAGAAGATATAAAACGTGGACCAAAAAAATCGATGTAAAAAGAGATTATTTCCAGTATTTAAAGTAGTGAAAAGCCAGAAACAATCAAAACATCCAACAATAGGAAAGTGAATTTTGATATTTTTCTAATAGAATTTTGTATAGTCATCAGAAATACTATTTACAAATAATTTTTAATAATGTGAAAAGTTTATAAAATGTTTAGTGTAAAACCTGGACACAACTACTTAATGATTCTGATATTGTAAAAAAAAATCCACATATACACATGAATACATATGCATATAAAGAAAACTGGAACAAACAAAATGTTGACAACATAGTTGGAATTACAGGATGGGAAGCCATGTTGTTTGTGGGTCTCTGGCCTGTGGGCCAGCCTGAATGCTCACTCTGAGGTCATGTCCAAGCTTAGAACACATTCAGGCCTACCACAGGCAAGTCTCCCTTCCTCAACTCTGGTCATCTGCACAAATATCCCAAGCCTAGAAATAATGATTGCCTGTCCTTGTGTCTTGGATTATGAAAGTCTAGGAAAAGGCCTTGGGAACTCAGAAGAACGGAAAAACTGCTCTAAATGCAGTGTGCTTCAGCTTGCAGAGGAATCACTGAAATGGGGACAAGCCATAAAAGGACAACCCAAAGAGTGACTGCAGCAAAGGCATCGTTTTTCGGAGCAAGCTAGAGAATCCTGCCCACATCCTCAGGCAGCGCCCCTGGGCATAGAGGTTAGGCAAGGGAGCATCCCAGCGTGTTCATGCTCTGAGCATCAGAATAATGCAATAGAGGAGCTTCCAAAGAGTTCCTGTCAGGTTTTGTAAGCTGAACATTTCTAGGCAAATAAGATTTGATTTTGTGAATAAAGCTAGTTTCTTCAACTCAAGTGCAGATTCTCACAGATTGACAGTGACTTGTGATCCAAATGAAGAAAACAATTTTTCGAAGATTCATATTCTTTGTAGACATGGATTTAGAGACCATCTAATCTAACTCCTTCATTCTACAGATATGGAAAATGAGGCCTAAAGAAGTTAAGAAAATACCATAGAAATTTCACTGCTGAACTCCCATACATAGGATCCAAAAGAAATTGGGTAAATGCTATTGTGAGAAATACAGTATTAGATCCAAAGAATCTAATACAAATTAGAAGTCTAAATGTTATTTCTAAAGAATCCCTGCACATAGCTGAACGTACGTAGTTTCATTTTCATTTTCTTTCTTTTCTGTTAAAGAAGAGGCAATTGGTCAGGCGCGGTGGCTCACACCTGTAATGTCAGCACTTTGGAAGGCCAAGGTGGGTGGATCACCTGAGGTTGGGAGTTCGAGACCAGCCTGGCCAACATGGTGAAACCCCCATCTCCATTAAAAATACAAAAATTAGCCAGATGTGGTGGCGATGCCTGTAATCCCAGCTACTCAGGAGGCTGAGGCAGGAGGATTGCTTGAACCCAGGAAGTGGAGGTTGCAGCAAGCCAAGATCGCGCTATTGCACTCCAGCTTGGGTGACAAAAGTGAAACTCTATCTCAAAAAAAAAAAAAAAAGAAAAGGCAATCACTAACCTATGTTGTTTATTAAACATGACAGCCTGATGAAGTAATTGCCCAACTATAACAGAAAAGCTACAATCTATTTTTGTTTGTTTTGTTGTTGTCGTTGCTGCTGTTGTTTGAGATGGAGTCTCACTCTCTTGCTCAGGCTGAAGTGCAATGGCACGACCTCTGCTCACTGCAACCACTGCCTCCTGGGCTCAAGCGATTCTCCTG